AACGAAATATGTTTTCTACGCAAAACTGGGCTCGGTGGGGAATCGAACCCGCGATGGTCCGCCTAGGGGCACATGGGACAGCCACTAGTGGGCGCCGCCAAGTCCCAGGCGAACGACCCGAGTTCAATTCCAGCCCTCTTTTAGAAATCGAATTTCTTTTTGCTTTTTTTTGCAATTGCAATTGCAATGGCCTGTTTTTCACCATTTCCCATACAAAAAAAACGAAGTCCATACCAAGTATCGACGATTTTTTCGATTTCCAACAATTTTGAATCAAATAGCTCATTCGATAGAGAAAAATTTACTGAATACGATGGCGATATTCGTTTTTGATAAATCAGCCGGGAAACGCAAAATAAATGGCTTTGGAGTTGACAAATTTGGGAAAAAACGGAACTTTGAAGTGCTATAACTTTTTAAAACGAGCTATTTGGCAGAAATTGAAAGCGGATTCGGAATCAGCGAAAAGTTCTGCACAAAATGGGCTGGGTCCCATAACGAAACGCCACCTCGACCTCGGGTTCTTTAGGATTTCCGAGGGGGGGGGGGGGAAACCAATTTTTTTTCCTGGCGGTCCCGGTTGACCTAGTGATCGAATATAAAGTGTTTTCACATTGTTTTTAGTAAATGTTAACTATATTTAAGGTAGAAAAACTTTCAAAAAAGTTAGAAAAATGTTTGAAAAAGTCGAAAATTTAATCATTTTGGGTCTTTCCCCCCCCCCCCGCTAATCCTAAAGGTCCTATAGGATTTTTCTACCTAAAATTAAACTTTTTAATTAAAATGTGTGTAGTTTTTATGCCTAGAAATAGTTAAAAACCATTTAGGAACGCATCCGCAATTGATAAAAAAAATTTAGGCTCATGTCGAAAAAAATTAGTTTCCCCTCCCGGAAATCCTAAAGAACCCTCCCTTGTAAGCCTCTACCGGGAAATCGGTCCAGGTTCGACACAGCCCGGCGTCTTTTTTGCTTTTTGAATTTATATTTCAGCGCGACCGGATTTTTTCTTAGATGTATCAGTATGTATCGTAGTACTAAACTAAGACCCAAAATATATATTAACCAGTCGATATCAGCCGGTTCGCGGCTGCTATCGACTGGCCCTCCCGGGGGGCAAGGGAATACAGGGTGATTTTATTCTCTTTTGTAGCCCTTGTAATGGCTAGAATTCCCTTCCTTAATGCTAAAAAAACATCTAGGAAAAGCGTAATGGCTAGAATACCCTTGAAAGAAAGTTATTTCCCCTTCTTTGATACTATAAAAACCTCTAAGAAACGCGTAATGGCTAGAATACCCTTGAAAGAAAGTTAAATCCGTTCTTCAATACTAAAAACCATCTAAGAATCGCGTAATGGCTAGAATACCCTCGAAAGAAAGTTATTTCCGCTTCTTCGATACTAAAAAACATCTAGGAAACGCGTAATTGGCTAGAATACCCTTCGAAACAAAGTTATATCCCTTCTTTAATACTAAAAAAAAAAACAATAAAAACCGTTGCGAAACAATTATTCTTTTGTTTGGGTATTTCTGCTACCATTAATGCGCGAACGGCCCCTGTGACCTCTGCCCCCCCCCCCCCTCCCCGGGGCATGCCCTGGGGGCACGTTGAATTCCCGGTCGCACGGACGGACGGACATTAGAAATTTATATATAGTAGATATGGCGAATTTAAACTCGAAATGGCTTAATTTAACATTATTACCCTGATATCGGTCGATATTTAGCTCTTAAAAATCGTTATAACTTTGAAATTTAAATTTTATTAACAGAAGTGCTGCAAAAATGGTCCACTACAGAATGAGGCGTCTCTAGCAATACGCCTCTAGAGGCTTAGCCTTTAGAGGCGCAATCGGAGAATACGCCTCTAGCAAGCACAAATTTGTCTGCCAGCGGAAAATTGATTATATTTTCGGGGTAGTCGATGTTTCCCATCGAAGAACTAATGTTTCTTTATGCAGGAAATAAATGTAAATGGTTGAAAATTCTTTCGATTTATGTTTAGCTTACAGGGAAGTTCAGCGCTTTTCTCGAAAAAGTGGTGTGTTGGCACGCTGCTCCTAGAACCCCGTATATTGGTAACTCTGCTTCAGTTTTTTATGTATTCTAGCTCAGTCGGATCTTATTTATCTTTTCCAATAGGTTTTTAGCCGGAAACTAGCGAGGGAATTTTACTACATTCGAAAAAGGAGCGATTACACACCCCTCCCCACCCTTTTGTTGGCCACTAAAAATTAATCAGAAAACGTAAGACACCTGAATATTTGGATTCGAGCAATTTTTTGAATTTTAGGCATCCGATGCGAGCAATTCTCAATGATAAAACCGAGAAATTGAACGAGTACAAGTCAAAAAATATATTTTTATGTTTTTTACTATGGTTTTTGCAACCAGCTGAGACAAAATTTTCATTTGCCGCCGAATGAAAAGAAATAAGTTGGCCTCATTGTCTTTTTAGATAACTTCTAAGTAGTACAAATGTTTTTAGGGGTCATTCGGGTCCAAATCAATGTTTCCGAACCAAGCCGAAATCGACCGCCAAGAGGTTCCGTGCCAGACCCACCTAAAGACGCCCAGTTTTTGCTTCAGAACAAGTGTTTATAGGGTTGTTGCGTTGTAAGATTTTAAGAGTGTCGAAAGGACCCATGTGGCTATATCACAGCGAAATATTGAAGCCAGGCTCGCTTTAATAATTTTTTGAGGGACCCTGTAGGTGTAGCGATATATATGCCTCACCCTGTAATATCCTATTAACAGAAAAAATACCTTGCAATGGTTTTAAACGACCTTGGCGGCAGTTTTTTTGGCCAACCCCGTATTTGACCCTTAAAAGTCGGGCCGAGAAAAATCGCTTCGGGCCGGGCCGGCGAAATCGGGGTCGCGGGCCGGGCCGGCCCGGCTCCGCCCCGCCCGCAAAATTCCCATGTCTGGGCTGCCCCCCTCCCCCACACAGCCGAAGGGTCTCAAAATTTTCGGTATTTTCGCTTATTTTGCCGGGATTTATGCAAATCGATTCGACGGAGCTTCGAAAAATATACTAAAAGTTTAATTTGAGCCTACAACAATGTGAAATCAAAAAGTTATAGCCAAAACATCCCGGCTGGGGGGGGTAAAGTAAAGTGTAGCCTAAAATTCTCCTGAACGCTGATATTGCAATGTTCCTTGCATTTTTGATTCTGTGATATCATTTCCTACATTTTGCGTTGCTAAAATTGAGGTTTTTATGTTAGAATCACAGAGAATGGCACAAAGGGGGTGGGCGAAGTGGACCTAGAAAAATGGCCGGGGCCGCTTGGCAAATTTGCTGTTCTCTGTGATTCCAGCATGAAAACGAATAGTTTAACAATTCACAAAACATCTTGTCAGCATCTGAAAACACGCGCTGCTCCTCCCGCCTATTGCCACTGCTGCACACGAAAAAAACCGACTAGCCAGGCAAAACGAATTGTGGACGTATTGAAAAATGGAAAATAATCCAAAATATCAGCAGAGGTTTTAAGGTGCAAATTGGGGAAAAGGACACATGAGAAGTTGCGAACACGGTGTCGAAGTCCTTGGGGGCCCCTGGCCCGAAAATTCCTGAAAAACCGCTAAAAACCATCGATTTCAGCTTCATTTCTTTCCACTGGCCCAAACACTCTTTAAAAACCGCTACAAATCATCAATTTTAGCTTCATATGGTTCCCCTGGCCCAAACACTCTTTAAAAACCGCTAAAAACCATCCATTTTAGCTTCATATCTTTCCGCTGGCCCAAACACCCTTTAAAAACCGCTAAAAATCCTCCATTTTAGCTTCATACCCTTCCATTGGCCCAAGCACGCTTTAAAAACCGCTAAAAACCATCAATTTTAGTTTCATATGGTTCCCCTGGCCCAAACACTCTTTAAAAACCGCTAAAAACCATCCCTTTTAGCTTCATATGTTTCCACTGGCCGAAATACGCTTTCAAAACCCTAGAAGACTCTCCATTTTGACTTTATATCCTTCCCCTGGTCCAAACACCTTTTAAAAACCGCTAAAAACCATCCATTTTAGCTTCATATCTTTCCGCTGGCCCAAACACCCTTTAAAAACCGCTAAAAATCCTCCATTTTAGCTTCATACCCTTCCATTGGCCCAAGCACGCTTTAAAAACCGCTAAAAACCATCAATTTTAGTTTCATATGGTTCCCCTGGCCCAAACACTCTTTAAAAACCGCTAAAAACCATCCTTTTTAGCTTCATATGTTTCCACTGGCCGAAATACGCTTTCAAAACCCTTTGAAGACTCTCCATTTAGACTTTATATCCTTCCCCTGGCCCAAACACTCTTTAAAAACCGCTAAAAACCATCCATTGTAGCTTCATATCCTTCCACTGGCCCAAGTACGCTTTCAAAACCGCTAAAAATTCTCCATTTTAGCTTCACATCCTTCCCCTGACTCAAACACTCTTTAAAAACCGCTAAAAATCCTCCATTTTAGCTTCATACCCTTCCATTGGCCCAAGCACGCTTTAAAAACCACTAAAAACCCTCCGTTTTGCCTTCATATCGGTCCTCAGGCGCTAAGTCATTAAAAAAACTTAATAGAACGCTCGAAAGCCGCAATAAACGATCCGCTTAGCTTACGGCGCTACCGCAATACTGCTTAGGATGACCAATCGCCTCAGAATCTAAAGTGGTGGTAAGCGCCTATCTAAGCAACAAGAGCATTGCGCTCTCCCAGACAGGATCCAGTCCGTGGCGTCATCAATGCTATATTAGGTTTCTTCCCATCACTTCCGCGGCCCTCAACAAGAGCGAGCTTCCAGCGACTCGTCCATAACATCAGCAGCACGAGCAGGAATCAGCCCAAGAAATGGATGCGCAGCGCGTACATCCAAACGGGTGTAGTCTTGATACGTTCATCAACGTATGGTAGTGTATCCGGACGCGAAAGGAAGAAATTATTTTAAACCGTTTATTACAAAAATCAGACAATAACACGAAATAAAAGTATACCGAAAAATGTATTGATCTAGTTTCCCGCTTCGACCGCGCTGTCATCGCTGGACTCGACGGGCGAAGCTTCCACAGGTTCCAGAACCTAAATCAGAATTTAAAAATCTAGCGAAACGGCTTACTTGTGAAGGCATCGGAATCTGCGCGCCAGCCTCGGTGTTGATTTGGAGAATCCATTTCCGCATATAGCGTCCTTTTCGCTTCAAGAGCGCCAGCATTTCGTGATTCGTATCGGCGGTCTCCGTCGCGGGGCCCGGCTGATCTGAAAAAGGTGTTTTTAAGCCCACCACCATGAAAAATGTACCTGTGCGCAGCTGTTCCACTGCCCATACGCGTAGACGGGGACGCTCAAGTACGCCGGCCCATCCCAGCACCTTCTCGAACGACGGATCGCCGAGCGAGCCATGTTGCTTCAGAAAACGGGCGACAATCATGTAGTCCTTCTTCAAATTGCGTTCGTCTGACATCTAAAACAAAGAACTATAAGAAAATATAGCAGCCAAAAGCCTCAAATGAAGATAAAAAGCCGGCATAATTACGGGGGAAGTACGGCGCCACTAACAAACATTTTAGGATGCGATAATTCGATGAGAACAATGCGTGGGACCATGACAGTTGAGCAACGACGTTTGAGCAAATCGGGAAAAACGACGTTTGAGCAACTGCGACTTTTAAGCAAACACAGGAAAACGACGTTTGAGCAACTTTCGTAAGAAAAAAAAGAAAATGCATGTAAAATAGCCGTTTTCATAGCTTTTTCTTAGTTTTAAAAATACTTTGTGCTAACTAAAGACTTCTAAAGTCTAAATTATACCCCGGGTTGGCCGACTTTCGCGCCGTGGTTCCCTTTTGATTCCACTTTATGTGCATTCACTCAAAAAGGTAGTTTTATCCGGTTTTCTCTTTATTGTTGGTTTTTCGGTACCATTTATAGCTCAGATGCATCAACATGTTTGATAAAATGGCATTTGGAAAAGAAAACGAATCAAAACATGGATTTTATTGACGATTTGTTGGAAATTTCAGGTCAAAACCCAGGTTCGACTCCTACGTTTACTTTCCTGATATTATAAACTTGTTTCTTTACGTATTCCGACAAAAAAAAAACGCCATACAGAAGCACAAAACCTTCAAAAACTAGAGTCTTCAGGACATTCAAGGCTAATTAGCTGAAAGAAATACATTCCCTGTGAAACACGGCCGATCCGGGGTATGATTTAGGCTTTAGAAGGCTTTAGAAGGCTTTAGTTAGCACAAAGTATTTTTAAAACTAAGAAAAAGCGATGAAAACGGCTATTTTACATGCATTTTCTTTTTTTTCTTACGAAAGTTGCTCAAACGTCGTTTTCCCGTGTTTGCTTAAAAGTCGCAGTTGCTCAAATGTCGTTTTTCCCGTTTTGCTCAAACGTCGTTGCCGAACTGTCATGGTCCCCAATGCGTGGGCGTTGGCCCCGACGCGCGGCTACTATATACGCGGGCAAAGCGCGCGCTGACTGCAAACTCGGCGCTAAAGCCGAATAAATCAAAGGCAATATGGTCAACTGCTTCGAATGGGGAAAATCTTCAAAATCGTCTGTTCCGTTAGACACTATTGACGGGGGGAGCACTGTTTAGCCGTCGGGCGGCATGCCAACGTTTTTCGCCCAAATCTGAAGAGAAAAATACGCAAAATATCGGATTTTTGCAAATTTTGATCAGAAATTGAGGTTTTAGGTCACGCAGTGTTGGACTATTGCGCTGTAGCGAGAGCGTCCTTTTTCCTAAAGCCATTTTTCCTAATAAACCCCATCTAAAATCCCCAAAAATGATGCCTGCGCGGTGTAATGGCCCAGCGGTGCCTGCAGTTATGATAATTCTAAAAACTGCTAATTTCGATGTTGATATTTAGCTTTAGATGAAAATCCGCTGAGCCTGTATGTTAGCAAAACAATTAGGATGCACGGGAAGTTCGAGAAACTAGTATAAAACAGACATAGATGCCGTCTCTCACGCTTTTGAAGTATTTCGATGCGGTTTTGATTTGCCATTGCCTATTTCTAACCAGATGGTTACAGCCGCTTCGCGACTGCAACCATCTGGCCGTCGGGCTACCCTACATATCCTACTCCACCACATCCTTCCCTACCTACATTAATAACCACGCTACCGGCTTCAAATACCCCCACCCCATAGCCGAAATCCCCTTCAAAAACTACCGAATCGCGCTGCAAGTAATTATGCATTTTCAGGCGGGGGGGGGGGATTTTGCTGGAGGGCCCGATCCTAATACTAGTGCAGCAAAGCTAGCAGTGATAGTCCCCGGTAAGACTAGGCAGCGGGATGGCGTTCAAGCAACTTTCGCTAGCGATCGAGCCGTTCAAGTAACAACCACACACCTCGAACTCGCCCACCATGCGCTTGGACGTGCCAACCCGGCAAGTAGGTTGGCACGCGCGTGGGGGTCCTCGAGCCGGCCGTAGTCGCCAACCTCCGTCTCCTTCAGCCGCTCTCTGTCGCCGCCACTGAAAAAGAAACGTTAAACTGATTACCCCAGGTATTACCTAAGTCTAAGCCTAAAAGCCTAAGCCCAAACCTAAGCCTAACAAGGGAACCTCACGGAGACATGGTGGAATTTCGGAAAACGCTCGCGGCTACCCACGGGTAATCGGCCATTGCGATCACGATGCGCTTGTCAGATTTTTCTAAATAGACCTGTGGACAGAGATACAGCACTTCCGGAAAATGCTGATTTACATGCAAAAAATTTGCATAGAAGGATGGTTTATGAGGCTCTCCCATCACTATGGAATCACCAGCTGAATGGCCGAGTGGTAAGCGACTCACTTGGTAAGATGCTGACGGGGGTTCGAATCCGCTCATGATTTTTTCTTTTTGCTTTTTGCCAGAGATTTTTGTAAGTCCAGAATGTTACTAGTAATAGCCCGAAATCCCTAATGTTTAGCCATTAAAGGCAAAAAAATCGAAAAATGAAAATCAGTTCTGCCGGCTAGAGTTCCTACACCTGACCATCTGCAAAAAATGAAAAAAATTTCATAAGAATAATTTTCTGACCACGTAACGTCGACAACTGTCATAAAATTTATAAGTACTTTAGCACGTATGATTTTGGACTTGTACAAAAATCTCTGGCCAAAAAGCAAAAACAAAAAATCGTAAGCGGATTCGAACCCTCGTCAGCATCCTACCAAGTGAGTCGCTTACCACTCGGCCATTCAACTGGTGATTCCATAGTGATGGGAGAGCCTCATAAACCACCCTTCTATGCAAATTTTTTGCATGTAAATCAGCATTTTCCGGAAGTGCTGTATCTCTGTCCATAGGTCTATTTAGAAAAATCTGACAAGCGCATCGTGATCGCAATGGCCGATTACCCGTGGGTAGCCGCGAGCGTTTTCCGAAATTCCACCATGTCTCCGTGAGGTTCCCTTGTAAGTCTAAGCCGATGTCAAGCCTAAGCCTAGTTTAAAATTTAGGGGAGAACCACTTCTACTAGAGGCAAACTAGCGGAGAAAATTTGCGGAATTGCTTAGATGGCGTGATCAAAGCGTTTTTAGTTTCAAGAAGAGCATGCAAAGCTCCCATACCTTGTCCAAGAGCCGCACCCTGACCCGTCCTCCCCGACCAGTAGTTCATCGGACGTGTCTTCCTTCGTCTGCGAGCCGCTAAGGCCCTGAAAGAAGAAAACGGTAAACTGATTACGCCAGGTAATGTTGCAAATTCGGAAATTTTCGTCGATTTTCTCCACCCCTGCCCACGCTTAACCCAGTCTCAAAGCTTAAGACTAAGCCGAAGCCGACGTCGAACCTAAGCCTAAGTCCAACTAATAGTAAGCCCAAACCCAAGTGTAAGCCTAGCCTAAGCCTAAGCCGAAGTCTAAGCCCAAACCTAAGCATGCCTAGCTTAAAATTTGGCGGAGAACCACTGCTACTAAAGGCAAACTAGCGGAGAAAATTTGCAGAATTGCTTAGATGGCGTGATCAAAGTGTTTTTAGTTTCCAAGAAGAGCATGCAAAACTCAAATACCTTCATCATCAAAGAGCCGCTTCCTGACACGCCCGACCCGGCCAGTAGGTCGGGCGTGTCGTCGCCGCTCCCACCGAAACGACGCGATGCCGCGACACGTCGAGACCCTGAAAAGAAAACGGTAAACTGATTACGCCAGGTAATTTTTTTCGAATGATTTGCTAGATTTTTTAAGTTTTTTTCCTAGATTTTTTCGAACCCCACCTACGCCTAAGGCTCAGTCTAAAAGTTCATGTCTAACCTAAGCCTAACCCAATTGTAAGCCTAGCCTAAACCTAAGCATTTGCGGAATCGCGTGTCCAATCAAAGTGTTTTTATTTTCCAGGAAGACCATGCAAAACTCAAATACCTCGATATAGTGCCGCTCCCTGACAAGCCCTCACCGGCAAGTAGATCATCGGGCGTGTCAGCGTCCCCGCCTCCAAGACGAAATCCCATCAGCCGCTGAAAGAAGGAAACGGTAAACTGATTAAGCCAGGTAATGTTGCAAACATAAGCCCAAGCCTAAGTCTAGCTTAAAATTTGGCGGAGAACCACTGCTACTAAAGGCAAACTAGCGGAGAAAATTTGCAGAATTGCTTAGATGGCGTGATCAAAGTGTTTTTAGTTTCCAAGAAGAGCATGCAAAACTCACATACCTCGTCAAATAGCCGAACCCCCGACGCGCCCTCACCGACAAGTAGATCATCGGGCGTGTCAGGTAGAGAAGTAGACCAACGGCCGGGCGCGCCGCCGCCTCCGAGACGACCCGATGCCGCTACACGTCGAGACCCTGAAAGAAGAAAACGGTAAACTGATTAGGCCAGGTAATGTTGCAAATTCGAAACATTTTCCTCGAGTTTTTTCGAACCCTGCCAACGCTTAAGCCCCAATCTCAAAGCTTAAGACTAAGCCAAAGCCAAGCGCAAGCCTAAGCCCAAGCCTAAACCTAAGCCTGAGCCTCACCCTAAGCCTGAGCCTAATAGTAAGCCTAAGCCTAAGCCTAAGCATAAACCCAAGCCCCCCCCCCGATATTGGGAAAGCACCAGGAAGTTCATACCTGCGCTCAACCGCCCGAATCCTCCCGTGCTCAGCATCTTCCTCCTAGCTCGCCTCGGGTTCTCCCCGAGCATGGTGTGTCCGCGGGGTCAGTTGGCACCCCTGAAAACGAAGACAACAGTGAAGAAAAACACCGGAAATACGTACCTAAAAAACACCGATGCTCTGTCAGAGGTCGAGTAGGGAATCTGCCGATTGGTAGTGCGGGAGTTGCTCGTGCTGATGAGGAATTTGCACATCCATTCGGCGGTGAGACCTGTTCCGGCGATACGAGTCTTGTCCATGGCTTATCTGTAAATCAACCGAATTAAACGAATAATTAACAGAATTGTTTCGATTTTATCAAAAATTAGAATGCCGAAATAAAATTTTTCAAACCATTTTTTCAATTTTTCAAACGTATTTTGTGGAAATTTGGCTTTATAGAAACTGGATTTTATTGAAATCTTCTTTTTCTAGAATTGTCTAAAAGAGATGCCTTCCCGGCATATAAATTTCGACGAAATTCTGATTTTCGACAAATTCAATTCGGAAGTCCCATCGCAAAAAACTTAGGAAAAAGGAGCACAAACCTAAGCCTACGCCGAAGCCTAAGTCCAAACCTAAGCCTAAGCCTACGTCTAAGTCTACCCTAGCGGAGAAAATTTGCGGAATCGCTTGATCAAAGTATTTTTAGTTTACAAGAAGAGCATGCAAAACTCACATACGTCGTCAAATAGCCGAACCCCCGACGCGCCCTCACCGGCAAGTAGATCATCGGGCGTGTCAGCGTCGCCGCCTCCGAGACGAGATCCCATCAGAACCTGAAAGAAGCAAACGGTAAACTGATTACGGCAGGTAATGTTGCAAACCTAAGCCTAAGCTGAAGCTGAAGTAAGCATAAGCATAAGCCCAAGTCTAAGCCTGGGCCTAAGCCTAAGCCTAAACCTAAGCCTAGGCCTGGGCTAAGCCTTACTGTAAAGTGTCTTTACCCAAGTTGAAGTTTCGATTCGGGACTAAGTGCACCTTGTGCAGAATTTTTCGCTGATTCCGAATCCGCTTTCCAAATTTGCTGCGGACTTTTATTTTGAAAGTTATACAGCGGTTATGGTAGTGTTTTTCACCAAAATCAAGGAACCGTTATCGTTTTCGATTTTCCTGATCAATTTCAACTTCAAAATTGGCTAGGGATTGGCTAGACAAGCATCTTAAAAGTCAAAACAAGCTTTTTTATAAAAAATTAGATTTTTTTTATGCAAAAAGCAAAAGAAAGATGGAGGGCGGGGATCCGAACCGCCGCCCTGCGTTTGGCAAGCGAGTACTTTGCCAATGCACCATGGTGCCAACTGGGAAGGGAGCTGTGAGCGCGTACTTCAGGGCCCCTGGACCAGATCGAACCAAGGAGGGAATAGTGGGCCAGAATCCGAGTTTTTGGCTTTTTCAAGCCCAATTTGCGCCAAAAATGACTTTTTAAATGAAAGTCCGCAGCAAATTTGGAAAGCGGATTCGGAATCAGCAAAAAATTCTGCGCAGATGCACTTGGTCCCGAACCGAAACTCTAACTTGAGTAAAAACACTTTACAGTAAGCCTAAGCCGTCTCTGGCTAGCTTACCCTCGACTCGTCCATCTCGCCCGGCTTGTCGTCATCGGTGGTGCGCGGTGGTGGTGCTCGAGTCGAGCGGGTGGCGGGTTTCCGGGAAGTGCGTGACCGACTCCTATATTTGCCATTAATAGCCCTTTGACACCCGCGATACCTCCAGTCCATCTCCGGCCGACGCATTCTTGATAATCGTGGACCCCGAAGGGAGGGGCTGACGCGGACTTGGGGCCGGTGAATCTGAAAGCAAAAAATACATATGGCCGCGATTTCAATTTTTTTCAATCACAATTTCTATTTTTCAATTTTTTTAAAATTTAAAAGAAAAATGCGAAACGCGAAAGAGTCCATTTCCAAAAAAAAAGGATATTTGAAAAAAATTTGAAGAAAAACCTGTTTATCGCGCCAGCCGCCGTTCTTCACGTCGAATGACCCACGCCGACCCACCGGGTCTCCAACCGCGTCGCCGCGCCGCCGCCGCCGGTCCATGCCGCTCACCGCGCCGCCGCGCCGACCCGTCTGGCCGACCCGCCGCGGTGTACCCTGAAAAAAAAAAGAGTTAAAACCAATCAAAACCACAAAAGCTAAACCAATCGAAAAAATTGAGCGCGAGGAATTCTAACGTTTTTAGGTGATCGCGACGCCGACACGACACACGATCACTAAAATAAGCATTCAAACATTTGAGAATCAGGAAAAAGCTATGTTTATGGTATTGAAATGTTGGCTGGCAGCCAGTTTGCCGGAAAAGAAAGGAAAACCCCGGCGGGGGCGGAAATGGGTTTTTATGGCGAGTTTTGTAGGGAGGAACGTGCGCCCAGCAACTTACGGAAACTGCATAACCCCCAAATAAAGTTCCGAAAAAGCGACGGGAGTATATTATGATGTATTTTCATCCAGAAAACCAAAAAAAATCCATAAAAATGAGCGCGGGCCAAAATGAGAAAATCCTAGCGTTTTTAAGTGATTGGCCGCCGACCACGGCTCACTAAAACAAGCATTCGAAAACATTTAAGAAACCGGAAAAGACATGTTTATGGTATTGAAATGTTCGCTGGCAGCCAGTTCGCAGCTATGTAAAGAAAAAAAGAGAGAAACAGCAAAATGAGTTTTAAAAGCGGTTTTGGAAAGATATAAACCTGCGGCCGGCTGCCTCAAAAACTGTATAACCACAAATCAGACCCAAGGAAGCTACTGGGGGTATTTTTAGACATGTTTTCAGCCAGAAAAGCTAAACCAATCGATAAAATTTAGCGCGAGGCCAAAATGGAGAAATTCTATCACTTTGAAGATGTCGGCCGCCGACCCATACTCCCTAAAAAAGCATTCAAACATTTAAGAATCGGGAAAATGCCAAGTTTATGGTATTGAAATGTTGGCTGGCAACCAGTTTACCCAAATAGAAACGAAAACCCCCGGCCGGCTGCGGAAACGGTTTTTGTGGCGAGTTTTGTAGGGAGGAAAGTGCGCCCGGCAACATGCGGAAACTGCATAATCCCCAAATGTTTTTGAAAGGTTTTTTTGACGCTAATATCGTATCCGGTGTTGCCGTGTCTCTGAATTTTTTGCGAACAATTTATTACGAGGTTTCAGCCATCTGCTCCTGCCAGATGGCTTCCGCTTCGGGCGATTCCGCGACATGGAAATAAGCCGAATCTCTTTTGGCTTTTTTGCAATCGCTGCAGCACGGCTTCTCGATGGGGTCTGTTCTCTGTATTTTCCCTAGTTCGAGAATTTGGGGACCATGACATTTCAGCAACTCGCGACTTTTCAGCAACTCCATTAAAACGACATTTTAGCAACTTTGACCATAAAAAAAAGAGAAACATACAATAAATATGCTTTTTCGAGGTTTTTCTCGTGTTTTTGGACGGCTTCTGAACAATTTTCGGGTTCTGAAACCATAATTGATAACACGGTCGCTGTATTATACCCTACCAGGTCAAGCGCGGAAACGCTATGCGTATGGCGGCCAAAAGAAGGCACGGCCGCAAGCAACGCAACATGGCAGGCGAAAAGGTCAAAAACCATATATAAAGCGACCGGGTTATCAATTATGGTTTCAGAACCCGAAAATTGTTCAAAAGCCGTCCAAAAACACGAGAAAAACCTCGAAAAAGCATATTTATTGTATGTTTCTCTTTTTTTATGGTCAAAGTTGTTGAAATGTCGTTTTAATGGAGTTGCTGAAAAGTCGCGAGTTGCTGAAATGTCGTTTTGGCGAATTGCTGAAATGTCATGGTCCCAGAATTTGTATTTTTTTGGAGGCCAATTTTTTTAACGTGTTTTTAGTGCAGAAAACGGAGCAAGAGGAGGGAGAGCTGGTCTCCGGGTATAAGATACGTGTATCAACGTACAAAAAATATAGCGCGTATCATTCTTTATTTTCATGGAACAAAAAAAGAGGCTGAAAGCTAAAAAGCTAGGAAACTAAAAACGCTAAAAGCTAAAAAAATCTAAGAAGCTGAAAAAATACAGGTTAAAAAAGCTAAGAAGCTAAAAAATCTAAAAGCTAAAAAAGCTTAGAACAGCAAAAAGGGGCTATTTTCCGTTTTCTCTCGCCGGGAAAACCCACTGTAATACAGTACGACATTTTTCGAATGCGGTATTTCTTGGTTAGCGTACGACTTGGCAAGCCTTCAATCCGCCTCAAAAATTCGAATTTATTCGGCAAAGGGGGTGTAAAATTGCGCGGGTAAAAGCGAGAGAGAGAGAGGGAAAGAGCGAGATATATATATATATATATATATATATATATATATATATATATATATATAGAGAGAGAGAGAGAGAGAGAGAGAGGGAGAGAGAGAGAGAGAGAGAGATAGAGAAATTCAAGGCAACACCTCTGGAAGGCAGCTTTCGCGGGGCACTTGGTGGCGTAGATGGAGCACGAGCGAGCGAGTTACCTTTAAGGCTGCAACGATTTTCTTGATTTACATATTTTTACCTCTGTTTAAAGGGCTGCCGACGGCATGTGTCGATCCCCCCCTCATCAACAAATTGGCAAGTAGCCAACAGGGCAGAGAGCGCGCCCAGTGGAGAGGCGCAGAGACATTTTCTTTCCAGCGCGTAACCGATTGCCTATGCCGTCGGCATCCCTTTAACAACCCTTCATTTGTAATAGTACTGAGCTGTTAGCGGGGGGGAGGGGCAAATTTGGATTTTTAAAGCCTTTTAACCGTTTTTTAACCTTTTTTACATCTAAAACTGTGTAAATGGCTGGAAAATGTTTACATTTCGTTATCGGGCCGTACGGACTGGAGGGAAAATTGGTGCCCCGCTAACAGTCCCGTACCAATCAAAAACCTGAGTTTCGACGTCGAAATTGGAGTTCTTCTAAAACAATGTGTAAGACGCTTCATCGACACACAAAGAAGAAGAACGGGGATACATAATACTCGGCCGGGGATAATAAAAAAAAGAAGGCTGGGGAGATCAACGAGTCTTTCGGTGGGGAGAGAGAGAGAGACTGAACAACGCGAATAATAAAGCGAAACCTCTATGCCTAGAAGAAATAACAACAAAAATCGGGAGCAGGAGGCACACCCGGAAAGTGCGCCGGGCCATTTGGAAATTGGAGTTGTTATTTTTGCGAACGGGCCAAATTGTTTAAATTTAAAACGTCGATATTTCCGAATGTCGAAATTCCAAATTTCAGATTATCGGCATTGTAGAATATCGAGTTCAGAATGGAGAAATTCCGCAATATCGGCATTTCAAATTAGCGGAATTTCAGAATGTCGGCATTTCTTATCGAAATTTCAGAAAACCAAAAATCTAATGCCGAGATTTCTTAATATCGAATTTTCAGAATGTCGACGTTTTTTGCAGCTGTGAAATTTTCCGGGGGATAGAAAAAAATTGCTAAATTTCGACATTTGAAGGGTCAATATCACGAGTTTCGGCCTTAAAAATGTCGACATTCTGATAGAACTCGGGCCAAATCTAGAATTTCGAGGACAAGCAGCATTTTCTCGCGTGCTCCCTCTGGCTGTTTATAATTTCTGAATTTTCGGCATTATAAAATTCCGATTCGTCTAATCTGATTCGTACAATTCGATATTCTGATCGCAAATCGGGTAAAATCCATAAAATGGAGAGCACGAGAAAACGAATTTTTCTTTTCTTTTTTCTCACCCTTCCTCTCGATCATGGATTTGCATAATAATAATTATTATTAATTTTGACCCGTTCGAAAATAACAAACTCTAGTGGGGGGCGAATTACAGTGCAAAAACCGGAAGCCAATAAACGAATCGGGGCAGTGGTGTCGAGGCGAATCCCAGAGCTTCTGACGAGGAGGGGGGAAATGATTTGGCAATGTGAGAAAGAACAACGGGCAAAACACTCAAGCCACAAAACGACGGGACACTACAAAATATACGGGATGATGGCTTTTCGTGTGGACGGGTAGTCGGCGAATCGGCTACGGTACCATCGGTCGGTGAGCAGGCCGGCGAACACCTGGTTGACGACGACGAACATGCACAGTGCCTGGAATGGAAGCGATAAACGATTTGGTAAGCCGAAAATTCAAATAAATTCTAGATGTGTATTTGTTTCTAGTTGCCACGGAGGCCAGACACAGAAAAAATTCCAAAATTTTTTTAAAGGGGCTCCGAAATCTGGTCCACGGCCCCCTGCTGTGATTCCTGGCAAATAGCCAGATGCGGCCGCAACGCGACCGCGCCGCAAGATCTTTTGCCCCTGTTTGGACGCGAAAACGCTTGAATTTAACAATTCTGATACTATTTTTGGAATCCTCAACGAATTTTGATCATCCCAGACTTTTAAATTATGAAAATTGATCAGAGAATCGCCGAGATCGAGAGATTGGGTGCCTTACAAGGCATTACGACATGTAATCGCCGCGCACTCAAAATGTCGTTTTTGCCCCAAAAAGAATTCGGTTTTTCTCCAACATTTTACGTTTTTTTCGCAATCAAATCGCTTTTTTGGCACTTCTCGGCAGTGACCTTTTCGTTTTTTGACCCGTAGGTTCAATCCCCGCACGCACGAATTTTGACTTCTGAGCCCCTTTAAAATTAAAATTGTTGACGTTTTTGGCCATTTTCCATACATTTATGACGAAAACTCGACAATTTCGAAAAATTTTAAGATTTTTACGTGCTTTCCATACCTAATAACATTGTAAAACGCTTAAAAGATCGGCTATTTTCCGCTATAGGGTGGAAATCCAAGGCCAATGATTCAAAAACGTGCACGCCGAAAACCCAAAGTTTTTCATATTACTGCCCCGAAAAATCATGAAAAACGGTTTTTCACGGCGGAAAACCGTCTTTCAAGGATCGATTAAAAGGCATTAGGGCATTTTGTTGGAAAGCGATTCCCGCAGACCTTTAGCGCGCCCGCGACACACAACGCGCACGCGGTTTGGCTGGCATTTTTTAAGTTTAAGGAACATCCACTTTAAAAAAGAACGAAGCTAATCCTCACCCGATAAGCGGCTCCTTGCGTCCCGAGCACGAGCAACAGCGACAGGTAGATGCCAATTTCGAACGTAAAGTGCGGCGAGGAGAGCAGATCGAACCAGCCGCCGTAGAGCACCGAGTGGCAATAGTTCTGGGCGAGACCTGGAACACCGGAATTACCTCGAATCCGATTAAACGGAAATCTAAAAATCTAGAGAATCCGTCAGGCACCAACCGGTAGGTCCCTTCCGCGCGTCGGCCAATCGATGTGCCACCTTATTTTGTAGCCAATTCAGTATCAAGAAGAAGGCGACACCCGTCCACTGTATCGGCGTGATTTGTGTGTAGTCGAACGTTAGCGTCGTTGCTGAAAATGGTACCATTAATGTGCCTAAGAAAACAGCATTCGCACATTCTGGGGCCACTTATTGGTCAAAAACTAAAGGGCTACCGCCTAAAAGCACCCGCAAAAACTGCAACAAGACAAAATAAAAAAAATCCAATTTTTTGGGCAAAACCGACTTTTCGGGCCCGCGTGAATTATATGTCGGAACACCCCGCGTTCAATGCATCGATCTTCGCTGTTCCCGTTCCAATTGAAAATTGAAAGAAAAGGCTAAATTCTGAAAATCGACTGACGATCCCAGAAATAACGTCAGTTCGGAAGTTCACCACTTTTCACGTCAAATTTTAGGAGTGATTTTTAGAGCCAAACACCACCTGTTTAGACGGGGAAAAGCCCCCGATTATCGAAATGTCACGCCAGTTCTGGGCTCCCGAATAGATTGGAATCAATTAAAAGTTTCGAAACAGGCTTTTCAATTCACGAAACTGGTTCAGGAATTACAGCGTTCGATGAACGGAGGTCGGTGATCCTAGGAGGCATTATGACATCTAATCCCGAGGCACGCGAAAACCTAATTACGTCACAGATCTGCGGTGACTTCTTTCTTTCCGCAGTACACCTTTAGTTTTTTGACCAATCGGCCGAACCAGGCACATCCGCAGTTTGAATTCGCAGCTCATTTCCAGCAAGCATTGAACACGAACCTCTCCAATACGACGCGAACCCGTGCATCTCGCAGACGACCGTCAACGGGAACGCGATGTAGTGCGCGATGCCCATGATGTAGTGAAAGACGTTCATCTTCATGTCCGAGTACACGGAGACGAACAGCGATTCTTGGCATCTGAATCAGAATCATAAATTTAATAATGTTCGCGAACCGTCTCGTCACGTGGAACATAATCAGGGATAGGGCGAGCAGTCCGGTTGTCCAGGAATCTAAAAAATTTGATAAAAATCTATGAAAAAGGGCACCAACAATGCGGCTGGCTGCTCGTCATCGACGCCAAATACTCGAGCACCCACTTTGGCTGTGTTGTGACTGAAAAAAAAATGGTTATTTCAGTCAAAAATCAAGAAAAATCGTTATTTTCAATACACATGTCAAAATCGTATTTTTTCAGTTAAAAAGAAAAAGGAATCGATCTTTTGGAAATCTAGGCCTCAAAAAGTGAAAAACTTTACCGGCATGAGAAATTGCGTTGGCGTAGCCGATCAGGAATCCGGTCCATATCACGGCGATCAAGTAGAAGTGGGCGAACCACCTGAAAAACGAGATTTTAATAACACTATTAAAATTCCCACCCGAAATTACACCCTCAAAGTCGCGGGGCAACACAACCATTTTACAAGGCCATAAAGCCCAGCTGCGCGCGCTTGCGTGAAAATGTAGACGGAAACGAAAGAAACAGAAACGTAGGCGCCCCCTGCTTCAAGTGTTTAGCTTTTAAAACAAGCAATTTAGACACAAAACGACAAGGAACCAAAATCCCTAAATTCTAGGCTCTAGTGCAAAAAAAAAACAACGAAAAATTACAAATCTAACGACAACTAAGACGACTCCAAGAATAGAAGCAGCCGAAACCCAAGCGCCTAGCTCCAAATCCGATTGCCTCCTAACTGCATGAGTTTTCAAAAATCTAGTGAAAATGATCATAAAAAATACCGTTTGGGGACGGATATCCGTTCGACGAGTGGCATCATGTCTTGACCGCTCGTCTTGCCGTACAGCGTGAACGCGGGGATGAACGAGGCGAGCCCGGGCGCGTACAACGTCACCGTGCACACCACCAGCAGGCCGATCGTCGCCCCGTACAAGTAGATGAGCAGCAGAGGAGGCAGCATCTGCAAAAAAAGCCGTGAAAGAGGAAGGTGGAAACGCTACAAAAGACGGAAAACAAAACGTGTAATGGAGCGATTAAAATGAGGAAAAGTTTAGATAAACCATGGGTCTATAATATCAAAAGAACCCGATAAACTCTATCATATTATCTAAGTGTTAAATTAAAGAAAACATGCGAAAAGCTGTCTTCCTGGACCTAAACACGCTTTTTTTGCTTATTTTTGATCTGGAATATTGAATATTTATGCCATTTTCGGTGTTTTTGGATTGACTAGAAAGAGCAAAGTAGAATTAGCCGGAATTCATTGAACGAAAAAGCTAAACGAGTTAGAGTTTGGTCAAAACGGCCAACCGCTTTAAAGGAGCCGTTTTCTACGCTAAAACATAACTAGAACGCATATTTTCCCGCTAATTTAGTAAAAGCAAACAGAATGGCTAATAAGGCGCCCTAATATCAAAATTATATACCGGGCCGGCGGGTGTGGCTGAACGAGATGGAAATCCGAGCCCGACAAGAGCCCTCAAAGACGTGCATTTCCAATGCAAACATTCCAAATCTCCACGCCGTGAGGCCCTGATGCCCTCTGGGGCTCCTCCGTCTATAGATAGTGATCCTGGAAGGGAAGGGCCAGGAAGAGGAAGGAAATTGGGCCAATCCTAAGCTTCATATTCTTCCTGGGAGAAAGCCAGCGCTGTAAAGGGCTAAAGCCAGAGAACGGCCTATATTTACAGCTAGCTGCCGGGATTAACCCGTAATTATATGGCTGTAAATGGCACGTTGCTTTCAAGTTTTCAAAGCTAAAACACAAGGTTCTAAAGTAGAGCAGAAAAAGTTTAGAGTGAAAGTGAGCGTAAACGTAAAGAAATCAGTAAAACTTCCCGAAAACTTGGTAAAAAAGGAAAACGAGGGATGCACAGTCTTTTTTTTAGGGGCAGTGGGGGTTTATTTTTGCAAAAATTTGAATTTAGAAGGAAAAACGTCGCTGAAATCACCAAATCGAAGATATCAACGCAAAACTAGCGGCAAAACTTTTTCAAAAGAATTTAAAACTCTAAAAATTTCAAAAGGTAAAGAACTAAAACTAATTGGAGAGCAGAAAGTTGGTGCTGAGTTCGAAGTTCACATTATCAGACTACAAACTCGGGTCAGAGCGGCAGACCTGCCGGCAGAATTTGGAGCCGGCAGACCTGCCGGCAGGGTGGGGCAAACGTGCCGGCACCCTCGGGGGTCGGCGACCCTGCCGGCAGACGTGAAGCGGGGCACACGTGCCGGCAGACCTGGGCAGACCTGCCGGCCAGAAATGGGGCAGGCCGGTGGGCAAGCCTATGGCAAACGTGCCGGCAAGCCTCAAGAACAAAGCGCGCTGCTCTTCATCTTCATCTCATTTACATTATTTTACAACTTTAGGTTTAGTATTACAACAGGTACTTTTTATTCTCTGTAATGCTTTCAGGTTCTGTCTATTTACGGATTTGAGGTTAGTGGAAGACGATTTCAGGATCGCAAAGACGAAAAGGTATATGTTGTGGAAACGGAAAACGAAAATATATTGAGGTTTATTTTTTGGCGGAAACTTTTCCGGATTTAACTTATTTCAGAACAAAGTTTAGCGCTAATGCCTAATGCTATCGGAGAAATGAAAGGTGCGTTGACTTTTTTTTGCCGTTTACAATGATCCCATCTTTAGATGCTTCGCTAGCTGATGGCGCTTGTCTAGGTGATTAAAACATGATGCCAGCCAAGATGGCCGGCGGCGAACCGCGACGCAGCGGGAAACCGATGGAAATACAGGTAATTGTAGGTTTATTTAGATTATTTAAGTGTTTCGCTGATGTGCTAGAACGCTGCCGAATGCTTACCAGAATAGGTCGTGAAGTATCCCGCGGTTAATAGGTTTCTCGAAACGTGCTATGTCCACCCCCCAAGACGTCCGAGGGCTTCACATAAACCAAGGTTGTTTTTAACGTTTCAAAATTTTCCGCTTTTAGGCAATTTAACAGCAAAACGCAGTTTCTAACAGTGTCTAACCGCGGCGATGGTTTTGGATTGGATCCGAACGATTGGTTGATGAATATGTTTCGGACAGAAAGTAAGTGCCACAAAATATTTAGTGTTTTCCAAGTCGACGACGGTTTGAGAAAAGCGGCAGCGATTTAGCAATCTACTTGCACCCGCGCTAATACACGAGCGTACGTTTTAAATCAAAGCGGCCTATAGGTATGTAATTTCATAAAAATCTAAACGAAAAACGAATGAGCAGGTAAAATTTGACATTCTTACAATGGCGTAAATACGCCAAGACGTTTAGGGCAGGCTAGCACAGTGTCCAGCCAAGGACGCTGCTTCACGTCGCTTTTTGGAACAGAGCAGGTGAGCCAGAACTTTGAAACCACTCAAATATCCAAAGAAATCTCAGGGAAATCTGCAAAGATCCTCGTATGCAGGGTAAGTCACAAACAAACAGATAGAAACCAAACTAACTATTCAATTGCAGGTCCCCCAGAGACATCTGCGAAGATACATCCCCTACCTACGGAACTACTTCTTTTTCATTAGCTTATAAGCTAGTGAAGCTCAAGCTTAAACTATAAATAAATTAATTATTTAATAATGAAGCCCATGCCGGCACGTCTGCCCTTCCCCAGGTCTGCCGGCAGGTCTGCCAAGCCCCAGGTCTGCCGGCACGTCTGCCAAAAGGCTTTTGGGGCAGACCTGCCGGCGATCGTGGGCGGCAGATCTGCCCCAAGGTTTGCCGGCAGGTCTGCCGCTCGGACCCGAGAAAACTTAACTTTAGACTTTTGGTTTTCGCAAAAAGAGACGAATTCTCATGGCAACAAAAAGTGCTAAATTCCTTTCAAACTCTGAAAAATGCCATAGAATGCGGGATCAACAAAAAGTTGCTGGCTATTTAAAATCGTGTTAAACCTGGTACTTTCCCAGATATGTAAATTTTTACGACGAAAGCTGGTAGATAACAGATAATCTGGAGATTACTTTCAAGAAGGTGGAAATACACCATAATACAGGAACTATTAGTAGGCCGAACGGCTAAAAACTAGAGCTGCCGGTTTCAATAAGGTACCAGCAACTTTTGGTTGATCCCACATTCTATGGCATTTTTCAGAGTTTGAAAGGAATTTAGCACTTTTTGTTGCCATGAGAATTCGTCTCTTTTTGCGAAAACCAAAAGCCCTTTTTTAAAAAGACTCTTTTTAGCCTTAGAGAGAATTTAGCCCTTTTTGCCACAATCTTGTTGTTAAAATCATAAAACAAGCCACGGTATATTTATTCAGATGGACGGACCCTTGTAACGAAACTTAAAAAAAATTTGCCTGCGGCGCTTTGGAACGGCAGTAGAAACCATAGGGATGCATTCGGGCCAATCGGCAAAAACGATGTTGCGGGTGGGGATCGAACCTGGGGGCCATGCCTTCCAAGTACAGCGTGCTAACCACTTGGCCAACAGGGAGACTGGCTGCCTGTCTTGGGGAGGCTAGACCCGCCCGCCCTGACTGGGGACTGGGGGCCGGGGAAGGGGGAGGGCGGCGCCCCGTATGGCGAAGGTTTAAATTTATAATATCTCAAAGGAGAAGCTTTCTTTCGATGTAATTTCTTCTTTACTTTATCTGGCACGGTCTAATGCATATTTGAGCAAAATTTCAGCTCAAACGGACATCATTAACCCTTGTTTTAGCCACAATTGAGCTTTTAAACTTGAAAATTAAATATAAATTTTTTAAAAGCTTATTTTGAAAAAAACGCTTCTTCCTCACCTTCATTTACACAAAACCGATATATGTGGAAAATTTCAGCTCAAACGGACCGTGGGAAGGCACTTTTTGACGACTACAAAGCTTTTGCGTACATACATACATACAAACAAACGTAGACCCCCCCTCGAAACGCAATTTAAATCGGCTGTTAAAATTTGAAATTTCACTCTTTTTCAATTTTTAAAAGCTTATTGTATGCAAAAAGTGTCGCCGGTTCCGATGGTGTATTCAGTTTTGCGATCCGATGCTTGGTTCTTTTTTAAATCCCGAAAAGGACCCCAAAAGAGTCGTATGGGGGGGTATCTCAAACCAAAAGGGGTTAGCGGGCTACGCCCGCTAACCCCGACTACAAACTGCAAACGACGCGCCGGAAACGTTTTTTTTTCGGCGTTAAAATGAAGTTTTTATAGTTAAAATCACGTTTTTATGGTCGAACAGTCTCAAGGTTCGAATTCAGCGTTGGAAACTAGGACAAAAAACTTGTTTATAGGCTGTTCAGGGCAGGGTTTTTAGCGCCAGTCTTGCTTATCGGTTCTAGCCTATATAAATGCCAACCTATAAGTTCCAGCCCCCCATTTCCGGTAATCCGCAAGTGAGAACAAACAAACCGAAGGGGGAAAACAGCTGGCAGGACCCTAACTCGATTTGATGGCCGTTGCAAAAAGCCGGAAAATAATCAGAAAGTGATTCGGGATCGGGGGTGAAAGTGTGAGGGAGAGAGAGAGAGCGCGAGAGAGAGGGAGAGAAAAGAAGGGGCCAGCCGGGTTGAAAGAGTCACAAATCTCCAGCAAGGTCAATGGGGCACCGTGCAATCGGCGGGGAGAGACGGCGGGGAGAGAATGGGAGGAAAGTGGAGGCGAAGAGCCAGCCGACAACTAACAACATGGCAACACAACACAAGGGGCGAGCAAGCATGGATGGATGAGAGAGAGAGAGAGAGAGAGTGAGAGAGAAACAGAGAGAGGGAGCGACAGGAGAAAGAGACAGCAAAAAGCCGTGAAACCCGCGGGCGCCGGACACTTATTTCGAGAATTTCGGTCGTTCCGCATCAGTTTTTGATGATTTTCATAGCTGATTTTTTTGACCAACAAGTCAAACAAGGAATTTTTCGCATTTTTAGAATTGTTTTATCGTTTTTCAAACATAATTTGTGAAATTCTTACTTTAGGCTCTAGTAAATTGATTCAAATGTGTGATTTTTACAAGATTTCAAGAATTAAGATAAAGTTCGTTAAAAACCACAGATAAAAGTCTTGAAAATATTGAATTTTGGGTCGAAAATAGCAGAAATTCTAGAGCATTTGCCATACCAAAAACCGCGGGCTTGCAAGTTTCGAGTACGTTTTCAGAAAATTAACCGGTAAAAACTCCATGAAGGGCAGGCAGACTAACAACATGACGGCAAAAGTTGTGCGTGTTTGCAGGGGTGAAAGAGAGAGAGAGAGAGAGAGAGAGAGAGAGAGAGAGAGAGAGAGAGAGAGAGATAGAGTGAAAGTGCTAAAAAGAGTGGAATGAGTGAGGGAGAGGGGGGCAATACGAAGAGAAGGGCAGTTGGGTGGTTGTGGTGTATGTTGTTGTGGTGAAACGCTCTTCTATGCTCCCTCCGAATATTATTGGGAGGCCCATCTCTCTCTCTCTCTCTCTCTCTCTCTCTCTCTCTCTCTCCCATCCCTCCCTCGTTGCCCTGACAAATAACACCCCGGATTTAGCGCCAACCGTGCCACCCATCTGCCCTCATCATTTCGTTCAAATTCCGGCGGAAACCAAGGATTGCACGTTGTTTTTAGAACATTCTTGGGAGCCAAAAAAAATTGAGAGCTACTCGAAAAAATGCTGAAAAACGAACTGTTTCAACTAACCGGAAACGAAAAAAGATCCTTGAAAAGGTCTACTTATTGAGATAAACTAATGGCCGCGGCAGAAATATTCTTAAAGATATTTTGGGTGCTTTCGCATGATCGGGGGGAGCTAATTTTTTCCGACGGTTTTAGCTATGCCTAGTAGCGTAATAACAATAGTGTTTTTAGTAAAATTTAGCTATCTAAAAACCCGAATTTTTTAAAAACGCGAATTTTGGTCGAAAAACCCTTTTTAGTCAAAAGTTATGCCGTTTTTACGTTAGAAAATTGTCGGAAGAAGAGGGAGATACCTTTAAAAAGGCCCTAAAAAAGAAGGTTTTAGAAAAAAAGCAAACAGGTTTTAGAAAGCCCTAAAAATTCAAATGAAAAAGCCCTGATTTTCTGTTTTTTTTTAACTTGCACTTCCGAAGGCCTGAAATACCTCTAAATAGCGATACTGATGTCAAGGCAATAAAGCAGTGGAAGTAGCAGCATTTCCTCCCGTAGAGGAATGTATACAAATGAGCAAGAAGATGAGCGAACGGGCTCCTCCACGGGCGTTTGAAAATATTGGGCGCAGGAAGCCAATTTCCCCGTCTCGCCAAAAAGAAATCAATTTTCGCGCCCGAAATGTCGCGATAAGATGTCGAGACGGATTCTGGAAAACGAAAGAAATCTTGAGAAGATTCTGGAAAATCAGAAAGTTATAATTATAATTGTTGGGTTCTTTCGCATTATCGGGGGGCATAATTCGGTGCTGAAGAGTTACCAGGGGGGAAGGGGCTTTACCAACGTTTTTTTCAGTAAGCCTCTATAAAAAATATAAACCATTTTCATAGCATTTTACGCAGTTTTTAAAAATTAAAACTTTATAAACGGTTATCATTTTCGACTTTTGATCTAAAATGCATGAAAAATGGCCGAAATTTCCGAATTTTCGATTTTTAAGCAATATTTTTATAACGTTCTAGCAATCAAAAACTACTAAAAAGACTCTAAAAACACTTTATAGGCTATCAATAGTTGGAAAAAGAAAAAGTTGTCCCCCCCCCCGCTAACAGTCCAGTCCAGTAAAGTCCAAACTATCAACGGGAGAATCAGTGGTTTTTTAATCGCGAGACTTCGCTTTTTTTGGACGAAATTCTAGAAAACCGTGAGTGCAAATCAATAGTGCTGCCTTAGAAAATGCTGGCTCGGCACCTAGGTGATCGTATTTTTAGGGGGATGGAAAAGAAGGACCGGGGGGTCGTGGGAAGGGGCGCACAGTCCAAAGTGTTGGCATAACGGAAACGCACCAGCAGAAGTCAACCACTAAAAAGAAGAGTGAGACCGCAAATAGAGGGCGAGACGTGCGTTTTGCGGGCGGCGGCTAGTCGTTCGACCTGAAATCTAGAACAAATTGTGAAAAAGGCAAAATAAATAATAAAAATCGCGCGGACAATGATATTTTTAAATCTGTATCCTACTATCCTACTATATATAAAAAAATAGTGTCTGTGTGTGTGTGTGTGTATATTTGCATGCACTTCCGTTAGGATGTTCCGCTCCTACAGCCTCGGGGAAGGGTTTTTTAGATAGGGAAGAAGCGACAATGGGTTTAGAATGGCCCGGAATCGACTGCACACACATAAAAAATTTGAAAAATTGCGGTTTTCGCTATTAAAAATAGGTTTTTGTAAAACCCTGTTTGTTAGGGGAAATTAGCATGCGCCGGAAGTAGGAAGAGCCTATATAAAGGGACAGAGGAGCCGTTTTTCACTTTTTTCTTGCTAGAATTCAGGAAGAAACATGCAAATTAAGGACTTTCACAGGTCCTGGACGGGGCCAGGGTTGAAAAGCCGCGAAGCGGTTTTTCAACCCTGGTAAAACTAATAGAAAAGGTACTAGCCCATTAGCGGGGGGGGGGGGTTGAAATCCTCAATTTGGTCTCACGCCCGTAGGACCACACCAATTAATTAAATAATTTCGTTTAAATTTAATTTAATTAAGTACGCAAATTTTTGCGCGATTTTTTAAAAGGTATAACCCTCATAAAAACCATTGGAATTTCCAACAAAATGTGAATGTTAAACAAAAATACATCAAAATAACCAAAATGTTCAATTTTTTCAATATTTTCTGACATTTTAATAACCAAAAACTACTGAAAACAATATAAAAATACACTAAGGACGCCAAAAATTTTCAGCAGATAGGCTAGATAAGCTTTTCACCCCCCGTTAACGCTCCAGTACCCGAAAAATAATTCGAGAGTTAGAAAACGATGAGCTGTAAAATGCACTATAAAATGCGCCGAAATTAACGCAGCCAATTCCATTTAAGGTTGCAATCAGCATTTCAAAAAATTTGCATCTGAAAAAAAACTAAAAAATTAGCATAAAGATTTCTAGATTTCCGAGCGTCGCTAAAACGACGGCATTTTCCTATTCCTTTCGTACTAGTATAGTTTTGTCGTTCTACTCTTCAACGAAAGCAAAATTCGCTTTATGCTCATCCAAAGTCTCCTCCTCCTCATCGCCGCCCACATTCCGATCCTGGTATGCTAATTAAAAAGGACAAAATCTTGTTTATACCTTTAGGAAGCGGCCGATTACGTGCAGGCCATTTTGCGGCCAGACAGCGAAGAGGATTGGATCTGTCGATGGATAGCCCTCGGGTCGCTGGTCGCCTACTTCTCCTTCATTTTTCTGGCAATTATTACGCACCAGGTATGCTATCTAAAACCTAAATCGTTAATTTATACCTCTGACTTAGATTACACCTAGCCGAAATTCCAGTTTTGACGTCTATTTCCGGCCGCAAATCTTGTCTAAATCTGGCATTTGTCTAAGCTGTCTATATGTTTTTCGCTTAAAAATAGCTAAATATTTCTAAAATAAATAGCTGAAGTATTGCTAAGCTATTTTGCCATTCCTGGAGGTATACCTACTTCAAATTAAAAATTTGCAACGATACATAAATCGATTTCTCGACCAAAATTTCAAGTTAAAAATGTTTTCCTATTTTTTGATGTTTTTCCACTTGCAATATAGAGCTAAAATGAAGTCAAAAATACCATCAAAAACCCATTATTTTGGGTTCGGTTTCCTGCGCAACCTTCATGCGAAAACACCCAAAAACCATATACTTTTCCGAGAAATATTTAAGTTTAGATATTTTTCTAAGCCTTCTAACTTTTCCCACCTGAAAAAATCGACAAATTGTAAAACACCTACTATAAAATTATTAGGCATTTCTAAACTTACAGAAAGAAAAACGCTTGATTTTTTAGATACGAAAGTGCTTCCGCCCACTGCCAACATTTCATTACCAAATGATCCCCGTAAGTTAAAAATACCAAGCTTCCAACGTCGTCTTTTTTTCCAGATCAGCGACCCAACGAGCTACAGTGGTGAGGCGACCAACCATTTCCAAGCCGCAGAAGTGGGTACCACGAATTTCCCCCTAAAACTAGCCTGCCTCCAACGACGCTACAGTATTCCAGTCCACCAGCAGTCGAAGCCAGTCCCGCGAAGCGGCCGGTGACCATACCCGCGACGACATCACCGACGACAGCGATACGGTCACGACGGACGACCTCCAAACTACAGCAATCACCAGTCGCAGCTTCGCCACAGCTACTGACGCCGGCTTCCAGGTGGGCGGCGAGCTCAAGGAGTGCAGGGTGTCCCAAAAAATGCGCTTAGCCGTACGTAGGAGTTTCCGATTTTTACGATTTAGGCATCTATCGAAAGCTCTCGGCGAGCTGAGCAATTTTCTTGGTTCTATACCGGTAACGGGGATTTTGTATGAAATCGGGGATTTTGTACGAAATCGGGGATTTTGTATGAAATCGGGGATTTTAGTTTGGAATCTTCGAAATCGGGGATTTTACCAGAAATCGGGGGATTTTTCCCGAAATCGGGGATTTTAAAAAAACTGAAGATCGGCTCGATTTTGGAGCCGCCGAAATCAGGGATTTTAAAAAGGGTCGATCGGACGGGGCTAAAATCCCCGATTTCGAGACAGCGAAAAACGGAATTCATAAAGTTGTCCGGTAGTCCCTGACAACTAGGTTTGCTTCGGCGTCGCTTAGCTTTCACATGAACTTAGAGCGCTATCAAAACACTTCTTGTAGTTATTAGTCCATGTGTTTGGCTTCTCTTATTAGATTACTTTTTGCAATCAATGTATTAGAACCGTACCTGACGTACGGAACTTCTAATATACCGAAGAGGCCTCAAGTCCTATTATTCAAAGCTCAAAAGGGACCTGATCCGGTTGAATCATATATTACTGAAACAACGGCTGAATCCTACTACAGGGTGTCCCAAAAAAAAACGAACCATCTGGCATTTCGCCGTGTGACATCCAATTGGTCCCAAATTTGGACCAGAGGTGTAATAGACTCATTTTTTGTCATCGAAAGTCGCGAGAATTATGCAAAGTGAGGAATATCATGGGATCAGATGGGGCCAGGGTTGAAAAGTCGCGAAGCTGCTTTTCAACCCTGGTAGGCTTTAAATGAAGTATTTTCGTTACTAAATGTACAGACTTGAATTTAAATAGTCATTATAGTGCTAAAATAGATCAACGATACTTCGGTTCCTGGACTCCTCCAAGCCAGGCTTCACGATAAAGCACCCTCTGGCATGATGTAATACTAACTACAGTATATTAAATAGTAATAAAAAGTTTAATTTATAATGTTTTACTAAGTAAAATTAGACGTAATTCAGCCGAAAGGGACTACCGGACTACCGGACAACTTTTATGAATTCCGTTTTTCGCTGTCTCGAAATCGGGGATTTTAGCCCCGTCCGATCGACCCTTTTTAAAATCCCTGATTTCGGCGGCTCCAAAATCGAGCCGATCTTCAGTTTTTTAAAATCCCCGATTTCGGGAAAAATCCCCGATTTCTGGTAAAATCCCCGATTTCGAAGATTCCAAACTAAAATCCCCGATTTCATACAAAATCCCCGATTTCGTACAAAATCCCCGATTTCATACAAAATCCCCGTTACCGGTATAGAGCCATTTTCTTGCATATAAAACATTTTTGCGAAACGGGCCGCTTTCGGGCTTTCCCACGAAAGCCTTTTTCAAAAAAGCCACAATTTTTGAGGTTTTTGCATTTTTTTTCCCGGGCTTCGAAATGGGACCAAGTCCATGACCAAGTTCAGAATCTTCGAAAACAACTTATTAGAAAAGTTACGAAGCTCTAAAGTGTGCAAAAATACACAAAACGGCCATCTTTAACCCGTTTTTCGCCTTTTGAAGCTTCATTTTTCTTCATAACTTTCGTATTGCGGAGTTTCGTAGATTCTGAAAACTAGAAAACTGGTTCTGAAATCAGCAAAAAGTCGGCAATTCTACGCAAAATAGGCTTGGCCACGTTTCGAAGCTCGGAAGACACTAAAAACCTCACCTGTTGAGTTTCTGGAGGAAAACGTGTAAGTTTTGCCCGGAAACCGCCGAAAATCGAGCAAAATGCTCCGGAATTTCAAAATTCGGAGAACGGATCTGCTCCGCTCATCGAGAACTTTCGATAGATACCTAGATCGTAAAAATAGGGCACTTATACGGAAGCCTAAAGGCGTTCTTTTTGGAAACCCACAAACCTCTCTCACCTCCAGGAGCTCCGGAACAGCCTGAGCCGCTCCTCGCTTGCCAGCCAGCCACTTCTCGCCGAGGGTTCTCAAGCCGATGGATCCGAGTGGTCAGAATGGTACGTGGCGTCACGGCGGTTTCGCACGAAAACACCTGAATTTTCAGGGGCGACACATCCGATTCTCTGGGTCTCTCATCGACGAGCGTCTACGCAGAGACCAGCCGTTCCATTAATAATTCCGCCAACATGATATCGGCTATTTATGATGATGAGACGACGATAAATTCTGATCATTGAGACGATGTAATACTCATACTCCCACCATTAACACACTCCTAATTATAGAATTAAAAAACCGCGGCTAAAGTAAAGTGAAAAAACCTCATTGGTCGAGAAATCCAGATTTGTTGTATCTTCTAGTAAAAATGCGTAAAGTTTATGCGTTCAGGAAACCTGTAAAAAGCGCAAACACCTAGCCTGAAGAAAATCCTACGGAAAAGGGTGCTGGACTGGTAGCCGGAGAAATTCTTAGCATGTGCAACGCATTCTTCCCAGTAATCCTGCACGATGCCCTATAACAAAAATAAACCATTTTACACCGTTTTAGATAAAAAGCTCATAAAAACAGAAACGAAACGGAACACAGGATTAGGCTAAAAACAAACCCATCCCCTGCTAACAATCGATCAAAGAGTATTTTACCCACCACCGATAATGCAAAAGAACCTCCCAAAAAGCGATAGTCATGTCAGGATTACAGTCTCGTAGACTAAAATAAATTGAGAAAAAAATCATCTTGCCGTGTCGTGATATTCGTCGTTATAAACCGTATATTTGAAAAGCCACAAGCGCACAAGTCCACGTAAAAATTCCATAGGCTCTAGAATTGAAATATCGTCGGAGGGACCGCCCGCCTGTGGCGGCCGTTTCCCCAAATTTCTTTCCGAATTTTGTGAAACAGAAAAAACGGTCAATCGCAAACCAACCAACACACGCACAAAACACGGGTGAGAATGGGACGGAAAAAGTGATCACAATCGGTAGGTGTCGAGCGTCGGAAATGGACGGGGGCGGGGGAGGAGGGGAGGGGCACGAGGAGGAGAAAGAAATCAACGGGGGGGAAGAGACGAATATCAAAAACAGAATGACACGCCACGAAATGGGCCTGGAAGAAAGGCTGAAACAGGGGGTATTTGGGGGTTGGCCTTTTGGAATAAATGACGGGGAATAATGGGGGGGTACATTATCGGAAAACAGCAATGACGGCCGTGAAGGTATTGAAGGAGGTAATGGCTGAAAACCGGATCAAGCCTGCCAAAAATTGGCACATACTTTATATTTTTATGGCAAAAACTTCACCAGCCGGGCTAACGGTACTGGCTCATTAGCGGGGGGGGGGACATACTTTCTCCAATTTCACCCAGGTCCTTGTCACAAATTCAAATTTTTTTGAAGGCATTTTTCGCACTTTTAAGATTTAAGAAAGGTCCATGAAAGCTCTGGTTAAAATTTAAACAGTTTTTAATGTTTTAAAATGATTTAAATAAATCTAGAATTTTTTAGTCATCAGAAACCATCTAAAACACTAAAAATATTTCGTTTTTGCTCATATCGGCAGAAAGCCGGGATAAGGGATTTGCCTCTGAATTTTCTTCCCCACCCCCGTTAACGCACCAGAACCCAATTGCAAATAATTTCAGCTTTCCTTCCCGAATACCTTCACGCCTACCCTAAACCATCCACCATATCCCGATTTACCGGATAACAAATAACAAAAAAGGGCACGCTTAACAAATCGATATGCGCGGGCAAATGGGAGGAGGGGAATATTCTTAGAATCGGAGACCGGGAATAATTGGGGGACAATATAGTAGCCGTATGAAAGAGTGGCGTGTCTATTCGATGACCTTCAGCACCTTTCCGATGGCCAGCGTCTTGCCCTCGTCTCGAAGCGTGAACCGTCCCAACGTCGCCAAATCCTTGAACGGCTCCAGGCAGAAGGGCTCCTGACTCTCGAAGCGCAGGATGCACTTGTCGTCCTGGCGCACGAATTTGGCGCGCTTCTTCTCGCCCGTCTTCTTGTCGACGGTGGCGATGACGAGCTGTAAAAACAATGAATCAATAAATTAATTTCAATATCAAACAATAACTTTTTTTTGTACAAGTCTAGAAATGCATAGTAACTAAATCGCAAGTATTTTCATAATATTTTTAGGAAAATAAAACTATATTGAACTGGAAAAAAACTTCGAATAATCGAAATGGTCAAAAGATTTGGGTCGAAAAACCGATATTTTTCATATTCTAAAAAATGTGTAATGTTTTTACATTTAGGATAGTAAAAAAACTTAGAAACAGTTCCGCTATCTGCATTTGAAAAATTTTCGATCCTAGGAACACGGAAAAATCGTTTTAGGAGTCACCTTTTTGTAGTCTGTAGTCTAACTTGGGTTTTTGTACTTTCAAATGGAAATTTCGGACTCTTTTTACATAAAAACACCCTTCCAGAATACGCGTTTTTTAGGTTTACCGATTGGGCAAGTTTTTTAGCGAAATTTCGGCCACCCAACAGAATAGTACCGCGAAAAAATAGGTTGGAATTAGAAACACTTCCGCTAGTTATATCAGAAAAAAATTGAATCTTAAGAAAATTTTTTGGTTTAATTGTTAAGTTTTAAAATCCGACCTTGACAACCACTTCTTCGACGGCCGATTGGATGTGCAGCACGCAGGTGTAGCCAGGAGCGATGATCGACTTGTAGTCCATGATTAGCACCTATAACGAAAATTTAATAATAAAATTGAGAAAAAACTAAATAAAACGTATTTAATTCAATATTTAAACAAAACATTAAAATCCCTTACCTCTGCATCAAAGATTCGGCCAACTTTCACGGGCGCATCAGGGGATGACAGGACGAAGCCACCCTGCAGTTCGCTTTCCTCAACTCCCTAAAACATAAAAATAAGTTTTTCAAAGATTTCCACGGTACCTTCAGCTTGAACTTGACGTTGTCGCCGGCGGCCACCTTGTCCACCTCGACGTCGTCGCACCAGCATTGCAGAACTTGCACCATTGTCTAAAAAGCAGGGTTTCAATATCCATAATTTTCCAAACCTTGTTGGGGCTGAGCAGGAGCGACTGATTCTTTGCCACGACGCCGGATTCCATTTTGCCGAAAACGATCGTGCCCATGTCCTGAACCAGGGAAATTAAACCCGATGTATAAAAACAATACCTTCTAACAGACAGTATTCAATTTTGGATTTTTTGCCAAAATTTAAAGCCTCCTAATTCACGAAACTGGTTTTGACGACTTTTTATTAGCCAAAAAAACGCCATAGAAATCTTGCTAATTAAACCAGGTTAGAGCTTTCCATCACTGCTAAAATACGATTACCATAATACGAATACCTTCAAAAACCTTACCGTATATTTGTCCACGACGATGCACCGAACGGGGCCGTCGTAGTCACGATTGATGGACGCCATCTGGTTGTCAATGTATTCGATGAAGCAGGGTCCACTGAAAATCGATACTATTTTGAGAATCCATTTAAAGGGGCTCCGAAATCTGGTCCACGGCCCCCTGCTGTGATTCCTGGCAAATTGCCAGATGCGGCCGCGACGTGACCGCGCCGCATGGTCTTTTGCCCCTGTTTGGACACGAAAACTCTTGAATTTAAAAATTCTGATGCTATTTTTGGAATCTTCACCGAATTTTGATCATTCCAGACTTTTAAATTATGAAAATTGACCAGAGAATCACCGAGATCGAGAGATTGGGTGTCTTACAAGGCATTACGACATGTAATCGTCGGACACTCAAAAACTCGTTTTCGCCCCGAGAACATTTCGGTTTTACTCAAATATTTGACGTTTTTTCGCAACGAAAACAGTTTTATTGTACTCCTCGGCAGTGACTCTTTCGTTTTTTGACAAGTAGGTTCAATCCCCGCACGCGCGAATTTTGACTTCTGAGCCCCTTTAAAAAGGGTGCCTCTAGACAGAAGAAAGAGAAAAGTAATAACATACCTGTACCATGAGCCCTTCGTCAAGTCGGTCGGCCGGTCCTTGATGAAATCTCCAGTCAATCCTAAATCGGCATTGAAGTGACAAGTTAAAAGCCTTACCAGAGCACGGGATGTAGGTGATGTCGGTCTTCGGGTTGAAGCCGCACTTCTTCAAGTAGGGCGTCAGTTTGCCATGGATCTCGTCGTACCTGCAAGGAATCGAATAAACCCAGAAAATTTCCAGTTTGGTCGCCTCTAAAATCAAATGAATTTGTGCGAAATGCGATGATTAAAACAAAATTATGTACAATTCAATTAAAAAAATCATGTTTAAAGCAAAAATTGAAGTATCAATTATAAGCTTTGAAGGGCCTGAATTCGGCATTTCTCGGCCCCTCCACAAAGCTATAAAAGTAGCGGCTCACCTTCCCTGATCCCATTCCACCGTCGGGTCGTCCATCTTGTTCACCAGGATGATCAAGTGCTTGACGCCTGATAAAGCACAAATGCTAAATTATTGAAATTTTTACCAGCAGTCTTCACTAACAGCGCGTGCTCGCGAGTTTGGCCACCACGTTCGAAGCCCGTCTCAAATTCACCCTTGCGAGCCGAGATTACCTAAAAGACGCGTAAACCCTTATGCCGCAAAAATTACCAAAACAGCCAGATCGGCCTGGTTGGCACCGGAAATCATGTTCGGGACGAACGACTTGTGGCCGGGGGCGTCGAGGATCGTGAAGTGCTTGCGCTCCGTCTCGAAGAAGGCGCGTCCGCATTCGACTGTCTAAAAAGCAGATTTTAGAGAAATTAAGGGCCGATCCAGTATCGAAAAAATAGATGATCGGTACTTGAGTATTCGAGGGAAAAATCAGACTTCTAAGCAAAAAGTGTCCGATTAACTACGCCCAAATAGAAAAATTGCCTAAATTCGAATTCAGTATTTGTTTTTCAAGTCGAAAATCGTTTTCGAACCTAAACGGCTCGAATTTACGTTATAAACAAGTTTTTTGGCGCAAAAAGGCCATGATAAAAATAAATAAGTCGCGGTGAACACTGAAGCAGCGCCAATTCTGATAAAAACACACCTTTCCCTTGTCACGCTCCTCCTCGTTAGTGTCCATGCACCAGGAGAGGTACCTAAACAAAAAGAACTTTAAAAGCAAAATTCAATATTACCAGCTTTCTCGGCCCTTTTCCTTGGCGTCCTTTTCATACTTTTCCAGTGTCCGCTTGTCCACCATGCCAGTCTAAATTCCAGTCCATTTGCTTATTGCACAAGAATTCTACCTGGAACATAATCTGGCCGCCAATCGTAGACTTGCCGGCGTCGACATGCCCGATGAAGACAATGTTCACGTGCTCTTTGCGCGTTTTGGCTAAATCATGGTAAAAAGCAAATGATGAGAAATCTACGATCAATGGTGGCCCGTTCAAACTTTCGTGACAGCGGCGCGACCACATCTTCTTTTTCTTTCTTTTCCTTTTCCACTTCCTTCTTGGGCTCTTCCTGAAAAGCGGTACAGAATTAAATTTTTCCCCGAAAAGCAAAATTTTCAATTTTGGACACGAAATTGGAGATAAACCGTTGCTAAACGACTATTCCTTCAAAAACACACAATATCAATAGTTACAAATAGATCTGCGACCAAAAACACAAAAACGAACCACAACAGGCTCCGGCGGCGGAGAAGGCTTGGCCACGGCTGGCGTGGGCTCTGGTACGGGAGCTGGTGCTTGTTCAACTGTTTCCGGCTCGGCGTCCCATGCTGAAAAAGAAATGGTCATTTTTTGGCAATATCTTTAGACTTTTTAATAATTAAAAACAATAATGCACCTTGGTCTGGCTGTGGGGGAGGCTGCTGCGGCTGCTGAGGGGCCTGATAGGCTTGACCCGGCACGAACGGCCGCGCGTTCACGTTCGGGACGAATGACGCGGCGTTGACGTTCCACCCGGACATTGCCCTGAAAGTAAAATTTAAAAATTGACACAGAAAGCCAGCTAGAAAGAAAAAAAGGAGAAAATCTTAAAAACACCGAAAGAAGAAGACAAATCAGGAGATGGCAAGGGGAAAATAAGAAAAAAAAAGCAGAAGAAACGATTTGCATCGAAAAATTTCGAAGCTAAATATGCTTACGGAGACCAAAAATAGGATTTGCATCAGAGTCCGCGTATAAAAACAAAAATAAAGCGCCAGCCAAAACATCATTTCATCCGCGCCGCCATGCTAGTCAACCTTCTCCTCCTCCTCGCCGCCCTAATCAACACCGGGGCCGCCGATGAAGTCACGGTATATCCCGAGGAGCGAGTCAATCCGTTCTTCAGCTCCCATTACTCTGCATCACCCCGGCGGGCCTAAAGAAGGGATGCCCCCCGCTGCCGAAAGATCCGATCGACCCGTCCGTAAAGTGCCTAATTACGAGCAAGATCACGCGAAACATCATCGACAAGGGCCCATGGGCCAAGAAGGAGCAGCCCGTGATCAACTGCAAAATTGTGGAAGGGTGAGCCATCTCAAATGTTGATAAGAAGATATGATAAAAATATATCCCCAAAAAACTACTCTTCTCGACCAAGCAAAATGAAAATCGGTACCAGACTGTTAGCGGGGGGACATCAAATTTTCAGTACTCCCGTACAGCCCTATGACGAAATATATATTTTCTATCATTTTACACGGATTTAGCTCACAAAAAATATAAACAATGACTTTTTGGTGTAAAAATGTAGAAGATTGGTTAAAAGGTCACATTTCGATCTTTTTTATAACTTTCTAGCAATAATAAAAACTGCGAAAAAACTAATTAAATATATTATCAATAGGTGCGGCGAAAGGAAAGGCGAAAAAATACCACTCCCCCCGCTAACAGTCCAGTACCAGAAATTACTTATTTCGGAGTCTGGGAGGCCCCGCTGATTCGCATATCACAATTTAGCGGCTACCCAACCGTCTATCCCGTCAACACCACCATCGGAAGCGACGCGTGCCTGGCCCGATTCCAACAGGGCGACCAACCCGACTGGGTCGAGGCTCCGTTCGCCGGCTCGTTGATGAAATGCGGCGCATATCCCTGCCAGCAGCGCAATCGGCTCGTCTGGGGCAAAGATGTGAACCCCGAGCTCCGCCTGGCTCTGGCCCCAGTCTGCCATCCGCCGATCCCCGACCCGGTGACCCTGGACTTTGGAGGAAAATCGGTAATGGAAACCAAACGATCTTCAACGGGGTTTCCCTAGTGGTGCCCACTCTACACCGAAGACGTGAAATCGCTCAAGAATTGCGCGCTGCCCCCGCTCTGCGAGGATGATAGCGACAATGTCAACCGAACGTGAGGAACGGAAGTCCAGGCGCGTAACGCCCGATGTTTTCAGCGCCTACCTCTACCCATACTTCGAAGAAAAAGATGAGAAGGTGTTCTCGATACAGAAGAAATATTGCGAGAAGCTCTGCGACCCGAAAGCCAACAAGTAGGCATTGCCGTACCGCCTCCCACTTACTTTTTAGCGGCAAAAATTGCCGTCGCATCCCATCGTGCCCGGGCAATTCAAAGTACCCGGTCAACAACTGGGAGGTGCTGTTCGACCATCAGCTGCCCGCCGACTACATCAAACAGGACCCATTCTATGTGGTAGGGAGCTGTGGCTTTCTCGCCTCACAACTGTACAGCTGCGCGCCTGCTTGCCTTGGTGCACCGAGGAAGAGTCGTTGGGCAAGAAGATTCCGAAGCAGCCGTGCAATCCCAGGCCAGTCGACCGGGGCGGAAAGGTAAGCCGATTATACAAAAATAAAGCCGACCTAGAAAGACCCGAACCCGTTCTTCTCCGCCGAGTTCGTTGCGGGCCCGACGCTCGAGCCCCCGAGCGGCTCTAGCGACATCGTCTTCGGCAGCGCCCTGATCGTCCTTTTGGCCTGCGCCATCACGATTGTGGCGATGATCGGCGGGCTTTTCTTCTGGAAAAGGTGCCGCACGAGAAGTCGGGCCTAAAATTCGTTACAGGAAGAAGCAGATGGGAAACACGAAAAAGGGCAAGGTCGTCGCCACAACAACATCCATGGTAAAAACTAGCTAATTCCCAGCTAATCAGATAAAGTCTAAAAACTAATTACCCCAACATCAAAAGTTTTCGACTTCTTCACTTAAAAAGGGCGAGAATACCGGGACAACCACTAGAATCTAGCGAATCCCCGCTAATCAGACAGTGGCTAAAAACTAGTTTCCCCGCTTCAAGTTTTCGACTGATTCACTGCAAAAAAGGGATTATCATACCGGAATAACCACTAGATAACATTTGCTCTAGCACACAGCCGTCGCCCAGCCATCAGCCATGGGCCCCACCAAGATGGGCGGAAATACCGGGCTTGAAGGGGGCGCCACTGGTGATGAGGAGAGCGAGACCTACATCAACCAGGTGAGCCCTTTACGCTAACTCGCTAATGCTAAAACTACTAGGCGCTGCTCAACATCAAGAAAGCGGCCGGGCAGCCCAAGCCCAAGGGTGACAAGTCGCTCGAGTCCGAGCCGTCCAGCCGCGAGTAGCTGTCGACTCTGCTGACCATGACGCCGATGATGGACTAACCCTGAATGACTTTGTCGCACCCCCGAAACGATTGCCCCCAATAAAGCTCCACCACCACCGCTCTGCTTTCCATATGTGTTCACTCGTTCAATAAACATTCTTGGGTGGCAGATACGGGGCGTTGAAGAGGTCAGGAGGATAGAAGGATGGGATCTAGGGGGAGAAAGAATGGTTCAAAACTTGGAATTTGAGGCTTCTACCGGCAATATTCAGGTCGAATGGCTACCTTCCCGTCATCTCACTTGCTTAAAACTCAAACGCTCAAATCCGAAATCATCAAATCAATGTCTTAAGTTAAACTTGGACTACACCTATACTGTGCCCAGCTTGTTTTAAGCTTTTTCCGCTTCCGTTATCCCTCCCTTCTGCCTAAAAGAGATCACGAAATGAGAGCGCAAGGTCATTTTTTGAGCCACCCCTTTTGAAAGAGGTTATTCATAGAAAAAGCGGCATTTGAAAGGAAACGCTGGAAAATAATGGCTGAAGGGATCATCGAGAAAATTCAATTGTTGAAAGTTTTAAAAAAAATTAGTGTAATTTCCAAAAAAAATACAGGCTTTATAGTACGAAAAAATCCCATGACGCCGAACGTTCTTAGGTGTGGAAAGTACTGTGGATAGAAAAATTGGAAAGCGTAAAATTTCGTAGTTTTGAAGGCTTTTCTCATAAAAAGTTGTGCAATTTTGCCGTTATGGTGAAAAATTCGAAAAGTTTGGGCTTCGTAGTACGAAAAAATCCCATGACGCTGGAACGTAGTTAGGTCTGGAAGGTACCGAATGTCGAATAGCTTGTAAAGTGAAGAATGTGGGCTTTTCGAAGCTTTTACCCCATAAAAGGTTGTGCAATTTTGCTGTTATGGTGAAACGACGGCCAATTGTAGGGCAGACAAAGGGCGCCGCTCGTCGACACCGCGACTCCCGTCAATTGGAGCGTGGTGTAGCCGGGGGGTCGCGCGCGATGGGGCGACCCCTCGACCTGCACCTCATTAGCCCCCCCGCCTGGCCCCTGAAATGTTTAAAAATTCCGTTTTCTGAAAACTTGCTTGTTTTTTGTAAAATTGGCTGATTTCAGTCATTAAAGCGGGACTTCCCCATCTTTTTAGCCCGACCCCAAAAGCCTGAGTGAAGCCTTTTGGCCTTTTCGTTAGCCCAGGTCCCCAGAAGGGTTTGAAAATACGGTTATCTAATGAAAATTCACTTTTTATTGGTAAAACTTGCCGGTTTCAGTCATTAGAGTGAGATTATCCAGCCATTTTAACCAAAGCCCTCGGGCTGGCCTCGGGCAGTTTAAAAATAATATTGAAAAGTAATGAAAAATTAAAACCGCAAATAGAGTCCCTGGCCATAAAACTGTAAAAAGTCGGTTACGTAATAGCTACCAAGATTTATACACCTCAAAATCGCTATAACTTTCAAAAGTTATCCCGCAAAAGTTATTAGTAATACGTCACGTCGAAAAACGTATAACCATTTTTTGCTTTGTCCCTTTCTTTTTCTGCTGTTTTTTGAAAGCGGTAATCCCATTAATCCGTAAACTTTCAGGGTTCCATCCCTCGATGGGTCGACTCGCGTTCGACCTCCTCTTTTTAAAGCGGCTAATCACCCTGATACGCCTGCTTTTCCCGTTGAATCGACGCTCGATAACGCTATACTTAGCGGGTGGCGTGTTGCTGGGAACGCTTCTAGGTTGGTTATTAAAAACGCAATTTAATCTCTGATCTTTCAGACCAAATCACCACTTATTTCGTGGGCGTGATCCCCAGCGAATTTTATGTGGTGCTGGCGAATCGAGATTCGAAGGAATATCGAGTGCTCATCGCCAAGGCAGTGATTATCATCTTGGCGAAAGCTTTGGTTAGTTTTTGATATTGAAAGTTTTATGGAATTGCAGTGTATTGCCCCCCCCCCCCCCCCCGATATTGCAAAAATACCAAAATGCGTTTCAGACGTTGGCCGGCGTCAAATATGCCGCATCGCTGCTCTACCTCCGTTGCCGACGGATATGTGACTACGCGTTGCATCGGCTCTATTTCAAGCGGAATGCCTTCTACAAGATCAGCAACAACCACATGGAGAAACTCGATAATCCGTGAGTTAAAAACGCGCGTTTTTTATATAGAAAAACCTCTTCAGGGACCAAAGGATGACACAGGACGTCGAGAAATGCGCACGGCTGCTCTGTATGGAGTTGTTGGGGCCGGTGCTCAGCGCACCGTTCGTCATCTTCTACTACACGTACTTGACGTACCAAAGGTACAAAATTAAGGGTTCTTTCCGATTATCGGGGGGGGGGGGGGGGCAACCTTTTTCTGAAATGCATAGTGAAGGTTTTTCTAAATGGTCTTTTAGTTTTCCTAAACGTGCAACTTCATTTCTTTATCTTCATTTCGATTTTCAACGAAACATGGTCGGGTTTTTGCCCAAAAATTCCCCTTTTCACATTTTTTCGAGGTTTTCGAATAGTTTCTAGATCAATTATAGCTATATTTAACTCAAAATGAGGTCAACTAAACATCACTAGACTTATAAAAAAACTAAAGTTAAGTTTTTACGTGTTTTAGGCCAATTTTTATTTTGCCCGGATTGTTTTTATCTTTTATTTCTACCTGTTAATAATAACTAGTGTAATTTGTTATGGTGTAGTAGGTCTGGTTGCTTGAAAAGTCTCAAAACTAGTTAAAAATTAGAAACTTTGCCAATTTCATTTCTTAAAATGACACTATACCCCCCCCCCGTTAACAGCCCAGTACCGTAATTAAAATAATTACAGTAATACCAATATTTTTAGCACTGATTGGATGGGCCCGGTGGCGATCCTCGTCTATTTCTTGGTGGCCACCCTCGTCAACAAGATCATCCTCTCCCCGATTGTCAATTTCGTGAATCAGCAGGAAAAGCAGGAGGGCGATTTCCGGTAAAATTCAGTTTGGAAGCGTTTAAAATGGGTTATTTTTAGTCAGCGTCATATGGAAGTGCGTGCCAACAGCGAGTCGATCGCCTTCTACCACGCTGGACTCATCGAGAACGTGCTCGCCAATCAGAAATTGACTGGTGGGTGAATTTTCTTCAAATTTTTGATCGGTAAATTTTAATTGGTACTTTACCATTATCGGGGGGGGGGGGGGGGTGGCTTTTCCAGTTGGATCCAAGTTTTCTCATATAACTAGAGGCAGTGTTTCTAAACTGTTTTTTCACTATATCTATCCGGAAGAGTAAGAAGAAATTTCGATTAATGGCCGGTTTTGCGCCCAATTTTCACTTGAAATATAGCTAAATTGGATTAAAAATACTATAAAAATAGTGGAAGTTCTTCTAAACTGTTTTTTTTACTACACCTAACCGGAAAAATGTTTACAGTTTTGTTAATAAAAGCAAAAATATCGATTTTTTTTTTTCGGCGAAAATCAGCCAAAAAATTTTTCGTAGCTTATGTTTATTTTTCCGCGTTTATATAGTTACATTTCACTCAAAACACTATTAAAAGACTTAATTTAAGTTACTAATCTTTTCTGGACTTTAGAAGAATAATCCAATTTTCTTAATTTTCTAGTTTTATATTTTTACAGAATTTAATTCAATTTCAGGCCTGCTCGCCGCGCAACGAAAACTGGTGGATTGGCGCTTCGTGCTCGGGTTCAGCACGCAGTTCTTCGACTATTTCGGCGGGATTCTGTCGTATTTGTTGATGGGCATCCCGATTTTCATGACGGATGCGTATGCGGGGAAAACGGGCGCCGAGCTGACCGGAATCGTCTCTAGGGTAAGTTATCCGGATGGTGATTTTGCTTCGAAACTGACCAGTTTGCATGTTGAATTTTTTAAACTTATGTATTAGTGCGGAATTTTGTTTTATCGTATCGTATTAGCTACGAAATTACTGTTTTTATCGATTGCAGAGAAAATTCAGATCAAAAGGTAACTTTAGACGGCCTTCTACTACCTATACCTCATCTACTGCTTCACCAACCTCATCAACCTGTCCGAAAAGTTGGGCGATATGGCTGGCGTGACGCATCGGTTGGTTGACGCTTACTGCTTATTTTTATTATCGTATCTTTTTTAATGCCATATTTCAGCGTGGTCGAACTGCTTGAAGAGCTGCGAAAGCTGCACGCCGACTGCCTGGAGACGGATCGACCGCCATCTACGGTTCCGTCGAGCGTGGTCGTGATGGCTTCGGATGACGATCCGGCGTCGAGTGACAAGATCCGGAAACGCGATCCGAATACGGTGGGTCGGGCGGGTTTTAAAAACCAAAAAGTTGCAAAAATTAAAAAGGCTGTTGCCAAAAAGGCAAAAAATACGGTGGTAATTTGCAAACAATATCTGAGCCATATTTTACAGATTGCTGAACTCCACGGAAAACAGCTCCTTGATGGCGATGATGAGGAAGAAGCCGCTTTCTTACTACAAGGTTAGTTTTGGTCAAAAACTACAGTATTTTATTTATTTTAGGAGGCGATCGTGAAGATGAATGGCCAGATGATGGGGTGGCGCTGACCCTCGATTCGGCGAGTCTGGCGAAACCGCACGATCCGAGCACCGTCATCGTCAGCAGTACGTTTTTTACGTTCTGACGTTTTCAAGGCCATGGCAGGCTAGCAGAGACCATTTTATAGAAAAATTTTACTTCGAAATTCCAGACCTCTCCCTGCAAATCGTCCAGGGCCAAAACCTGCTGATCAGCGGCGACTCGGGCGTGGGCAAGACGTCGCTCTTCCGGTTATTTGCTGGGCTGTGGCACTCGGTGGCAGGTTTGTCGTAGTCGGGTGCTTATGTATTAACGGGGGGGAAGGGTACGTTTATCATTGCTCATAAGCGTCAAAATGTGAAATTCTCACATTTCATAAAATTAAAAAACCAAAAATCTTGATTTTTAACCACAAAAATTTTAAATCTTCCGATTTTTAAAATAATCTTGTATTTGTATTTTTTATAATAATTCCTGAACATAAGTACGTTTTAAATTTTCGCTAACAACTTTATTTTTTGGGTAGAAAAATTGACTTTTTTGTGAGTAGAAATGACCAAACTAAAGATTTTTCTCACTTTTCTAACTTCTTTGCAATTTGAAACACTTTTTCTGCTCGAATTTTCTTTCAAAAAAATTTAAACTTGATAAAAAATTCGAACTAGGCCAGCCTAGAACGCAGGAACAAAGTCAATCAGACACGGCATTTTGAATATATTCCAGGTCCTGACGGATCGCCTAAACGAAACATTTTTTCAAATTTTAGTAAAAACATAGTTTTCATTTTTATCAAAAGTAAATTTAACATTGCGTAGAATCTTTTTATAGCGAATTTGATGTCGTAATCGATTCCATTTCTGTGAATATTATTGAGTGTTCGATTTGATAGAGTGTCAAAAAAATTGAGTAAAAAATAGTAAAATCCGAGATATTAGTGTGTAATTTGAAACTGCCCACAAATTGAATTTTTTCGAAACATCATAATTTTTGCAGGAAAAATGGATCGTCACTGGCGCTCGCGGCCCCACAATATGTTCTTCCTGCCCCAAAAGTCATATCTGCCATCTGGGGGGACAACATTGAGACAACAACTCGTCTATCCCGTCAAGGCATTGCCTGTCGAAAAAGGTTGGTTAGATACTGGCCATAAAATATGTTTCGTCGATTTGACGGATTAACAGTTTATATTTCCATTCCTCAAAAACCTTGGCTAGCTTGCCTTGGGTCAGAAACTTTTTCCGGATAGCTCCAAAGGATCTCTGCTATCTTGCCTTGCCTAGGGTCATTCAGGCACCTTGGAAAACTTTACTATTCCTTCAAGAATCTCGGCTAGCTTGCAACACCTTCGAAACTGATTCCAAGATGGTTTTTAACGCGGAGAGAGTTTTAATGTTTTAACGGGGAGAGTTAAGATTTATTTTTCCGGAACCTATTAATTATATCTAGTATCTTTTCGTCATGGTTTAGTAGTTATGGTTTCTGGAAAATTCTCAAAAACAGAAAGACTTTAAAAAAACGAAAACTAAAATTTTTAAATGATTTTCATAGATTTTCGACCAACAGCTAAATTTTTTGCAAATTTTAAGAGAGTTTTAGGAGTTTTCTATACCTAAAAAGGTGTAAAATTCTATAAAAACGGTTAGACCGTACGGAATGACTGGACGGTAAAATTGCCCCCCCCCCCGTTAAGGGCGAAGAACCTTTTTTCCTTATGAATGCGTACGAAAAACCCTCGGTAGTTTTATTTTGATTCCTCAAGAATCTATGCTAGCCTGCCAACAATTTAACAAATAACGTTAAACGATTCACTTTCAGACACTGCCCGCCTGACGCACATTCTGGAGATTGTGAAATTGGAGGGGCTGCTCGATCGATGTGGCGGATATGATGTGCCTGTTGAATGGGAATGGTTGGTCAAATACAGCCAGGAAACTATACCATATGCAATTAACAAAAATACCTTGATCTTTATCATAGGCATTTCTGAAACATTTTTACGCAACAGAGAATTGACTTACGTATCTAAAAGCATTTTTTTAAATGGCCGGTTATAGGTTAAAATTTTTTCACCTACGCTAAGGTTTTCCAGACATAGGCAGTTAATGGTTAGAAAAGTGGTACTTTAAAAATCAAGAAAATGTATGAAAAAATGTTTCGTGATTTTTAGTCTAGTCGAGGTACTATTAAGAAATAATTCGTAGCTGCTAGTACTCTTAAACAATAGTTTTTTATTTGGATAAATCGTGATTTTTTTAAGATTACTTTCGATGAGCCTCGAAACAATATATTAAAAGTATTAAGTTTATCAGAAACATCTAATTTAATACACAAATTTCAAAAAAATTGGTGAATTGAAAAACTATAGTTTTTTGAGTTTTAAATGATTTTATATAAGTTTAAAAAGTAATTAAACAAGTTTAGAAGCATTAAGATCAGAATAAAAATAGTAATAATATAATGTTTAGGATGGAAACCCTATCGCCGGGTGAGCAACAGCGATTATCTCTGGCTCGTGCTCTCTATACAAGACCTCGAGTCGTCTTCCTCGACGAGGCCACGTCGGCCATCGGATTCGAGATGGAGGCCGCCATTTATCGAGCACTACAACAAGTAAGTATTTTTAAAAAACACTTAAAATGTAAAATAATTTAAAAATATAGTTTGTAAGGTTAAGCCAAAATGATGTTTTTTGAAAATTCATGTTTTAAAAATGTCAATTGTCTGGCTAGCGTGGAATTTTACAATTTCTCCGATCAGCTTCGTAATTTTAAATTTTAAGAAGTTTTAAAACAAAATGTAGAATTCTCGTAATTACATTCTAAAAAGTTTGTGTAGCCATTTTTTTGTATTCAGTAATTGGTCGTGTTTCACTCATATTATTGGTAATTTTTTGAAACATCATTTCTCCAGCCGGAATTATTTTAACAAAAACTAAATTTGAATTTATTAAATTGTGGGTAAAAACCTAGTTAATTAGTGTAGGTAATGAATACTGTGAATAATGATTATTTAGTTATGAAGGGTATTATTATATAGCGTTCCCGGTGCAAAAAAAAATGTTTCAAAAAAGTTATGCATGCCTGTTGCCAAAATCTCCTCAATTTGGTGAATTATCGATCGGGTTCATAAAAAACATAGATAATAAAAATTGGAATAATTAAACTAAATTAAAAAAATTAAGCTCAAACTATGAATTTTGGTTCTTTTGCATTATCTGGGGGAGAAACAAACTTTTTTGTTATTCTAATATTAAAAGGAGTGTTTCTCAACTTTTTTACTTTGTCTAAAGTAAGCCCAAAAACTTCACAAATTTTATTTAAATAAAATAAAACCATCGATTTTTCGGCAAAAATGGCCGACTTTCGGAAAATCAATAAATAATTTATGGAAGGAATTCAATAATAAAATCAATACGAAAATGATGCTGTAAATTAATGGTGAAAAATGTTTCATATGTAATTATCGGAATTAAATAATAAAACAATGACAATTATCATAATAAATAAATAATTAAGTAAATTCATTGCAGGAGGGCGTTACGGTAGTGTCGATCGGCCATCGCTACTCGCTGAAACAATACCACGAAATGGAGCTTCGATTGACAGGGCATGGCGAGTGGAGGCTGCACGATATCGATTCGCAATCGATCATCTCCCGTACGCAGTCCATCCTCGGAACAGATACCGTACTCTCATTTTAAACCCACTTTTTTTTGCTAATTTTTAGCAATTTCTAGCCCAATTTTTAATCCCAAAGATCTCCAAAAATACCCAGTTTTATTGTTTTTGCGACAAATGACATGATTTTTGCGGATTTGCATACGGTAGGCAATTTTTAAAGGGATTGTGAAGGCAGGGGAGCTAGCAGCGATTATTGAGGAATTTTTCAGGTATCCGGGAATTAATATCGGCTAGTGATAACCGGCTTAACACGCTCCCGGACAAGCTAGCAGAGATTTTTGAGGAATTTAACCTGGAATTTTTTGGCTATAATTTTTGACCCCGCCAGGCTAGCAGTGATTTTTGGGGTATTTTGGGGTGCTTTTATAACCGAATTTAAGGGAATTATAATACACGGCTTAAATGGCGGGTAGGCTAGCAGAGATTATTGGGGAATTCAGCCTCAAAAATAGCTTTAAAAATCCACTTTAACATTTTAAGGCAGGCTAGCAAAGATTATTGGGGAATTCAGGCTCAAAATAGCTTTAAAAATCCACTTTAACATTTTAAGGCAGGCTAGCAAAGATTATTTGGGAATTCGCCCTAAAAAGTTGATAAAAAAGATAAAATATAATATTTCAACGGAAAGTTAGCAGAGATTTTTTTAGGAATTCAACGTAAAAATTAATAAGGTGAAATTGAAGGCCAGCTAGCAGAGCTTTTTAAATTGGGCAAACTAGCAGAGATTATTTGAGAACAAGCAGCCAATTTCACAATTTCTTTAAAAATTTTTCCCTGCCAACAGCCAAGACTTATTAAGCCTTCCATCTGCCGTGCTATCCCGCTAACCGTTGAAACCTAATTTTTTCGCTTTCCGAATTTTTTTCATCTAATTTTCTTCGTGTACATTTTCGCCTCGCTTTCCCCATTACGATAATTACGGCTGGGATCGCGTGCTTTTAACGGGGCGTTGGGCGTATTGTAGCGGAATATATATATATATACAAAAATAGAAATGTAGAACTCCTGAAATCCTCCTAAAGAAAATAATTTTGATTCTCGGTGCTCGAATTTTGCAGTCAATTGCCGTTTTTTTTGAAAGGCTTTTCTTCCTGATTTCGAGCACATAATTCTTTTTGAAATTCAAATTTAATGAAACTCTTGAATTTAAAACCGTGGCTGTTTGGCCGTGCTTATACAGAGCTTTTAATAAGATCTTGTCGGAACAAGAATTTATTCAAAGTTTCAAGGCCAAAAAAAATGTTTCAGAATATTTTCTGATGGAACCGCATTAACCTATTTTTAATCGATTTTTTCTCCGAGCGTGGTTCTTTCTAACTAAAAAATGTTTCAATTTTTTTCGGTGTTTGGCTCGGATTAAATTTCTTCAATCCATCTCCGGTAGACGCAAAGTTCTTCATGCTTAGAAAAATTCCGCTGCCATCCCCTTTACACCCACCGTATCATACCGTATTTTACTGTATTATTTTATGGCGTATTACATCGCTAAATGCGTAGATACTTAATTACTTAATCCATTAATTAATTAATTACCGTACCCCATTCGCAATCTCTGGACCAAAAATCACCCTCCGCAGAAGCTTTTGAGACCCTGATATTTTGTAGCTTTACCTGTTCTACCGTAATTTTGATTATACCGTACCTCCTCTGTACGCATTTTTGTACAAAATCGCTGTCTTGCCTATTCAAATCGTTGAAACTTAATTTTCCCACTTTTTAATTTTTTTCGAAACATGAAATTTTTAATTTTTCAAAAATTTTTTGTAAATTGTTGATTTTTTGCTTACTTCTCCCCCCGATTCTTTACAGGTTGTGCTTTTTTACTACGGTACCCCCGCGATGGGATTACTGTAACCGATATTTGTGCATATTTTGGATAAACGCTACGCAACTGTACGCTGGATGCATGCACCGAAGAGATTAAGATTTATTCGTATCAATATCCCCGATCATGAGAAGGCGTTCGAGACGGAGCTCCAGGTCTCGCTTCTCCTTTCTCAGGGCTTTTGATTCGGATCTGGAAATGGGGGTTTTATCTGGATTATTCCTTCTTATCCTCGGTTTCGTGCTCAATCTCTCGCTGTCTTTCTCTCTCTCTTTCTCACTCACTCTCGCTCTCTCTCGCTCTCTTTCTCTCTCTCTCACTCTCGCTCGCTGTCGCTCTCCCTCTCTCTCTCTCACTCTCTCTATCTCTATCCCGCGCGGAAACGATAGAGAGCGAGGGAGAGACAAAGTATGAGAGAGAGAGCGAGAGAGACAGAGAGAGAGAAAGCAAGAGAGAGAGAGAGAGAGAGAGAGAGAGAGAGAGATAGCGAGAGAGAAGAGCAGGCTAGCAGAGTTCATTTGCGGAATCTATCCCCATACCTAAAATGCCTCCTCTCGGCATCAATCTTGTCCGTCAACAACCGGCATTCTTCCCGCAACGCAGAATTCAAATGGGCCTGGTCGCCGACCAGTTTTTGGAGGGCTAAAAGGATACAATAGGTTGCTTGCTCATTTTTGGTAATCATGCTCAAAGCTGTAAAAATTCAAGTTTCATAGAACTTTAATGTGAAAAAATAGCATTTAATGAAAATAATTTTAGGCACTCTTTGCAATCGACTTACTGACATTCGCGCGATATTTCCTGAAAATTTCCTTAAAAAGCTTTAAAAACCGACCAGCCACTTCTTTCGACGTTTCCCCCGTGTTCGAGACGTTGCCTAACTTTAGCACCTGAAACTTCACGGTTAAAAATTGATTAAAAACAATTAAAAAAACATTAACGCACCGCCCTAGCCATAAAAAATATAAAAAATCTTCTCTACCTTTGTTCGTAACGTCATATTTTCCTCGTTGAGCACCTCATTGCGGGATAGCAGTACGAGACGCTCCTTTTTTGCATCTAAAACGACAAACCGAAATTCGCATGGGCATTAATTGATCACAAAACCCCTAGTTCACACCTGGATTTGAAACATAAAAAAAATTTTCGGACATTTTTCGGAAGAATCATGGTGGCGATTTGCACACAGTATTGCAAAAATTTTGAAACATTAACTTTAAAACTGAGAATTAAATTTTAATTAATTTCCTAATTTTTCGTGATCGGGTGCTTTTGCATTATCGGGGGAGGGAACGGATTTTTTTGTATAAAAAAAGCCTATTAACGTAATAATGAGCATTTCAGTAGTGCTTTTTAGTAAATTTTAGTTAACTTACTAGTGGAAAAATCTGATGGAGATTAACTTTTGAAATTTTACGCGAAAATTGGCCATTTTGTCGAAAAATTGTTAATTTTGTATTTTTAAATAAGAAATTCTCGGCCGAAAATCGGCGCTTTGCACGGTTAAAAATAGTAAAAATACGTTTCAAAAAGCTTCACGTGCTCATATCTCAAAAAAAAATTGGATCCTAAGGAAAAAGCCCCCCCCCGCCCCCGATAATGCAAAAGTACCCGTCATTTTGGGATGATTTTCTAATCGTATTTTATTAACTGCCTATTTTAGTACCCTACCATTAATTTCCGCGGCCAGCTTTCCGTTGTGCGCCTCGAATAGATCGGCGCGCTGCTTGAGAACCTCATTCTAGAAATTATATTGTTTCGAATAATTCTAATTAATAAAATTCAGCTTATTTCTATATCAGCTTATATCTAGGCAAACCAGCAGAGACCCCTTGGGGAAACCTGAAAATTTAAAAATTACCTCCGCCGTCAGCCGTGCCACCCGCTCTTCGAGTTTTCCGGATTTTTCTGAAATTATAAGAATTACATATCTAATTTATTTATTAGTTATATAGTCAATTCCAACGTTTAAAATTGACTTTAAAAGTATAAAAATCCATCAAAAATGTCGTAAATTATACCAAGTAATTCGAGCCGATCCCTGGCCTCCTTCTTGGTGTTGTGCTCCATTTTGGAGTTCAGCGTGGCGGCAAGTTCCTTTCGGTCGGCCCAAGCTTTCTCCAGCTCCTTGCGCGTCTAAAAATATATTTATACATTTTATTAGTTTTATCCATTAGAAAACCGGTATTAACTGAAGACTCTACGGCTATTTTAATTTTTTCAATACAATTTTTATCTAATTTCTATCTATCTTTTGATCAAATTTATTTCGATTTTGATTTAATTTAAATTTAATAAAACACTACTATTTTATTAGTATTCTTCGTAAACAGTAACTAAATTTCAAGCGGAAAACAAATTAAAAAATAATATTCGAAATTTTGGTCGCAAAATCGATATTTTTGTATTTTCCGATCTACATTTGTAACGTTTTTTACGGTGAGGGATAGTAAAAACGGCTTCGGACACGCACTCTATTTGTATTAGAAAATTGATCCTTGTAAAAAAAGTCCCCCCCCCCGATAATGCCAAAGAACCTATAATTAAAAACATTAAAATACTTTTCCATAGTATTGAAAAAACCACAGAAAACGTGCCTCCTCCTTCTGACGCGTCTCCTCGGCCAGCTCGTGCTTTTGCGATTCGAGGGCTCGCTTTTGGCGCTCGACGGTGAATTCCTGCAAATAAACAGTTTTTGCGATTCTTTTATCCTGCAGTTTTATCTTTTTAAATCCTAAAACTATCCTAAGAAAAATCGGTTCTGGACTCTTAGCGGGGGTGGTGATTTGTAGCGGGCATATAAACCAGTTTTCTAGCATTTTACATAGTTTTTATATCTAAAAAGTTTAAAAACATTGAGAGATTTCGAAAATCCTCCACTTTTTGGTAAAAATGAATGAAAAATGAACAAAAATGTCAAAAATAATCAAGGTTTTTCAAAATATTTTTTCTAATTTGCTAAAAATTAGAAACTACTAAAACGCTATAAAAATACATAAATTACTTTTATTTCAGTTATTTATCTATTATTCTATGCATTTCATTGTTATCACCGCACAAAAAAGTGCTCCCCTCGCTAACAGTCCAGTACCAAAAATCCACGAAACCCACCCACCAATTCTCTAATCCTTTCCTCAAATTGCAAAATTCTGGCGACCGGGTTGAGGAAAGTCGAGTCGCTTCTCAACTCGGAAATTTCCGCTTGTAGCTGAACATTTTGCGCCTAAACGTTTTTCATTTGTTGAAGGCAGTATATCAGTAGAAAAAAGCCTTTCAAAACTCCACCCTCTGCTGCTCAAGCTGCGTGGTGACCTCGTGGAGTTGCTGGCTGGTCTGATGCTGCCCATCCTTTGACGAGCTCGCCTCGCGTTGCTAAAATATATTGGTGCTTTTGCGTTATCAAGGGGTGTCAGCTTCCGATCCTATAAGCCCAGAAATATCTAATAACTTAATAGCGTTTTAGTGGAAATTAATGGAATTTCAGAGAATAAAATTTTTCAAATATAAATAGCGGAGGTCTTTTTAAGCTATTTTTTACTATTCCTAAACGTAAAAACTCTAATTTTATCAAATAATACAAATAATATAGATTTATCGAAAGAAAATGGTCGTGTTGACCAAAATTTCGTTAAAATCCTACTATATATAAAAAAATAGTGTTTGTGTGTGTGTGTGTGTGTGCCACTTTGCATCCACTTCCGTCTGTCTGTCCGGAGGATATCTTGATAGAAGATGGATTTTAAAGTACGTATGATACGTCATTAGGTGCGCAATGGTCTTGGGATCACTGGACACCTAACAGATCTTACAAAATTATCGATTTTCGACATTAAATTTAAGTTTTTGTGAAAGCTTCTTTGTTAAAAACAATTAGCATAGACCGGAAGTGGGGACACGACTATATAAGCGGCAGAAGAAGTGGTTTTTCATTTTTGCCATCTGAATTCAGGACAAGTATGCAAAGTGAAGCATAAAATGGGGGTCAGACGGGGCCAGGGTTGAAAAGTCGCGAAGCGGCTTTTCAACCCTGGTTTTTAGATAATTTTTTAGTTGCGAGATAGTTTGGTTTTCCTAAAAAAATCGTTCCAATACTGCTATTAAGTTAATATGGGCAGTTTAGAAAGGGCGCCGCTATATACAAAAACCGGATGCTGAAAAAAAGATCCCCGCTATTGAAACAGCACCAATACACTATCTGCTTTTAAATTTTAGTACCTACCATTAAGATATTCTCGCTCCTCAGCTTTTCGACCTCACCACGACACGCGCCCACATCGGCCATTAACGTCTCGAGGATGGCGTCCTGCTTTTCGAGGAGGAAGATTAGTTCTTCTTCTGACGGACCTAAAAAAAGCGGGTACTATGGTTTCTTCATTAAATAGCTTACCTTTCGGCCGCAGCTCAATCCCAGGACCCGTCGTCCCAATCATTTCCTAGCTAAAAACCGTGAAAACGCCTAGCTATTGTCGCTTTAGATAATCGATTCCAAAAATAAGGATAGGATCGATAGAAAACCTTCAAAAACATACTAAATTTTATTAAGACTCCGAAATAAAGTAGAACTGGAAACCCGAATAAAAGCAAGATCTGTATGTGCTTTTCTCGACTACAAAGCCAATTTCAACGCCGAATTTACGCCATATAGAACACCACCTCGTCATAACGGTTGCTTTTCTGTATTCCAATTGTCGTATGCCAGTGAATTTTCATGCTGTGCAATACCACTACTTTCCTCATCCAGATTACGCACTTTATTTGACGCTTTTTCGAGGGCAGAACTCCACACGCACACGCAAAAGATACGGGGTGGTGGGGGAGACAAGCAAAAAAAAGTGTATTCGTATATCACAACACGGGTTTACCGAGGAGAGGTGGATTGGTGGGCTATCCGCCAACAAACAGACGGACATACACAAACAAACAAACACAGAAAGAGGGAAGAGATGGTGTGCACATATCTAGTGTGATTCACAGATGAAAAGATGATCCCCACGGGTGTGTTTTTGGGCACGGCAGCACAGTTTCGACGAGGAACCAAAAAGATTACCACGGACACAAGACACAGACACAGGCATACAGCGGCTGAACCCAGGAGCACGAATAAATTAGGGCGGGGGCATTTGAGGGGCATCGTTGGCTGTCAGATTTTCAGGGATCACGATCACTGGTCAAATATTGAAGTTTTTGCGGTTTTCGGATGAAAAACTTTGCATTTCAAAGTTGGTACCGCCTAAAGAAATTTTGATTATGCCATGATCAAAAAATTCACGATTCTGATTTTCATTTCGATTGCCAATCGTTTTTCCGGTGAACCCCTCGAATCCAAAAGCCAAAACGACGTTCGTGCGGTGCAACAATAAATATATCTCCAATGCTACACGCGCCGAGGGATTGTTCACTTCCAAGGTGCCACCTCAAAAAAGGAAGAGCCGGACTGTGCAGCCTGGGAGCACCAGCTGGATGAGCCGAGAAATTACGCGAAATCGACGGGCGATGGATCACAATGGATGTGGGGAGAAACGAGAGGGAGGAGAAGAAGTCTTTGGAGAGCCCATATAGAAATAATATTCACATGACAAATCCCGGAAGAGCAGCACACTCGAGCAGGAGGGACAAATGGCAACGAAATGGAAAATGGGCTGAGAGCATTGAGAAGTGGGACAAGTTTTTTTAAATGAAACGTTTTCTCCAACCTTTTCAAAACCTCAGTCCATACCACAAGTTGTATATAAAAAGACTGGGATCACACATCAAGAGGGGGTGGATGAGCGAAGAAAACGAGCAACGGGACGAGGGCTCTAGTTCTTGCCAGTCTGCTGCTCCTTGAGATGCACGAGGAGGGCCTTCATCCGCGACACGTCCCTCGAGCATCCCTTCGGCTTCGCGTCGCACAGCGCGGCCACCTCATCCCATGCCGCGTCGACGCTCTGGCCCCGGTCTCCATCGGCCGCGTGCTGCTTCTCGGCTTTCCTGAAAAAATGAAAATACAAATATGTATGATTTTTAGAAAATCCAATCAAAATGCGTCTGTAGCAAATTTCGCGCGATTCGCAAAAGGCTGTAATCATGCGCATAACCAGGTTTTTGATTCTAAAATGTTTTTTTTTCACCTAGAAGGTACTTTAATAATCAATACCTTGTAAAAAAATTCTTCTAAATAAATGCTAACGTACGGACCATACGAGATTTGCAAATGGCCACCAAATAGCTAATCATATTACGCCACCAAATAGATAACACGCCCAAAACTAAAAAAGCATACTTCCTTTGATTTCAAAATCAGACGTGCAATACCGCTAACGCCGGCTTTTTCCAGGACGACAGAAAAAACATACTCGTTGGCCTGCTTGAGCTCCTTCAGCTGCTGCTCCCGCTTCTTGTACCAGTCGACGAGCTCGTCCTTCGCCTTCTTCCGCCACTCGTCCTTCGTCTTCTCCTCCTCGGCGTCTAAAAATCAGGTAAATAATGGGGAATAAAACAGAGAATAGAGCTGCCTAGTGAGCTTATTTTCAAGAGCGACGTCAGAATCAAAATTCGAAATTGCAAAAAAATTTCAAGCTAATAGCCAAGATAGACAACCTAGGAAAGAAACCAAGGCCACAAAAACGAACCCTTAGCAGCGAGCATGACCTTCTGCTCTTCTTGCCACCGCTTGATGTTCTCGGCCACCTCCTTGGTCATGGCGGCACGAGGGGCAGGGGATGTCCTCTCCGAACCGCCGCCGTTCTGCTGGCCAACTGGCGCGTCGGCTGAAAGTTGACAATTAATAAAGAATTAAAAACGGGTTCAATTAGTTTGCGTAATGAAACTATGCTTATTTTTAAGCTAATGTCCTGCAATTCGATCACAAATGTTCCGCGAAGATCGAAATGTATAAAATAGGCCCGGTCTTATTACAAACCGGTCTCCCTCAAATCTGGGGTTTTCATCAAACTCTGTAACCGGCGGGTCCTGATTCAACTCATAAATTTTGCAAGAAAATCACGTCCGAGACCCCTTTTAAAACAAAAATATGGAAAATAGATGTCTTGCCAGCAAAAATTGTAACCTTGAATAAGAACCGGAAGCTTAATCCAGCCATTAGGTTCTAAGATTGGTTTGATTTTAATAAGACCAACCCCGAACAAAACCAGTCGAAATATTACCAAGAGCAAACGCCGGGGCAAGCACATCGGCGGTGGCGAGGTCGACGCCCGAATCGTTGTTAGGAATGGATGGAGGCTCGGCGGCGGCCATTTGCCCGAATTCGTCACCGAAATCGGCGGGAGCACCTGGAAGTGAAACGTTAATTCGTTGTATGCAAGAACCTGTTGTAAGAAATTTTGCGCTCGAAATCGGGCCAGCTTTGTGAATGATATTACGAAACCGTTGAAAACAAAGACCAATGTTTTGGAAAACACGCGTTTTAGCAATACAAAAGCGGGCCCGCAATTCATTCATCCCCGCTGGTCCAATCTCGAGCCGCTAGCCACGGCCCACACCCAAAACACCACCACCCGACTAGCAGCCCAATGTCACGCAGGAATACCACCCGGGCAGAATAAAAAGAAATAAAGAAGTTCACCCCCGCTTTCCGAGCCCACAATCTCAAAACCTTCGGAGGGATGGTCAGAGTTTTGCGACAGGGCCTTCGGTGATGACTGGGAATTGCCTGCAAAAGAACGGGTGGGCTGGGAAATTTTCAGCTCGAAAAAAAAGCCGTACAAACGCGGTGCTAGTGTGGGTAGTGGAGCGTTCCAAAGTGGACAGCCAACACAGAAAAGCAGCGCGAAGCGCGGAAACGCGAGGACATGGGCGTAATTTTGAAAGGGGCGGCGCCGGATAGTCGATGAAACGCTACTGACCTTGGGCCGGAGGATTGGCTGGCGCATTTCCGCCGTCGATCTCGGCGAACAACTCCTGCTCGCGGGCCAGAAAATCGGCAACTGGGTCGGCCATCTGGAATTGAGGGGGTTAGAAAGACGGGCGAACACTGCTAAATAGATAAAAGATGAAGAAGTAAGGAAAACCAATCAAAAAAAGGATGACGGATAGGCCAAGGCAGAATATTAATGTTTGAATCAATCGGGATAAAATCTCCGTAAAACCTAGAAGAAATCACGATTAGTAAATGTCACCTGGTCACCAGTGCATTGGGCTGTAGTACTACATACAGTTATAGGTTTTTGGACCCCAAAGTGACTAAGTTTGCGTATAAAGTATGAATACCTAGATCGCTAACTACCGTTTGTTTGAGACATAATTTAACTCAATAACTTTATGGTCAAAAGCTTAGTCAGCAAATGCTATCGTGCGAATCACGCGACATTTGATAATTGCTTAAACAATGAAGAGTATCAGAGATCAGGGCTGAGATGCGATCACCGCATTAGTATTTCTCGAAGTAAACGTAACGTTTTTTCGCGGCGAAAAGCTTTTAATAAAATGAAAACAGCATTTCGCAACGGTCGAGAGGCGACGCGTCGTAAAGTACAATCGAAGCCGGAAAGAGAGCCGCCAGCAATCACCATCATATAAACATGGGATCTGAATCGATGGGGGTGACGGCCCATCCCTCCCAGATCGACCAGCCCGATTCCTGGGTGAAACGGGATCCCCGGGTGACGAAGGCAGTTTCCCCCGGCCGCGACGCATACCCCGGGGGCAGCGTTTAGCATGCGTCGCGTTCGCTCATTCACCAAAAACACGACATCGTCGAGCTCGAAATTACTCTTCCGTGCGCCTTGAATGAAATGAGGCTAAACTTTCGAGCTTGACATTGGAATTTGGGCCGGCCCACTTTTTTTGGATCCATGCATCATGAGAAAAAGGGTAAACCTAGTTCCCAAGTTTCCTAAGCTAATAAGGAGGCTTTTTAATGAAAATCGAGTTTTTGTCGGGAACCAAGCCGATCCTGTGCAAAAATTTGCGCTGTTTCCGAACCTGTCCTCAGAATCCAAAAAAATATTATCAAGCTTTTCGGGGGGAAAACGGCCTAATTTTACGCAATTGAGCCATTTTGGGCTCTTTTCGCACTTATGGAATCAGCGCAAAATTCTGCACAAGAGGGGCTTGGCGTAGGGGAACTCGTTTGCGACCAAAAAACCGCTCCTTGTGCGCCTCATTTTGAAAATAAGCCAAACGAAGTCGAAGCATAAAGTAAGGCCAAAAAATAAAATAGAAATAGAAAGCCGGGTGGATCTTTTGCAACTTGTATACTTCTTTATAACTTGGATACGCGAATCACAAATACCCAAAAGCGTTTCCAACGCTCCGCTTTCTTTCTTTCAAAATCAAACCGCTCGGTTCAATGAAACGCTTTATTAACACAGGAGCAACACACACAAATGTCTAGTAGCGATCAATATAACACGAGGAAAAGTGAGCGTCTACAAAAAAACGGGTAGACTACAAGGCTTAACAAAAGAGACGAGCGTTGGCTGCGAGTTTAACGGGAGAGTGGGTGGGCGACGGTTGGTTGATAATCATCCCTTCTTCGTCGGCTGCATCGTCGACTTGACGGGGTTGCGGGCCGTCTGCAGGAACGACGGCATCACGCTCAAGCCACGGCGTGGGGCTGTAAAACCGAGCTGTAGAACGGGTTCTTTAGTCACTTCCGGGAGATCAGTTTTTTATCCAGGATCCAATTTTTTTTGAAGCTTTAATCGAGGTAGTAGGCTGTTTTCTACTAGGGCTAGAAGCGCGGACTCGTAAAAATGAGTTAAATATTCTAAATTAACGATTGTTCACATAAACAAACAGCAATAAAGGTTCTTTAGGATTCCCGGGGGAAAGTATTCCCGGGGGAAACCAATTTTTTTCCTGGTGGTCCCGGTTGGCCTAGTAATCAAATATAAAGTGTTTTCGAATTGTTTTTAATAAGTTTTAACTATATTTACAGCGGAATAACTTTCAGAAAAATTTAGAAAAATGTTTGAAAAAGTCGAAAATTTGGTCATTTTGGGTCTATTTTTCGACCTAATTTTTAATTTTTTACATTTTTTTGGTTAAAATGTGTGTAGTTTTTATGCACAGGAATAGTTAAAAACAATTTAGAAACGCATCCGCAATTTATACAAAAATCTAGGCTTTCGCCGAAAAAAATTTGTTTTCCCCCGGGAATACTTTCCCCCCCCGGGAATCCTAAAGAACCGCAATAAAACATATTTTCGCTTGAAATCTTGCTAAATTTGCTAAAAAGCCTGTCTAAATACTTGCTATAACGTTAATAGGACTAGGAAACATTTGGATCCCCGCCCCGGAAGAACTAAAGAACCTCCTTACGCCAAAAATTACCGTTGATAGCCTTGATGCTGGTATTTTCCTTGGGGAACGACGTGACGTCCTCAGAGACGCGGAAGTTCTTCACAATGGCCCCGGTGGCCGAGTCGAATTTGTTGGTCATCGGCGTGCGCGTCAGGAGACGGATGCTGTCATCGATGGGGACAGGGTGAAGCTGAAAATGGAGATTAGCAACGTCAGACTCGTGTAATAATCACCTTTGCCTTGTCGGCGATCTTGACCGATTCCGTCTTTTTCGCCGTGCCGGGCGTCTCCACGAGAATCGGGGCCAATGGCTTTCGCTAAAAGAATATATGGGTGTAAATGTAAAAATAAGAACCTTCTCCTCGTTCCACCACCTATGCAGCTTCGTCGCCAAATGGACCGCGTCATCAGAGAGGCCGGGCTCGATCTCGGGTGGCATTCCGCCTTCGGTCGGAAGGCCGAACGGATTCTGCAAAAAAACACATGAATTAGTTGCTCTGAAGAAACACCAACCAAAAGCTTGTTGCGGACAAAGCAGCGGCAGGGGTCGCTGACCGGAACCTCGACGGTCATCCTCGTCCACCCCTTCTCGTTCAGCTCTGTTTGCAATGCGCTCAGCAGCTAGAATCACAAAATATAGAGATGTGATGGTGCCAGATTACATCCTGAACGTTGGTCACCATCCGGCCGCTGTGCTCAATGATTCGATCACCAAAGCCGAGGCAGACCGCCGCCGCCGATTTGTCGCGCACCCTTTCGACAAAGACCTGGAACAAAAAAAAAGAATTTTACGCACCAAAAATGGTACTAGACCATTAGCGGGGGGGAAGGGGGTGTGTTCTGCAGGAGAAACCTAATTTTGACCTGTCGCCCTATTGGGTCCCGATCATGTATCTATCTAGCTTTTCCAGCACCTCCAATTCAATTACTAAAACGGCTCTTTACGCTGTTTTAAGGCTTCTAAACTACAAAAAAAAAGATCAAAATCGCCAAAAAATTTGATTCGTGGGTATCTCTCAAAATTTTCAACGTTTCCAAAATCTATATAAATGTTTTGATGACTTTTCAGTAACAAAAACACCACAAAACGCTTGAAAAATCACACCCCCCGCCCCTGCTAACGCCCTGTACCGAAAAATGTACCCTGTTCATCTCCGGGTCTTCGATCATCCGCACATCAAGGCCGACCTGCATGCCCTTGTAGTTGTAGAGGTAGACTTGGTGGTACTCCATCCCTTCCTGCTTCGTAAACCTGAAAAATTCACAATATTTTGAAGACCGTCGGAAGCACACGAACCCGGGCAATAAGCTCCAGTCGACCGGCACCTTGCGCTTCAGCCGGATCACCTCGAATCGGGCCTAAACACCCCTGATTCAACGAAAATCGAAGCAATACCGTTTTCTTGCCCTTCTTCGTCAGCGCCTTCAGAAAGCCGGTGTTGTTCTGCAGGTTCTCGGTGAAATGGAAGTCGTTGCACTGGACCAGGATGTCGCCAGAATGTAGGTGACATTGCATTACCTAAAGTATCGAGGACAATGATGCGAAAATACGGTCCTGGTCATTTAGGCGGACTTTAATGGAGATAGAAAAGGTCTCCAGCCCATTCCTAGCAATTCCTTTCCCCAGATTTTGAGTGTTTCATTCTCGAAAGTAAGGGACGAAGGGCCAATGCTAGATTCACCCTCCGCTAGCCGTCCAGCACCAGCAAATTTTACGCACCGATCCGGGGAAGACGTGCACGACGAGATCTTCTTTGATCAGCAGCCCCAACTGATCGTTCGTCTCCCACTGGACGTCGACGGTGACGCGGTCGGTCAGATGGTCCGGCATCATCTTTCCCCTCACGCATCGCTTCACCTTCGCCGCCAGCTTGTCCGTCATCTTCTGAAGGTATTAGCACATTGAATTATAAGTGGAGAAAGATACCTCGCGCGGCCTAGCACCATCAATTTGCGAGACGATCGGCAGCATCGTCTAAACCGGCCGTAGACAATGAAAAATAGAGATGGATACTTTCATGTTGGAGACGGCCGGTTTGTCGTCGCCGGCCGGTGGCGGTGTCTGCGGCTCTGAGCAAACGAAATCTGCACGAGTTGTAAAAACTCACTCGGCTTGCCGCCGCCATCTCCTTTCTTCTTGACTTTGTCTAAAAACTGGAATTATTCCGGCATACGTAAATAGTTTTCAAATCACGCAAAAATGGGTGCTAGACTGTTAGCGGGGGATAACGATGGCCTATCGCTTCCTATGGGGTCAGGATAGTGAAATAAGCACATTTTTCGTGGCCCTTTAAGGCGATTTCATGCATAGACGGTTCATAAAACAAATTAATTTCCGAAAAATGTTGATTTTGGCTTAAAAACAGTGGAAATTTTGAAATTTCTTTGTTTCATCTTGAAAATTACCAAAGACGCTATGAAACACGAGAAAGGTTGCTAGCTCTACCCCCGATAACAGTCAAGAACCGAAAAACGGGCACGCACCTTTGGACGCGCCCTTCCTGAACATCTTGCAGGGGCCGCGAGACCGACGAGCGCTGCTGAAGGGAAATGGCCATTTTTGCCAGCGCAGCCGACGCTCCCGAAGTCGAGTAATTTATGCATTTATGGCATTCAAAACCTATACGGGCAAATTTGAAAGCACTAAAAAGTTATTGACGTGGCTAACGCTATTCAAATATGCTCTGATATAAAAAAATAGTGTCTGTGTGTGTGTGTGTGCCACTTTGCATCCACTTCCGTATCGTTGTTCCAGTCGTATCTCTATAGGGGAAGAAGTTATGGGTGGGTACGATACGTCATTATGTGCGTAATGGTCTAGGGATGACTGCACACATATCAGATTTATAAAAATCAGCCATTTTCGATATTAAATTTAAGTCTTTGTAAAACCCTTTTCGCAGGAAAAATTAGCATTGACCGGAAGTAGGAGGTCGCCTATATAAAGGGTCAGAAGCTAATCATTTTCATTTTTTTGGCCATCTGAACTCAGCGCAATTATGCAAAGCGTAGAACAGCATACGGTCTAAGACGGGACCAGGGTTGAAAAGTCGCGAAGCGGCTTTTCAACCCTGGTATGCTCTGAAAATACGAGAAATATTTATTTATTAAGAAGGGAAAGCGCATGATAATCTTATCACAATTTTCGGGTTTTTGCCACACGGATATAGATTTGCAAAGATTAAGATTACAGCAACGGAAGAGCGAAAACGAGCAAAATGGAGATCACTGGTACCCACAAACAGAAAAGAAAAAGAAGATAATATATGCTACTAACATCATGTGTATTACTAACATGCAAAAAGAAGAAGTTATTAATATACGTCATCGATACGGTCTCGGAACATGATCAGGGCGGGCAATGCAGTCTCCGGGGTCACCTCCGCGTACTCGGGCTGAAAAAACGGGTTATAGTGTTTTCTAAAACTGTTTTAAAAATGTGTTTCAGCCGTATTTTTTTCGTGGTCTTTTTAATGTGTAACTTTACAATGCACCACTAACACGCCATAAAAATCTAGCAAATCCTACTATATATAAAAAAATAGTGTCTGTGTGTGTGTATATTTGCATGCACTTCCGTTTGGATGTTCCGCACCTACAGCCTCAGGGAAGCATTTTTTCGGTAGGGAAGAAACGTCATAGGGTAAAGAAGGGGCCGGAATCGACTGCACACACATAATAGTCTTGAAAAATTTCTATTTTCGATATTAAAATTAGGTTTTTGTAAAGTTTTCGGCCAAGCTCTTTGTTAGGAAACAATTAGCATCGGCCGGAAGTGGAAATGGCTTATAAAAGGAAGAGAGGGCGCGCTTTTCATTTTTTGGTGAGCAGTTTTCGGCGAGAATTATGTAAAGTGAATAAATTCATCGATCCTAGACGGGGCCAGGGTTGAAAAGCCGCGAAGCGGTTTTTCAACCCTGGTTCAAGCATTAAAATTGCTGACAATTTTCGGACAGTGCCCAGAAAACAAAATTGTTGAAAATGCTAAATTTCTCGCTTATAGGATAGGATGTTTGGTATGAACTATCTGTCCTGCCAAAACGACGTAAAAATCTGCATAATGACGTGTATTATTCGCACCCTCCGCGGGGCGATTTGAAAAGGTTAGATGAGCTGCTAACAATTCAGCCTCGAAAATTCCAAGCAAATTACCTCGCCTGGAGCAGCCCATCGAAGGACGCGACAGGCAGCGTCCTTGATCGGCGTCAGGGCCGGGTGGTCGAATTTGCGGAGTCGCGCCTTGTCCCGTTTTCGCTCTTTCGCGTGTAGTTGGGCGAGTTCAGCGTCCGTCTAAAGAAAATTTAAAACTTGAAAGTTCTAAAGAAACACAGTCGTTACTCGAAAATGAGAAAAACTACCTTGTCTTTCGACGTTTGCACCATCGTCTCGATGAGGTCAGCCCAGTCGATTTTGAGGATGTCGGCAGTCGGCATGCCAGCCACATCCGGGCAAGCCTTCGGCATGTGCTCGGAAACGGCGCGTAGAACTTTGCGTAGCGTCTTGATAGCTTCTGCCTAAAAAATACGGTTCTTTCGCATCGTCGCGGGGCCCTTGTTTTTCCTATTAGTCCCAAAATGCCTAGTAACGTAACACCCGTCCCTTAATGGTGTTTTTAGTAAATCTGACTATACTTCAAGTGCAAAACTAACTAAACTTTGGCAAAAAATCTTTCAAAAAATTGCTATTTTGGTAAAAAGTAAATTTTGTTTGTCTAAAGTTGATTTTCTTATATCCTACCTTATATAATTTTGGCGTGTATCTTTGTGTGTGTGTGTGTGGATGTCAGTTTCGAGTCCCGATTTGCGGGCGTTCCCGTGTTCAAAATGCCTCAATTCTTCGTCACTTGGGGGAATCGACCTTTCTGTTTCCGATGGCGTTCTCAGAATTTTGATAAAATACAAGTTTACAAAGTTAAACCCAGTTTTATTCATTTTTGGGGTCCCTGAGGGCTCATTTGCATAATGTGAAAAAAGTACAAAGTTCCCCATTCTTGCGAGTTGCACACGCGCGTGTGGTTGGTGGGGGGTCCGCACGACCGCGGCTATCGGAAAGTCAAATTTCTCATGCAGAGGCCGCCTTCCAGCGCCCAAGGCCCGCGAAGCGGGTTTTGGGCGCTGGTTGTATAATAAAATTGATAGATTTTACGTTTATGGGATCGCAAATTTTTTTAGAAATTGGCACCTAAGGAAAAATTGGGTCGCCTACGCAAGCACGCGAAAACACCAAAAGTTGACTCAGAAAAAAAAGAAGAACTTACGCTGGACGGAGGCGTAGTGGCGGCTACGGGAGCGCTGACCTTCTCGCGTAGCTTCGATGGCTTGGGACGAGTCGCCGAGAGGGTCGGGGTGTCGATAGGACGCTAAGCTTCACAGATACGATTGAGAAAAGGCCAAAATCACCTGACTGTAGTGTTCATTTACGTCCGCCAGCTCATTTTTCACATCACTGGAGGAGAGCGCGCTTCCACTGGCCCGTGCCCTAAATTGCAATTATCTTTATTTAAATTATTTTATTTTATTCGTAAATTATTTTAGCCAGCCTTAGAAAACAATCTCGTCAAACACTAAGTAAAAATTTTGGCACAATTTTGAAAAATCGACGTTTGGTCAAATTGTAAAATCAAAGTTAAATTTTGGCACAATTTTGAAAAATCGACGTTTGGTCAAATTGTAAAACCAAAGTTAAAAAAACTTTAAGGGCTAATAACTGACCTTTTAATGGCGGGCATCGACTGACGGGAGGCGCTGGGTTGTGAACGCTTGTTCGTTGTGCTAATTTGCTGGCGTACGGACGGTTCAGGTGGCTGAAAATGTGGCGTTTTCTAGACCGATTCTCAGTTACCGTTCCCACACGTTTTTCGGGCTTTGAATCGACGTCTTCCTCCGATATCGTGATTGTGGAGTGGAATAGAGCATACGGATCATCATACTAAACGAAAGATACACAAACTGCGTAAAGTGGTAAACAATTACATCGTCCAGCTGACCATATCTCGTGCCATTTTCATCGTCGGCAATTTCGATGCACTCGGTGGTCTTTGCCTAAATGCAACAGAATGGGAGGCTTAAAAAAGCGGACTTACGACAGGTGGCTCGCCGGGTGTACTGCTTGTGTTTGAGGAGATCGCAATCACTGACGCGCCGCTGAGCGAATTTTGTGAAGTTGTGTGGCGCGCTGTTTCCATTAGCTCGTGCCATGAGGGTGCCTCTCTCTTCGGGCTCAAAAGCTAGAACCGTAAGTAATGCCCCGGATACTTGAAAAACTATTGAAGCCGCCAACTGCATATTCACAAAGAGCAAACATTTTTTCGGCCAAGATTCTTTTACATAACCAGCGGAAAAATCCATTTTTTTTCGACCTAAAATGAGTTTCAAACCTTGCCTAATTTTGAAAGTTTTTCCATAAATCCCTAAATTTCTTTAAAGACTATGAAAACATTTTTACTAGGCCATCCTGGAGTCGGAGGAAAAAACTAGCTGCCCCTGTGAATACTCAATCAGCCCGAAAGAAAACGAAAAATACCTTTCTACCCCTGTCGGAGTTTTTGGCCTTTCCAGACGATAGATCATTGCCGATTTTGATAGATTTCAGGCCTCCTTTAGCGGCACATGACTAAAAAAATGAAAAGTAAAAAAAATAATGAATCGGTACCCGATAAGCCTCATCGGGATGGTCCTTGCACGCCCATCTTTCGGGCACGCCTCCCAAGAAGTAGTCGGTGTTGAACGGAACATGGCGCCACTTCAGACAGTTCACTAAAGGATAAGATTACTCGCATCAAGTAGCATTAAAAAAGCGTGTTTAAAGAACACTAGTTACCCACCACACTGGATTGTATAGCCGGTCAATTCACGGCGTGCCTTCTGGAAATTGGCATCCATTTGGCACACAGATTCCCAAGCCGTCGAGTTGTAGCCGAGGCGCGCCCTGAAATTAGAAATTATTTATAGTGCACGTTTTGCAAATTTGATGATGACTTTGTTTCAGATCGTTATTTACATTTCGAGAAGACAAACAGCGGCTTTATATTAGTACCCTAACCAGCTAGCGCCTTTTACGGTGCCCAAACCTCAAAAATAATAGCCTTTTTCCCCTAGGTCGTTCGCCACCTAGTTCTTCACGATAACCCCGTTCTTCTGACCTCTATTTATCGATCTGACTAGAAAAAAAACCGGTTTTTGGGCAAATACCGCAAACCGGAATTAACACCTAGTTTCATTTTTACAAAAAAATCACGACAGGCAAACCTTGCAAAAAACACACCAAAAATCTGCCACACCGCCCGGCTTCTCGTCGAGCTTCAGGTCCAACCAGTATTGTCCCATGTACTTGTTGGCCTCCCGCATGATGCTGTTGTAGGCCGTCCTGAAATTGGAATACAGAAAATGTTTGCATGTCATGTAAAATCACGGCCACCATACGAAAACGTTATTTTCTACTCGCGCCTTACCGCCGGCGGTTGCACGCCCAATGAGTGCAGAAGTCACCATACAGGTCAAAAGAAAACAAACATTTTAGCCAGAATCAATTTTTCAGGAAAATGAATTGGAAACCGCGGAGCTGCAAATCGTAAAGCGCGTCCTTTCCGAGGTATTTAAGAACAGAAAATTCCACTGGGTTTTTTCAGGTCTATGCCACCGACGCAAATCGGACCGAGTTTACGCGGAGCGCCGAAAAGATTCATCGATTGTTGAATGCCAAGCTCAACGAAATGGTAGGCCACGCTAAATCGGTTTTAGCGCCAAAAATAAAGCTCATAGTTTAGTTCTGGCTTTATATCATGTTTCACCGTTTAGCTTTCATAACTAGAAGGTCAGCAAAAGTGTGAAACAATAAAGAATTGCAAGTTTCCGATCATCTAATCGATTTTTTAGCGAAAAAAAATTGTAAATCTTTAAAACCTTTTTAACTACGAAAATTGTGGGGTTTTTTGGAACCCCACCGCACGATAGGCCAACGTTAGAAAGCTCTGAGCCGAACTTTTCAGTACCCCGGCGCCAAGGACACGTGGGCGATCTGCGTCGGCGAAAAGTTCGGAATCTGCGCAACGTTTGAACGGTACCCCCCACACGGAAACCCGACTCGAATAAATCTGCACTAGGAAGGGCTTCGTCTTCGCCAGTGTCAACGACGTGTCGGTGGTCATGTTCCGGATGCCCAGCAAGGACTAAGCGCGCCCGATTCTCCAATCAATAACATATTAAACACCCCGCAATTAAGAATAAAGTGTCACTCTTTTTCTTTTCTTTTTTTCCGGCAAGAAACAGCTGCCAAATCCTCACTGGCTCTCGAAGCTCTGCTTGTTGTGTGTTGGCGTCAAGACGGCGCATGGCAGGTTGACGACGCCAATCACGCCCAGCGCCTTCCTGTAAGCAGGTTCGGTCAAAAGATCATGAAACAGCAGAAGCCGGTACTGGGCTGTTAGCGGGGGCCTGACTTTAGTCCAGCTGAGTAAGGTCCCTATAGTGAAATACGCAATATCTGTTCAGCTTTTCACGCGGTCTTTAAGCATAAAACGCTGATAATTATCAAATTATACAAAAAGTTTTTCGACGAATTTTTAATAATAAACCAATTGAATATCAAACTGTAAAGCTTAAACAACAAAACGCCAAAAAATTTCGGTAGACAGTTGTTAGAGAGCTGCTTCCGCTAACAGTACAGTACCCATAACCGCACCAAAGGAAACCCCCTCACATGTTGGCATCATTCTTTTTGCGCTGCATGCTCGTCTTCTCGTACATTTTGATCAGCCGGCCATTGACGTAAAGCATCATTCCGTACCTGCGCAAGAAAAAGTCCAAAAAGCGGAATTGTCCTCACCTATTTCTGTTGTGAACGTTGAGTCCGAAATAAAACGCAACCGGGATGGGGTTGGAAATGGCTCGTTTCGCTTCTTTTTCCTTCTCCTTGGCCAGCGCCCATTCCTTTCCCAGGTCTTCAATCTTGGCGGTCTGGCGAGTGTATGCCACATTCTTCTCACGGGTCATCTTTCTGTAAACAGGGTATGGCGATAGCAAGAAAAGACGAATCCTGCGGTACTGGAATGCTAGCGGGGGGTGGCTGATTTTCTCTTATCGCGCCGTAGTGTATCAAATCTAAATGTACGCCATGCACAGTGGTTTTGGCAAAAATCTCAAATTTTTTAATTTTTAAAGATTTTCTTGCGACTGTTTCATACTAAAAAGCTACCACTAAAAGACTACGAAACGCGAAAAATTGATTTGTTGATGCCGATCCCCACCACAGTCCAGTACCTATAATGCAATAGGCCAAACGAGAAAACGAACCCCGTGTTCACCCTATGCATTTTGCCGAGATCCGATTTTGCTTCCTGAAGCCGATTTTCCGCTAAAAGGTTAAACGCAATTTCGGGAGCCTCACTAATTAACTACCTTTTTTAGTTAACTCCATGCAATTCTTATGCACCGCTTTCGCCCCTTCCTTCAGGTCGGTCGCCCGGAATTCGTATTTACGCTGTTCGCCGAGTGATTGGACGAGGTTCGTCTGTTGAACCTTGGTGCCGCGCAGGAAGATCTAAGACTGTGATTGGAGGGTCGGCAAGGAGCATACCTGCATCTGCGGCGCAAAATACAGGACCGCAAGATAGGCACGAAGGGAGTTGTGTTCAGGTTCGCTATAAAACCCGGTTAAACATATTTAAAGTTTTTGAAATTTACCGTCTATCCGGGTTGCCAGACAGCTTGATATCTCGTATTTCAGAGACAAAGTCCAGCTCCAAGGTTTTTGCATCGAGATGGCGCAGTTCGTAGAGGACTACCATCGTGCCGGACTTACCCTAGAAATGAAAGATGACGGTGAGCTCAGACCAAGCATGTCCGTCTCAAAAAAAGGAATGTACGCACAATCTTGTCAAATTCGTGCATGATGGCGTTGAGGTCATTGAATGGAGAGTAATCATAGATCATCTAAGACAATTCACACGAAAGTAGGTCCAATAAACCTTCATTTCAATGTCGTGCCTTTCAGAAGCGTCCTGGGCTGCATCCAAGAAAGCTGTGCCATCTCTATTGAAGGACGGTGACGCGATGAATACCTGGAAATGAAAGCGATCCACTGTCAAGGATTGAGTAGATGTTAAGCCAAAATCCTAGCCACTAGAATAAGCTCCTAGTAAGCGCTACCCACTTCGTGTAAGCCTTGTTCTTCGTGGAATGTGCGTGATAGCAGCAGACAAGAATATATTGAGTCCTTTTTCGTGAACATGATCATATCCTTTGCCACGCGCATCGCACCACTAAAAACCACGTAAATCGTCAATTCTTCTAGTTGACCTCTTGAGTCCATTGCCGTATTGGCCAATGAAGCTGCCGCCTTTCTTGTATGAGTGGCCAAATTTGACGATCGAAATAAGTTCTTTCGGTGACATCCCACAACCGTCATCCAAAAAAGAAAGGAGCTTGCCGTTGGGATCTAAACAAAGACCAGTCATCGAAATCCAAAAATCCTCACCCCAATCAATGTGGAGAGCTTGCGCGTCCGCATCGGCGGCGTTGTCGGCGATCTCAGCGATAGCACCAAAGGCGAATTCATGCGTCGTACTAAGAACTACATATAGGATATCATACGAAAGTATACCTATTCGTGTGAAGGTAGTTGTAGGCGATTGAGGCCTTCGTGAGCAGCTCAGTCTTATACACCTTCGGACGAGACATCTGTGAAAAGCGTTAGGTGCGGCGTCGCAATACGCGAAAATCAAACACATCGCTATGAAAACATCTCGGAAACTTTCTAAACGATGCGAGAAGCTTAATACGCTTTTTTCCACGGTGCGAAATTTCTATCTAATGTTGCGCTAATTTTCAGGAAAGTGCTTCCTTTACTTTTGTAGGGGTGTCAACGCCAACGAACTGTGTGTGGAGGTGCATCCAGGCATGAATCAAATACCTTTCAATTGACCATAAAAACAATTTATTATGGAAAATAAACCGGAAAAATGACAATACACAGAATATGACAACTCGATACAGACTGAGAAAGGGAAGGGATATGGCACAGAATGGGAGGGAAATGGTACAAGCATTGTACAGATTCTAGATATTAAATTTGGGCACCCGCATGCTGAACGGCTTGCTAGAAGCGAAGGTGACCATGTTCGTCGAAGAGATCGTGGGCCAGCTGAGAGGGGTCGCCAGAACGGTTCAGACTAGAATGAAAATATGAAGGGCAAAGAAAGATTTCTTACTCTGCGGTAGAAAGACGACGGGCCAGCAACTCGACAGGCTCCTCACACTCGAAGAACATCGGCAAATCGATGGAAGAACGAGGGGCTTCCATGGGGTAATTTCCTTCTGCGCCGAGGTCTTCGGTGATAGCGCGAAGCTGCGGCTGCCTGGCCCGACTGTTCGGTGATTGCCATCCATGGCCGTTGTCGCTGCGCCGGGTCATCAAGGGGGTGGTCCCAGCATGCCGCGTCATGTAGTGGCCGCCGTCGTGGCTAAAAAAAAGATACAAGCCGAGAGAGCGTCTACTAACCTCACATCAAACTGCTCGTGCTCTTCGTTGATCAGCGACAACTCCGGTTCTTGCGAACTCTGGCGACGGCTAGACCCATCGCTGTCGTACATGGAATGCGGATGCATTTCCGAAGCAGACTCGAACCTAAACCGATGAACTGCTGCAAAGGGAAAACATACTTCTTCATGGCAGAGCTGGACATGCCGAGCTTCAATGCAATTCGACGGCGTTCTTCGAGCCCGCGACGTTCAACGGCACGCTTTTCGGCCTCTTCGCGGAGGACTGCTTCTTGCAGCATGCGCACGAGAGCCTGTCGATTGGCCCCTTCGACGACATCGGCATTGATCTGGTCAGATTGACCCTGTAAAAAAGTTGACAGCCAGCTAAGAAAGTGTACCTCAGGAGAAGACAACGACTGCGATAGGTTGGCCGAACCAGGTGAGCTACGCTCACGGATGTTGCGCCCGTGACGGTTCTTGAGCATGGCCGGCGGAGGGACATCCAGACGAAGGTCTTGCCAACCACTATAAAAAATAGGAATAAAATTGATAAAGAAAACGCACGCTTTGACGGGCGACTGATCGAAGAGTTCCACCTCGGAATCGTGGGCCGGAGACAGCTGTCCGGCAGTCACCAAGCGATCGTATTCGACCAACGGCAACCCCTTCTTCAGCTTGTGGATGAATTGGCACCGAGGTCCATAGGGGCACCATCCGAATTGCGAAAACTTGTCGCAGAGCTGCGTCTTGTACTTCGGATGTGTCTTGCCTCGCGGGACGGAAGGCAGGCGCAGCTCCTGTTCGCCATGAGCAAAGCGGCACACATCGCCGTATGAGCACTTTCCGGTTTTACGGAAAGCGTCACAGAGGGCCGTCTTGAAGGCCTCTTCCTTGCGCTTCTTTCGCATGGCTTCTTCGCGCTCCTCGTCAGTCAGGGTCTCCTGGTGATTCGGTGTGCGACGAGTGGGATGCACCTAAAGCAATAAACTAAAACACAAAGAAAGCAATTACCGAAGCAGGATGGCCTTGCAGAATGGTCTCGTCGTGCGGATTCGGCAGAATGAAAGGGCCCTTCTTCATCGGCTGCACCTTGCCCTCGAGAAGCGATGGGATGTGGCTAGAGCCGTGGTGCTGCCCTCGACGTCCGTACTTCGATTCATGTCCAGGCGAGAGCACCGCATCCGGAGTGATCGTTTGCATCGACGGGGTTGGGAAAACTAAAAGGACAGTATTTATCGAAGAGCAAAACGGTACTTTGTGCGTAGGGACGGGTGATATGTCCGTAGCCGTAGCAATCGCCGTCACGCATCCCGCGCTGGACAGAGGTCGGAGGCACGATAGACGACATAGAACCGAGTGGCTGAAACGTTAAATATGAGTAAAAGAAGGACAGGCGGTACAAAAATAACGAGTGAAGGCAAAAAGCCGAGAGGCGAAAGGATGGACGTCAAAATAACGCAAAAGAAAGTCAAAAAAGATGCGAAAATGAGAAAGAAAGCGAGGACGAGGGGAAAATCAAATGCGATGAAAAAAGGAAAAGCCTCGCTCGTCGGGAATGGCTCGGAGTCAGTCCGCTACGGTATTTTGTCCACCGGATAAATGTCGGGCTCGAGCGTACAGTGTCGGAATCCACGCGACCAAATAAAAATCGAGCCGTTTTGCACCGAAAATGCCTCTTTTGCATGTTTTTACATGAATTTCGGAGGTTCAAGAACCTGATAACATATTTATGGGCTGTGAATTAGGCTCTATAAGGTTTTTGAGTGGATTTTAAGCCTAAATAGAGAAAATACGCTATTAATCACCAGAGCGATGACCTTCCTGTATCAAGGAGCTGCGTTCGCGACTCGGCGTCTTTGTTTTTTTTACTTGAAATGGATTATAAATTTTTTAAAAATTGTATAATTTTTGAGCCTGGAACCGTATCCCCCTGAAAATTATAAGTTTTTAAAATTAATATAATTTTTGAGCCTCTCTTCCGATCACTCTCTATCTCTCGCTTACTCTCTCGCTTTCCGTTTCTCTCGTACGATCACTCTATACCTCTCTTTCCGTTTCTCTCGAATGATCACTCTCTGTCTCTCGCTTACTCTCTCGCTTTCCGTTTCTCTCGCCCACTCACTCTCCCAGAAATAATGATTTAACAACAATAGTAAGCCAACACAAATAAACGACACTCAAAACATCAATAACCATAGGGAAGGTAACAACGAAGGGTTAGGGTGAGGGGTGGGTTAGGGTTAGGCTCGGGTGCTGACGTCACGGTGAAGAAAAGGCGCTGGCGCTCTCCGTTCTCAGGGTCTGTGGTGTTCTTGTCATCGGGCACGTATTCGTAGTAAAACTGAAGCAGAACAGTAAAGTATGATCAAATGGTATTTGCCTCGAAACGATCCATCTTGGCGGTAGCGGCCCGTTTGGTGATGATTACCTTTTGTATGTAGTTGCCCTGGTGCAGCCACCCAGCGGCTGGGGTCCACCCTGAAAAAGGTTGGTTGTGAAGATAGAATCTGAGAAAACTCAAGCGGCACCATCCGTGGTTTTCACCCTGAAATTTCTGATTTTGTCGGGGTTGCTGACGTGCAGCGCCTTCTGCCCGGTAAGACCGTTCCACACCAAACGGGGCGTATTGACCGTAGGTAATTGTGCACCCTTCCTCTTCGCGCCCTTCTTCTCCTCCTTCTTCGTTCTTCTCCTCTTTCTCCTCCTCCTTCTTCTTCTTCTCCTCCTTCTTGATCTCGTCGCCACCGTGGCGAGCCTCTCCCTGAAACAAGTTCTTTGAGCCGATTCCCGAAAAAGCAAAGAGCTTGCACCGGGCGGGTGTCGAACCCGGGTGTGTCTACCTGATAACCCATGGCGCCATCCACTACACCACGGTTGCCAAGTGGGCAGGGGTCACGAAAATGCCTAAATACCTTCTTGGGCTTCTCTTTCTTTTCCTTCTCCTTCTTCTCGTCATCCTTCTTCTCATCCTATTTCTCTTCCCTCTTCATTTCTTCCTCCTTCTCGGGCTTTTCGGGGGACGGCGTGCGGGTGTGCCGAGACGTTCGCTAAAAAAGTACGTTTAAGACGAAATTGGGATGTACAATTGACCTTCTTGATGTAGCGACGCTGTAGGGTCGCGATAGGTGTACCCATAAAGGTACATCTCTCGCAAGCTTCATCTAAACTGACCGTCAACACGGGACAAAAGGATTCGTTATTGCGCAGCGAAGCGAGGATTTCCGGGTCTGCACCGCCACCGAAGACGTAGCGTTGCAGTCCTACACATCGCCACGAATCGGTAAATCGCCTACAGCCTTCTTTGCGGCCCGTCGCCGCACTGGAAATAACGGATTGAAGCATTTTATCAGGGCCAACGCGCCTGACAGCCAGGGAGAGCAAGGGCGAGAGGTAGAGAAAGAGGGAGAGAGAGAGAGAGAGAGAGAGAGAGAGAGAGAGAGAGGGAGAGAGACAGCGAGGGAGAGAACCAGCGAGGGAGAGAGATAGCGAGGGAGAGAGATAGCGAGGGAGAGAGACAGCGAGGGAGAGAGACGGCGAGGGAGAGAGACGGCGCGGGAGAGAGACAATTATTAACGAGAGAAACGAAGGCAGAGAGAGTAAGCGAGCGAGCGAGAGAGAGAGAGAGAGAGAGAGAGAGAGAGAGAGAGAGAGGGAGAGAGAGTAAGCGAGAGATAGGGAGCGATCGGACGAGAGAAACGGAGGCAGGATTCGCATTTTCGAAGTTAAAATGTAATTTGACGATAATTTATCGGCTGTATTTTGGGGTATTAAGATTTTTAAGTGGATTTTGCATTGAAATGGAGAAATTACGGTTTGATAGGTGGATCTTCTTCTTCTTATCTTCTGTAGGGGTTTTCAAAGAAATTTTGACATGTTAACCCAGACTTGATACTTGTCTGAAACTTCAAACCGAGGTTGAGAGCTAGTCCCGTCACTAGCATCTATCTGCAAATATTATCGTGGTGCCTACCCTAGCCGATATATCTTTATTGGACAGGGAAACGCGTAACATTCAAGGCAATCAGACATGGCGAACAAGTACATAGAAAATCTAGCAAAAAAAATCACAACAAAATCACAACATGATTTTAAAAAAAACGCGAAGAAAACTTGAGCAATTCATGAAGCACCGTAGGCGGGTGGATCGACGTGAAACAGGGTTATGGTGGCATCATCAGAAGCGGAGACCAGGATTGACGGGTTGGTTGGGTGCCATTTCACGCAATTCACATCACCGTCATGGTGTACGGACGAGGAAATCGGCTGGATGCTCTCGATCCCATCTTCCGCCTTGACAACAGCAAACAACCTGAAAAAGGGCGGTTTGACAGCGCTCACATGGTTTTTCGGTACTGGACTGTTAGCGGGGGGAGGGCTCACACCCTGTGGGGTCCAAATGATGGAATACACACCATTTATGGCGCTTTTTACGCCGCTTTAAGTGTAAAAGTTTCATAGAAAATTACAAAATTACAGAATTACTAATTACTAAAAAAATCGGTAGGCATTTATGAAACTATAAAAAACCTAAAATACCTAAAAAGTATATTATTTAGGTTGGAAATCGATCATCTTAATCGACCAAATATTAACAAAATTTCAAAGTGTCAAGCTTTTTTCTACGTCTTTCAGAAGTCGTTTTACTCTAAATACAACTAAAATTTACTGAAAAGCTGAAAAGGGAAATGACAATAGAAAAATAATATCACAAAAATACCTCTTTTAGGTCGAAAATTCGATTTTTAACGGAAAATTTCAAATTCTGTTCATCCTTGAAGTTTTTTCTAATTTTTTCAGCGGTTCTATTTTAAATAAAAATAGAATTTACTAAAAACCTGGAGCAACAGGAAAGCGTTTGCTAACGGTACCCCCCCCCCTGCTAACAGTCCAGTACCGGGTTCTATCATTTCATCATAAAGAAATAACGAACCGTATCCGCCGATCGCCAGAGCCGACGGCAACGAGGCCAGTCACCGGATTCCAATCTACCGTATAGAGGGGCCATCGACAGTCATCCACCCGATATTTGGCGACGCTTCTCCATTCGCCCGCCCCGCGGCTCCATAGCTGAAAATGACGCGACATTAGATGACCAAACTATTCAGAGTGCGTACCTGTACAACTCGGTCTTCTCCGACGGTGACGAGGCGTTCGCCCTTCGCGTCAAATGCCGCTGCCCAAACCGTGCCTTCGTGAGCCTGAAAACGGATAAATAAGGTAAAACAGGTTCTTTCGCGCTATCTGGGGCGGGGGCAACTTTTACTAAAAATGTCATTTTCGTATTAGATATAGAAGACGTGCCTATACCCTATTTTTTACTATACCTAAAAGTAAAAACTTTACAATTTTCTATTGAAAATCCATAAAATATCGATTTTCGAACCAAATGGCCGGGTTTCGACCAAAATTTCAACCAAGAAAAAAATCCCATGTTTTTAATGGTTTTTATGCTGAAAGTACAGTTAAAATTTACTAAAAACGTCAAAAACTTTCCAAATTCGCAAATTTTGTCTTTTTGTCACTTTTCATAATTACGTAAAGAGTTTTTGTATTTAAAATCTGTATAAAATGCTATAAAAAGGTTTATATTTCGCTATAGGGCCGTACGGGATTACCGGCAAAAATTTGATTCCCCCACGCTTACAGTTCAGTACCAAAAGTTAAATAACTGTAAAAATTGCCCAATTTTTCGACATAAAGGCAACAAACAAACCTGATCAATTTTCTGCAACGTCACGAAATCCTCGCCGTCGTATTTGTAGAAGCGGATGGAGGCATCGAAGCTCAGCGACAGCGCTATCTAAAGAATCCTCTAGAATCTACTGTAAAATCGCATACATCTTCCTGTGGGTGCCAAAGGACACTCTTCACATCGCCAGTGTGGGGTTGAAGGACGGAGGTCACCGAGAAGTCGTCATCCTCATCTACTGAAATAATCCCAGCTCATGATCATCATGTATAAAACGTACACTGCCAAAACCAGACACTTTTATCCCGGCTGCACGTGGCCAGAAAACGATCGGACGGGGAGAAGACGGCCGCTTTGACTTCATTTTCGTGCCCCTCGAGCTTGTTCGCCTCTTCCCAGCTACCGCTACAAAAATTTAAGTAATCCAAGAACAACTTGAATTTAAAGGTAAAATAACTTGATTAAGCAAAAAGATAAGCTAAATTAGGTTCTTTCGCATTATCGAGGGGCCTCGCTTTCTTTTAGGATTACATTTTCAACTATGAACCGTGGAATTTTTTCTAAATGGTTTTTGTCATCTTTAAACGTAAACATTTTACAAATTTTTATCAAAAAATACAAAACATATCGATTTTCGACTAAAAATGGCAGATTTATGAACAAAATTTCGACCTTGTCAAAATTTTCGACTTTTTTACCTAGTTTTATAGTTGAAAAACAGTTATATTTGACTAAAAACACTATTAAAGCACTTGCTAATAATTTCTAGACATTTCTAGACTTATACAAAAAATTTCGACCCCCCGAGCAACTTTTCTCCACCTCATAATGCGAAAGAACTCGAAATTAAACGGCTTAAACCATCCAATAACAAAACTATATAAAAAAAATATCTGACCTTTCATCCCGTGCATAGACGACGATTGTTGTGTCAAAACTGGACGACACGAGGAAGCGGCCGCAGTGCGAGAAGGACACCGAGCGAATCGTGCGGTTGTGCGAGTCGTTGAGGGTGCAGACCGGGCGCAGATTCTTTGGATCATCTGAAAGAAATAGTAGAATTTTAGTTGTAAATACCAGCCGACCTTTATCAAATGCCCATATTCTAACAGCGCGGTCTTCGCCACAAGCGGCAAGCAGTGTCCCGGCTGGATTCCAACATACGCTCCACACACGATTGTTTCCTTCGCGGGGGCCCACGCGGATTGACGTCAGCTCTTGCATCCAAGCAACCCTGAAAAAAGGGAATTTTAGCATCAATAATATTTATAACTGCGCTTCGATGTATGGTCAAATATATCCCAAAATATAGCCTTATGGTTAGTGTTTCACATAGGAAAAAAAACCTTCATTTTTCTTACTGGACCGTTAGCGTGGGTGAACCAAATTTTCCCCAAAATCCTCCCGTACGGCCTTACATATCTGTATAACAAAATCAAAATAGTTTTTATCGCATTTTACAAGGTTTTTAGATACTAAAAGCTTAAAAATTTTAAATCCACTTGTCCCAACATACGCCTAACAGGAACACTACGACAACCCTCGAATTTCGAGTATAATCAAGCCAAATCCCAACCGGTAGCCTAGCAGTGCTAATTTGCGAAGGACGAGACTCGAACACACAAAAACCTCGCCGTCCTTACAAGCATCTCCACTTCAGGGCCCACCCTCTGTATTTTCAACCCATCCACGCCGCATTCAGCAATCAATTTATTGTTCGCAAAAAATCGAAGGGATCACAAAGAATTCGCGGGGGTAAAGAAATAAAATTAAAAACGACAGATTGCGGGGACACCGGTGAAAATAATAGGGGCGGTGGCCGCTTATTCGTATTGGCAGTTGGCCTCGGCGATTTGCCAGTTGCCGATGATGCGTTCCTGAAAATACAAAATTAGGAAATTCCAAAAATTAGAGAATCGAGCTTGATGATCAAAAAAAAACGAAAAACTCGCCTCCTTGCCCATGATCGTTCCCTGGTCCATGTCGACGACGCCGAGCTCAAAGTTGTTGTCGGCGACGCAATCGTGGTACAACGTCAGCTCGAGGCCCTTGCGGAGGATGTTCTCCGCCTCGGCGCGCGTCAATTTTCCTTCCTAAAAGGTAACAGATCATAAAAAAAGCTAAATAAAAAGTCAGCAAAAAGGTGGCTAAATAATGCAAGCTAGATAATAAGGGCCAGTTTCCACCCTTGTATTGGCGGACATATTGGTTCTGGGCTATTATCGGGGAGCGGAGATCTCGCCTAGGTCTATCTATCCAAAAAAAAAATGAGTTGTATGGTGTATTTTCGTCTCTTAGTCATTTTTGATTAGTGAAAATGCTAAAACTTAAAAATTTGCAATAAGTTTTAATAGAATTTTTACGAAAATAGAATAAACGTCAAAAGTCACATTATGATGTCGTGTTTTTATTATTTGGACCCTACGGGACGCTATACCAAAGTGGCCGCCCCTGCCAACAGTCCAGAACCGTCATCTTCATCAAGTCGCAAAAACCGAACCTTCTTGCGGAACTCGTCCTCGATCGCCTGGTTCACCAGCATAGCGCCCATCCCCGTCGCCACGCTCTTCACCGGGTAGGCGACGCCCTTCTAAAAATAAGGGTTTAGAACCAAATTCCAAATCTGACCTGGGTGATGACGCCGATAAAGGACTCCTTGTTCTCGAAATCTTCTTCGACACCGGCGACGAGTAGCGTGTTCCACAGCGGGTCCATGTTCGTGCGGCTGAAAAAAAGGTAAATTCTACCTTCAATAAGAAAAGTTTACGCGCATAATAGCCAAATTTATTGTTCGCGCGGGGAAAAGTAGCCAATTATTTCCTAAGGTTTCGGGGTCAACAACAATGGATTTACTAATTTTTATTTAGAAAAAGAGATGCACAAACTCAAACATAAAAACATCAAAAATTGCCTTTTTTTGTCCAGAATGTACTACTCTATCTAAGAACCAGGCAAGTATAAGTTAAAACAGAGAAACTCCAAACCAAAAAAGAAAACGCCAATTTTCGAATGACATGAGCAATTTTTCCGATTAAAATAAATGTTATACCGTGAATAGAGCAGGCTGGTGAGGTATCCGTGCAGAGATTTGGGCCCGATATCGTGTCCCAGCGAGTTCCACTCGGCCACCACTCGCTCGATCAGATTCTGCAGCCATTGGAAGTCGGCGTGGTCGCCTCCGAACGCCACGATCACGTTGTCGTTCACTTTGTATTGGCGGGAGACGTTCTGAAACACAAAAATAGATTATAGAACACCCCAAATTGCCCTAAAAGACAAAGGTGCTATCACTGACATGATATCGAGCTGTTTTTCCGTAGCTGACGACCCGATCCGACATGACGACGACGCCCTTGTCGTATTGGATGGCCATCACCGAGGTGCCCGTGCACGTCGGGTTCCTAAAAAACAAAGATTTTACACGGGAGAGAAAACGATTTTCGCATTAGGTTTCAAAATACCAACATTGTCCGTTGATTCGCGTCCATGCTGGGCAACTTCGGAAGTTCGGGTGGAGCTTCTAAACAGAAACAAGGTTAAAAGCACTGAGTGAACGCAGGAAAAAGAAAAAAGGAAAATCCAAGACCAGCAATGGTGAGGGAAGATTCTCGTGTCGAAAAGCTTTCTTTTCAACTTTCGTCCGATAATCTGCCCCTCTAAAACTCCGGCTTTGAGTCAGAAAACAGATTTAGAAACTATAAAACTCGCAATCCTGGAATTTTTGCGCGAACCATCGAAATCAGCCTTATTTCGGTTTGCGGGTCCACGCAGATTGACGGTTTTCCGCCTAGGGTATTTTTCCACAGTTCGACTCAGGGTAGTTTGATGCGCTGAGCACGAATTTTTGGCCTAACAAATGTAAAATGGGATGTTGTTTTTCGAGCTCAGTGCGTTAGAATACCGCAGGATAGGTGAAAAAAAAGGGGGGAAAGTGGGTCTGCTAAAAAGAAAAATGCCTCGAAAGGCCGAATTTTGCGCGCACAGCACCGGAGCCAGGACGCTGTTTAGGAAACAGCCGCAGACCCTTGGAAATTCCGAGAGAGAGAAACGCAAAAAAAAACGAATTTCAAAGCGTTTTCAAAGCTAATACAGTTTTTTAACTTTTTAGCAAGCATTCAAGGGAGCCAAGCCCAGAACAACGAAAATCATCCGAATAAGGGGGAAACGATTTATTCACCTAAACAACGCAAAGAAACACACAATCACATAAAACTCTCTGAAATGGCGTAACAATAAGTAATACCCGTCAATCAATCGAAATGGACAATAAACAGCGTAAATCAACAAATGTAACAGGTAAAAAAAGAGCTAGGCATCGGCTTCATGCTCCTCGTGGTCGGGGGCTTCTGGTAGGGTTGGGACGGCGAGGAGTAGATGCGAGAATTTGTAGCGATGCGCTGAAAAATATTGAAATTTTTAAAAATATAGAAAATAGGAAAATAAAGGGGGTTAAAACGATTAAGTATATTCAGAAAACAATAGCCAGATTTCGCATAATTTTTACGATTCCGGAGGTGATTTTTCAATTTTCAAACCGTCCCGAAATAAAGTTGTTATACCCATGGGGAGTTTTAGAAAATTAGCTCACTCTTGCAATCGGCGTTGTCCCGTTTGCACGTCCATCGACAGCACTTTCGGCAGTGGATCCCCGCACAGCCTTGGCCAGATGGTTGTCCGCAACGCGCGCACGGCGTGTACTTGGATTGTTGCTGAAAAAGAGGGGGTACTGTACTGTTAGCGGGGGGTACCTGGTCTACATCCCCGGGTTTAAGCGTTTTATAGTGTCTAACCAGTTTTGAATCACTAAAAACCATTCAAATATTTCTAGGAAACTGCAAAACTTGCCCTTTTAACCATTTTTACATAATTTTGACCATTTCGACAAAATTAAGGATATTCATGGACTTTCTACGCTTCTCGCTCCCCTAAAAGTCCAGAAATAAACCCCCTATAAAACTAGCAAACCACTCACCGTCCGATGAAATTTGCGCTCCATCGAGATTTGGCGGCGCTCCCGTTTTCGGACTTGTCTAAACGCCAAAGTTAGCCAAAATTTCCTAGAGCTTACTTGAGCGAAAGCCCGTGTTTTTCAGCGAGCTCTTTCAGCTCCTCCTTTCGCTTCTCCTTGTACGTCGGGCCGTCGTCGTCGTCGCCTTGCCGTTCCTTCGCCAGCTCGGCCAACCGGAAATAGGGCTTCACCAGCCAGTGTGGGGTTCCAGCCACCTGGACAATGTCCAGCGTGCGATGTCCATTTCTAAAAACCATTATAAAAAAGCGAAAACACGCAGTTTTTGTTTTCAACAATTATAATGCATTTTCTTGCTACCCACTTGATCTAAAAATCCCGTTTCTCACAGTCTAGAAGGCAATGAAAACCGGTCTTTTTCACCGCTTTTGGTTCCAAAAACTACGCAATTAAGATATTTCAGCTAGAAAAGAAAAAAGCGCTTGATTTCTCGCATTGTCAAGACCCTTCGTAAGAAAGCTAAATTACAAAAAAACCCGATACATCTACCGTCCGTTAGATGTGGTACTTCCGGGATTCCAAAAGTCGAGAAATTTCATAAAATACCGTATCTCCTCAAAAAGCGCGGCCGCCTTTTGGACACGGGCCACATTGTCGGGCTCCAGGGCGATGGGCGTGGTCCTTGCGCGCAGCTCGGCCACGATTTCATCAAAATCGGCCATCCGGAAGACGACGCCCAGTCGTTTTCGGAGGTCCGGGTACTCGAGCATACTAAAAAACACAAAAATGAGTGTACCCAGTAATCAACTGTACCTGTGATGGCAAATCCGAAAAATGTGTGCTCGAATGGCCGACACGCCCGCCTCGAATTTCTTGGCGAATTCCAGATATTGTTCGGCAACCTGGAAGGGGGTCAATTTTGCTTTGTGAGACGGAATAAAATACCGAAAATTTTCCATTTTTAAAACTATAGAAAACCTGGTGCTTACTATTTCAAGACTATTTATCGGACAAATCCTCCTGGCCGCGTGGGGCCAATAATAAAATGTTTTTAAACTTTAGAAAAACTCGTTTTCTTTTAAAAAATCATAAAACAAAAAAAAGATCAAAACCTCGAATTTTATAAGTTCACGGTTTTTGCTTAGCGGAAACTACTAAAACACCGCACTGAGAAATCTTTATAAGTCTATAATCTACAAAAGATCTTATAAATAAAACTGTTTTTTTTTAAATCATACCCGAGAGCTCTCCATTTGTTGGCCGGTGAAGAGGAGTGGGTTGTTGAGAATACCTTCGGCCGACATCACGCCAACGACGCCCGTTTCGGCCATACACCGCTCCACGTCGCCGGCCATCTGAATCAAGAAAAGACAACCGTCGATGATAAAAGTCTCGCACCTGTATATTGCCATTCCCAATGACTGGCACATCCACGGCGTCGACGACGTCTTTGATGCGGCTCCAGTCGGCAATCCCGGTCTCGGCGCCCTGAAATTGAAAAATACCTTTTTCCACACTTATCCAATCAGGAGCTTGGGGTTTGGAGCAGGAGCTGAAGTTTACAAAGCTGACTTTGCTGACTTTGAAAATTCCTGAAGCAGGATGCGGAAGTCAAAAAGATGGGCGTTTTTAAGTCAGTGCTTTCACCAAGAAAAAAAATTATGGAAAGCCGTTCGCCGAATTTCATCTCCCGAATTTCATTTCTCATCCCACCTACATACCCTACGGTATTTTCATAGCGTTTTTAGCAAAAAACGAGCTTCAAGTGGAAAAAAAGCAACAAAACATCTAGAAAATAGCTTGTTTCCAGTTTGGTAAGAAATCGGCCATTTCGCCCGAAAAATCGATGGCTTTCTGTATTCTTAAGAAGAATTGTAAAGTTTTCTGCGTTTAGGAAAAGCCAAAAAAAAAATCAGAAATCTTCCTGTGTTTAAATTAGAAAACCTGGCCCCTAGAAAAAGTTCCTTTTCCCCCGATAATGCCAAAGCACACATTTGGACCTCATGAAATTTCGCGATTTGAAAATGATTCCCCTTAGCAATCAGCGAAGATTCGTCGAAATAAATGTTCGGTGAGATGTTTTTCGGCAAAATCAAGAGTCGCCTTGTGAGATGACTCCCATACCTTCATCTCCCTCGTCCGGCCGTGCACCGTCAACATCGAAGCGCCGGCGTCGACCAATCGCCGTGCGTATTGCACGGTCTGCTGGCGACACTCGCGGATTCGAATTTTGCACGATACGGGCAGACGGCAATAGTCTCGCACCCCGCGAACCATCGTGCAAATCAGGTCCACCTCATCCTGGAAATCTCAAGATAATTTAAATTAGAGAGCGAGAGAGAGAGAGAGAGAGAGAGGGAGAGGGAGAGAGATTTGTCGCCAATCTACGACCAAGTATCGCAAAATACCTGCAGATAAGAGCCGTACCGTCCTCGCTTGGCGACCATTTGTGGGCAACCGAGATTCAGGTCGACCCCGTCACAGTAGCCCTCCACGAGGCGGCATGCCGCCAAAAACGTGTCCGGCTTGTTGGCGCAGAACTGAAAAAGCGTGGTTTTTTAGAAAATTTGCCTCCAAGCAAAGTGACTGGAAGCGGATTTCTTTATGTTTTTCAATTCGCCATAAAATGCCGGGTTTAAATCAAAACATGATGCTACAAAACAGTTACAAGCCCGCCGTTGCGTGAGCGTTCGAATACCATAGCTATCATCTTGATCCGGATTTTGAGAAAACCATATTTGTGCAAAACTCGGTTACCTGCACGACAAGCGGGCGATCCTTGGCGCAGAAGGAGAGCGCATTCCGGCGATACGTCGTGTCGTTGACGAACAGGTGCGCGTGGATCATCGGTGTAAAGGTGAGGTGGGCCCCGTGAGCCTTCATCATCATCCGGAAGGCCAGTTCGCTGAAAAAGAGTTTTATAGAAATCGCGACAAATTTTCACGGATTTTTCAGACCGTACATCTTCAGTGCAACCTCAAAATCTCGCTTCTTGAGAAGATTTTGAAATCAGAATGCTTTTGGAGTGTGCCTATATAGGGTGTGCCGGGATCCGGAATCCAGTTCGCCTTCCAGACTCTCACAACGAACCTCTGGTCAACCATCGGCGCGACGATGTACTTGATTGGCCCATCGGCGAGCCGTTTCCGCCAGAATTGTCGCTTTTCGGCAATCTCCTCGTCAGTGCACCGGGTTGCAGGCGCCAACTCGGTTTTGCCGACCCTAAAGATATCGATTTCCCAAATTATTAAACGGTAGAAAAATGTTTTTTTTTTGAAAATTTTTCGCAGCCTTAGATTTTCAAATTTTTTCCACATTTTCATTCATTCCTGACCAAAATCCCACGCCAAAATTTTTAAAATGACTTTTATGATCCCTTTTAGACTGAGAAACGGTGTCAAAGTAGCGACATAAATAAATGGTGGGCGGGTGGAATGATGGTGGGACGACGGGGCGCAAAATCTAAATTTAGGCTACTATCCTATCAGCCCAGTACCAGGATTTCTAATTCAACCTAAACTATCCGAACTGCGTAAAAAAAAATTCGTAAGGAATCTACCCAAAATCCGGGTCCCTGTGTAACAATTCGTTTAATTACCGGTAAATCTCCTCATCCGCATCGCGCGCCAGTGGCTGACCAGCATCTTCGGGCGGTGCATCGAATTTGGTGGCGGTCCCCTCGACGTCGGTGTTCTCCTCCTCGTCGGGCATCTCCGGATTTGGTGAAACTGTGGGAGGGACAGTCTCAAAGCGTTTCAACAACTCAAATCATCATGAAAATCCGGGGCTCCAAGCTACAAGTGGGGGCGAGAAATAGCGCACAAGGCAAGCGGTGGGCACTTGGGAAATGTCGCAAGCCTCGCAAAATTGTGCTAATTCACAGAACTATAATTATTTGGGCCCTAAATTAATTAATTTACCTCTAAGGTACTGTTAAGGGTTTTATGCGATACTTCAAAATTAGGGTTAATGCCTAGGGCTGCAGGTGTAATTGGGCCGATGCAAACCGGCGTAGCTATTCAAAAACTTGAAACATCCCACCTTAAAATCGAATTTTCTGGGTTTTTTCTATTTTTTCATAAGCGTAAATTGACGGTGCAACCGATCCACCATCCTACCCGCAAACTAAAAGAGGCCTGATTGACGGAGTGAGCAATTGTTTCTTACCATTCTCAAGCCTTTACCATTTTTCAACCAAAAATGGCCAATTTTCGACTAAATTTTTTTCTGAGTTTTCTTAAATTGCTTTTCCGCTTAAAATATAGTTAAACCCAAAACAGCATTAAAATTTACGTAACCGCAGAAGGGCATAGCCTCAAAGAGCCTCAAAGGTGCTAGATTTTGTTCCAAAAATCTTGTAGAACATCGAACCTCTAGATAAAAATGCGCTTTCTACAGAATAATGGCAACAATTTATTCAATGGAAATCCGGGAAAAACGAATGAAGGATAACAAAACGGCCAACAAATGAACAAACTTCCAACAAGCAGACACCAATCAACAATAACAATTTCCGGTAACAAATTCTGATAAACTAGAGAACAACAAAAATACCTATAGTGAGTGAAATGTTCACTTCTTGCGAAAACCGCCCTTCTTTTTGTTCATCTTCTCGGCATTCTTCTCCTTGACGTGCTCGCTCTGTTGTCCCTGGAGGCCGCTCATCAACTGCTTCACCTTCTCCTTGCGCACGCTGTCATCCCGCTTCTGCACGACTCGTGCACGTCTGGAAAAATTGGTTTTTAAAATTTAAAAACACTCTTTTACTTGGCGATAAACGCGGAATCCTTGCGCAATTCCTTGATGGCTCCCTTGCGCTCCTTTCGCACTTGTTGCTGCAGCTTTTTCGTCTAAAAAAGGGGGCTAACTGTGATTGAGAATTTACAAAATACCTGTTGCGCATGGCCATGTTTGCTGCCCCACTTTGAGTGCTCGGGGTTGAAATCTTCCTCAAACACCGGTTCCAGCATCTTCAGCATTCTGGAAATAAATAAATAAATAATAATCTTTCTTAGAGTATTTGAAAATTTCGCAATTTAGAACGTCGAAATTTCATATAGTCAAACTTTCCTAACGGCGAAACCACAGAATATCGAAAGTTCATAATGTCGACTTTTTTTTGCATAGCTGAGGATTTTTCGGACTAGTTTTTTCGGCATTACGAATTTCGGGTCTTTGGCAATATCGGGGGGGATTTTTCCTACAAGTCCAAAAATGTGTTGTAGCGTAATAGTAACTACAATATTTTCTTGGTACTGATAGTAAAATTCATTACGCAGGTTTCGTTTGGCACACTATCTAAAAACGCGACATTTTGGTAGAGAATCGGTCATTTATCATCGAAAAACCTATATTTTGCATTTTTTTCCAAAAAAATGGTGCAGTTTTGACGTTTCGGAATAATAAAAGCTCGGAAAGGAAAATAAAAAGTTTATAAACGCTTCATCTATGGATCAGAAAAACTGGAAAGGTAAGCTGTTGCCCCCCCTCCCCGGTATTGCAAAACCACCGAATTCGACATTCTTCTAGCAAATCATTGCGGTTATAGATATCCTTACGGGACTGCGGCTTCTCCTCGAGACAGCGGCATCTGTTGTCCACAAGCCGTCATTTCATGGTTCAGCTGTGCGCCAATCTCCTCGACGATGTCCTTCAGTTCTTGAGGGTAGTTGGCCACGGGTAATAGTGGAAGCATTCGGGCAATAGGGCTGAAAAAAGGAGTTTTCAAAACACAGTCTGATTCGGAAACGTCACCGACCAAAAACGCATAAGAAAAAAAAATCGAATTCTTTAGCCTAAAATGATGGGATTACCTGAAAGCACACTTGAAGGATTCGGGGTGGCTGGCGGCGCTGAGAAGACTCAATCGTTGTACCATTTTGAAGACTGAACGAAGAATCAGATGCGTCTCGGCGTCGTCCGCCTAAATATGTCAGTTCTTTTGGTTCTAGTCTGTTAGCGGGGCGGGGCGCCCACCCCATTTCCCAATAGGTTTGTTGGGGGCAAATTGGAATTTTCTTCCCCCGCTAACGAACCAGAACCTGTTTTTCAATAACCAAAATCAAACGTGTTTTTACGTTTTTTCTAAAAATATTTTTTTTGTTAATTAGCAGATCTAACAACAAATTTAAAAAATTGGTGGTTCGATTTTATCCCGGAACGAAAGATTGTATTTGTAATTCGTCATTTTCTTGTAAGAACATATTTACGATAAAATTTACCTGTGTCATATAAAACAGCTGCTTGTCGCGCCCGAAAATTGGATGAGGAGATTTCACACCCTCCAATGCGCTAATGGGGCACGCCTGGTAGATGGCCGCGGTCAAAACGGCGAGCAGCTGCGGGAAATGCCTAAAAAAAGGCTAAACCTCGGACCATAGATCAAACCTTTTTGTTTTGGCGGCAATATCTGCGAGAATCTCGGCCAGCTGAATGTAGGGGATGGTGCGTCGTTTGAGGGCGGTTTGTGCCCTGGCGAACGAATCCTCGATTAGTGTGATGCCAAGTTCTATCAATGGTTGGAACGTCGCGCCGATCTCGTAGAGCTGGGTGAGAAGCCTGAAATGACAACGTTTCCGATGATTTAGACACCAATTATTTTTTTGATAGGATCCAACCTTTCGCATAAAAAAGCGGAAATTTTTCTACATAAAACCAACAAACTACCAATTGTGATATCTAAAAAATATTTCTAACACATATAGGAACTGTTACTACCCCGTTTTTTTGTTATTCGTAAACTTAAGAACAATTAACAAAACTTTGTGATTTTAAAAATAGCGATTGTCTACCACATCTGCAGTTTTTCTATGCTGTTTTTCCTTCACACAATCCAAAACAAAAAAACTACGTATTGTTATTGAAACACCAACCTTCTAACCAAACCTCAGATTTTGGTTGCTACCCGTTTTCGAATAGATCACAGACCTCAGGACGACGATCCAGGTGTTGCGTGAATTCTCATCATCAAGCGATACTTTGCCTTGCCTGGAGACGAAATTGAGTAGAAGCTCGGCTCCATGTTCGGGGATCACCTAAACGAAAATGTGGGCCGCATCAAGAAACCATTTTGTGCGTTTCTGGTCAGAAAAAGGCTTCATGAAAAAAGAACAATTATCAAAAAAAAACGATAAAAAGTAAGGATGCACCTTGTTCAATTCGTAGATGACGTCTGACAATTTGAGAGCAAATTCGGAAAGCTCCGCTCTTCCCGTCGCATCGGCTCGCTCGTATCTCTCCATTGTGCTGACGTAGTAACTAAAATAATTACATCAAATACATGACGAATGGGTAGTACCTGATGAGGTGGGACAGAAGAACAGCCAGAATCGCCTTGTTCCCCTCTTTCAGCGATGGATGGTGGGCCTTGGCCATGCTGGAAATGGCAGAAAATAAATGAAACCAGTACTAGCTCACTTTTTGACCGTCTCGATAATGGCTTCGTAATCGCTGGCTTGGCTGAGCAGCACATTTTGCCAGTCGTTGAAACGGGGCGGGATTTGCAGCGAGGTCATCGCGCCCGCATCATCGCCATCGGCCGGGTCCTCGGGATCCTAAAAAGGTGATATTCCTTCTCAAAACGATGCCATACCTCCGAGAAGCGTACTTGCTTTCGGGATGTTGATTTTGGAGGAGGAAGGGATGTGACATCAGCTCCAGGGCGGCGTGCGTTGATCTGAAGAAATTTTACACTGCCACAAACGAAATTATTTCTATGCTCCGCTAAGCGCCGAATAAAATGAAACAGAAGCTATTCCAACATCATTCATGAAAATAACTATCAAAAAGGCCGAAAATAACGAATTTTTGACCAGAATTGGACGAACATGCTCAAAAAAAAATCGATTTTACCAGTTCTTTTTCAAGTTTTTCTAGGAAACAAAAACTACCAAAACACTATAAAAATAACCGGAGCTAAATACCACTCGTATTTTTCCAAACCAACCTTGCTGTTTTCACGCGCAGCATTTAGACCTCCCGTCAACGGGTCTTCCGTACTTCTTGTAGCCTGAAATAAAATAAGTGATACTGCACCGAAATCAATACCATTTTGCTCCCTTTTTGTAGCTGCTCGAGCTCGGCCTGTGACGGGACCAGCATGCCCTCCTGTGCTGCTCCAACAGGTGTCGCCTTCGGTTCGGCCGCGAATTTCAGATCGTTCATTGTTCTGTCATACGCGTCGTTTTGTGCAGCCTTCGGCTTGACAGTTTCGCGCGGCTTCTTCGGCTTTAGTTTCTGCGAGATCGAAGCGAAATTAGCATCCAGCCGATCGACGGCATCGAGAAGTTGATCTTTCTCCGTTTGACGGGCGCCTTTCTCGGCTTTCGACTTGGCAATCATTTCGCGCAAGACGTCGGCGCGAGAGTTTCCGGTTCGCGCTTCGGCTCCATTGATTGGCACATCACCTCCACCGAAATTCGCGCGAGCCACGACCTCTGCACTCAGGGCTCCGTTATCATCCTCCGAATCCGACCCTTCCATCCGGTCAAACTTCTCAATGGTGGTCAGGGCACGGCCGCCATGCGTCAAGGTGTATTCATCTGCGTTTGACGCCAAGTTGAACTTGCTGGAGGTTGCCACCTTTCGCTGGGCAATAAATCGCTGTGACGAGCGTTCATCGGCCGTCAATTTGGTGTTCTTCTCGCCAATGCGCTTGTCGACAATCTTGTTGGCTTTGTGGAGGTTGGCCACTTCGACGGCCAGCGTCTTTTCTCGCATCGCCAGCGATTCCTTCTTTTTCTGGATAGGTTTCCCGGGGACATTCCGTTTTGTGCCAAGCACCTAAAACGATTTTTGAATTTTAGAACGATGAAAATCGATACCGAATGTTTTTGCCGACTGTACGTCATTCCAAAGGGGTTCGGGCCGGCAGCCGGCTTCTTGCCCGTCTTTTGTTTGATTTTTGATGGGCGTGCCATCTTTCCTGGCAATTATCAATGTAAATCGTCGCTTTTTGAGTTTCGTGAAATAAAAATAAAATAATTACCGTGCGATTTGACAAAGGAACAACACAGATAAAGCCATGGCCTCCAAAAGTATTTATTATCCAGATAAAACAATCGAGAAGATAATAAATAATCCCATTACAATCAAGATCGGACAAAATTAAAACGCACTGCGGATATTCGGAAATTAGTGTTTCAGGAGAGATTAGAGTAAAACAATTAAACAATCAATGGCGTCTCGTCGGGTACGATCGATTCAGGTTGAGCGCATCGACGCCGGAAGCAATGTTGTGAGAGTTCTAAAAACAATTTTGCTAAAATCATTTGTCAAATTGTACCGTTGCCTCTCTGGGGTCCCAGTTGTATGCTGCCGCCGGGTAGCCGCCATATGCTGCCGCTGAAGCATAGGCGTAGTGATCGCGCTCGTCTCTCAGCGGGCGCTTATGCCTGAAAATCAAAAATTCAGATCGATCCGAAGCAGCCCATTCGAGTCGAAGAAGTTTTGAAGCTTTCCTTTTAGCGGCGGGGGGGGGGGCAAACTTCTTTTGCTTTAACCAACACGTGGCCACTCACAGGATTTTATGTATTTAAATAGTTTTTCCGTAGATTCATTCACCAACACAATATAAAACCTTCATCGAAAATCCTCAAACTTTGAGGATTTTCTAAAATTTTTTTCGGCAGAAAACGAGCGATTTTGAGGGTGGTTTAATAATGTGTTATTCATTTCAATTTTCAAATTTGGTTCTGTTCTATGTCGCGGGGGGGGGGGACAAAACTGTGCGGGGGGGAAAATATGCTTCGCGGAATCTTAGTTTTTCGCTATTTTCTCGGAATTTTTGCAACGCCATTCGATAGAGCATCCAAAAATATACTAAGAGTTTTTGTTTTAGCTAAAAATATTATAATATAAAAAAGTTATAGCAAAAACAAAAAAAACTATTGAAACTGGTTCCGGAATGCTAGTTTTCGGCATTTTCGCCATTTTTTCGATATTTTGAACCTGTCATTCGATAGAGCATCAAAAAATATACTAAGAGTTTTAATTTCATCTAAAAATATTGTTTTATAAAATAGTTATAGCAAAACCAAGGTTTATTCGGTGTTTCCACATGGGATCGTGGAGTCGAAAGCTAGTTTTCGACATTTTCGATAATTTTCAAAAATTTCTTTAATGCCATTCGATAGAACGTCAAAAAATATACTAAGAGTTTTCATTACAACTCAAAATAGCATCATGTAAAAGAGTTATAACAAAACGGAGAAAATTTTCCCCCCCGCACAGTTTCCCCCCCCCCCCCGCGAAATAGAACAGAACCTCAAATTTTGTTGAATTATACCTGTTGTATGCATACTCGCCGACGACCGGAGCGTACATGTCAGTCTGCATTTGCATGGGGTGCTGAGCGTAGCCGGCGAATTGGGCATATCGGTTGTAGGCGGGGGCCGACTGCGGGATTTCATCCTGTTTCCTCAACGCGACCGAGATGGCCACCGAGACACCGTCAATCACCACCGATTCCAGCCTGAAATCAAGACGTAACTAATTGGAAAAAACCGGAAATACAGGGTGTTCCAAAAAACATCTCTAATTCAGAACAGAGGGGCCGGATCGGAGTGATAGCTACACCATTCGAAAGCCCTTGAAATACCGAATTGACAACAATCTTCAAAATAATGGTTTGAGTTAAACGAGCGATTTCTGAAGCGATTGAAAACATTAAGGAATTGAATTTAATTCAGTTTCCGGGCAACCTCCAGACATTTTTGGCAGGATTTGAGGCAAATTAGCTCGTCTCTGGTCCCAAAAACCCGGAAAATGTCACAAAATGGCTGGTAAAATGGCGCGCTTAATAAAAACCCTAGTAATGAAGATTGACTCAAGCCCGCGTTTTCGGGCTTTGAAATGGTGTAACTAAAATCCCGATCCTATCGCACTCAATCGAGTTCGAGGCGATGTTTTTTGGGACACGCTTTAGACAACAGGCACAAAACTCACTTGCAAAGCTGTCTGGCCACCTCAGCCTTTGAAACCGTCACAAAACCGAATCCGCGGAACGGCTTGGGAATGTACACATCGTCAACCGTCACGTCCGACCCGAACTTCTTGATCTCCTCGGTGAAGTAGTCGCGCAGTCGTTCCGACGTGATTTTGTCCGTAATCCTGGGAATTGTGGTTGTTTGAAGCTCCTTCGAAATGTGCTCACCTTCCGATGAAGATCTTGTTCGACGAGGGCTGCTGCTTTCGGCCGGACGATCCGCCAGTTTCTGCTGAATACGGACGATCGGGCAGCTTGATCTCGCAAACGCGGCCGGCAATGTTGTGCGTTTGATAGAGCACCTGAAAGCCAAAAATCAAACAATTGGGGGTCGATTTTTACCTTTTCTTGGTCATCGACTTGGTCGAAGATGCAGAACCCGAATCCCTTGCCGGTGCCGTCCGCGTTCTTCTTCAACTAAAACGAAAATGTTGAGACTTTTCAAAAAGCGCTTTTCAATGCTAAAAAAGTCTTATTCATCATCATGAAAGCGAGGGCAAATTTATCTGATTTCGAAAAGCACAAATTCGTCCAAAAATTTTGAGTCCATACTTAGATTGGAGCGAAACTCGAAAACTGCGGGAACTAGCGTTGCTAACAATAACCTGTTAAGAATCTATACTCTATGACTATATGTGTTTTTAGTAGGTCTTGATTGCTAGAAAGTTTACGAAATGTTTAAAGCGTTTTTAAAACTTCGAAAATTCAGACCTTTTGATCATTTTATACATTTTTGACCAAACACCCAAAATTTTCGAAATTTTAAAACTTCTATCAGTTATGTGTATAAAAACTCTGGAAAATCGCTTGTAATCCGCTATAGGGACTGTGAAAATTTTGTCCCCACCAAAACTTGCTGCAAATTAAAAATGACCGATCCAACAAATCCAACACAAACAAACGTACGTTCAACAATTTCAGCGGGCCAAACGTTTCAAGGTATTGGCGAACAGTTTCGTCCTTCACATCATTGGGAAGGCCCAGAATCAGAAGGTCGGTCGGCTTGGACAGCCGTTCACGCTTGCTGACAGAGACTTTCTGGCCAGACGACGATTCACACCCCTCAGACGCATCATCCGATTCAGAATGGTAGACTTTGCGACGTTTCGCCTCCGCTTTCCCAACCGACGCACCATCACTCGGGCTGACTGGAATGACAGACACAGAATATGGGGTACACGCACAGAAAACATCAAGGCAAGAAGAAGACACTTTTTTCTTGGTATCCAATGTTTTAAATGTTGTTAGTGGATAGTTTTTTACTGTTCCTAAACGTAAAATCTACAACTTTTTATTAAGAAATAGAAAAATATAGATTTGTCGAGCAATCAAAAAGTTTTTAGATAGTTTTTCTAGTTCAAACATATCTATATTCGACCAGAAACGCTAATAAAACACTCTTAATTGGTTGCCAGCAATTTCTAGAGTCCTACCCCCGATGATGCCAAAGAACCGAAATCTGTCATAGTTGTTTCCGTTATAACTGTTAATGTTATATTACACGTTAAGCCCTAATTACGTTTTAGAAGAATTTTGGATTCTTAATGGAATAGCGCTCGCAAAATACCCAAAACAGCCTATCGAAAGAAATTGAAGCCGCAAAAATTTGAACGTTGGTGGACATTTCCCGGCGAAATAGAACCGCACCAAACTGCGCAACGCCTTACCTTTCGGAGGGTAGATGACCATCAACTGTTTTTCTTCCCAGCCGCCCGCCGGCGCCAGAAAATGCAGGCCGGAAGGGTCTAGTCTAAAAACGAGATTGATTATTCGGGAACAAATCTTACTGGACGGCTCGCGATGCGCCAGTCTTTGGATTTTTGAACTTCAATCCAGTTGCGCCGGGGAATGTGTGGGTGAGTGTCGCCAGGGTGAGAGTTCTAAACAAAGAATTAATTTAGTAGACTAAACAAATTCAAACTCAAACCAAAAGGAATTCATTGAGTTTTTTGCAGAAACACCGTGAAAAAAGCGCATCCAACGTACCCGTCGGCATTGCAAGGAATCTCCATCAGCTCACCGTCTTCCGAATCGCGCACAACCGCGCACGGCGGTTCTTCCTCTTCGTTGGCCATCAAGTTTTCTGAAAGAAAACAAATGAATTAGACGGTGACGGTCGAAACAAGTCCGAGAACATGGAGGACAAATCGATGGAATAATAACCCATTCGCGAATCGACGACCCTGCGGGGCCGCAAACTACAACCGACGTGCCGCGAAATAGCAGATTCGATGGGCGGGCCAATAGAGAAAGGATTGATAAGGGGCAGATGTTGCTAAAACGGGCCGAATCATAACATTTTTGCCCCTAAATCTCTGGCTTCAGAAGCTTTTATTAAAGAATTATCGCTCTTTTCAGCCCCATCGAAATGGTGCGCACCCTGGAGGAGCTGAAGCCAGATGTAAATTCGCACATCCGAGCCATCTCCGATTTCCCAAAACCTGGCATCAACTTTCGGTAGGTCGACCGGATGGAGGCAAGACGCGTATTAATAGAATCCTAAATGAGCTAGCGAAAAAAGCTGATAACCTCGCCCCGATTTCAGCGATGTTATGCCGTTGATGGCTCAACCAAGCCTCATGGGCGAGTTGTGCGCAGCAATTGCCGAACACTACCGGAAACTTGGCGGTGTCGATCTGATCGCTGGATTGGAGGCCAGAGGTGTGTGCGGAAGAAGAATAGGTACTTATCAAGTTGGGGGGGCACTTTGGGTACCTTACAGGGGACACTTTTTTATCGCTTTTTCGAGTCTATCTGGGGTAGTTTTCTACGCTGAGTGCGAAGAGAGTAGCAACAGCATGCGAAACCGTCGGGTTTATCCAGAAAAACAGTGTGAAAATCTATTAATAAAAAGTGTACCTATGCACAATTTGAGGCTGGCTGCATTGTCACGCAAGGTGGGCCGTCGCTTCGGATGGGCTGCCGCTCCACTCTTTCAAAATAGGGGCGCCTGGGCGCTTCGCGCTCCTCGGGCGCCCCGATTTCGAAACCCTGTACGAGCTCGCACCCATCCGAAGCGACTAGGCCCCGGGTGGCACGAAGCCTTATTTTTAGGTTAATACCGGGTGTCTGCATCTCTAAATCTTAACAAACGTTTAGATGAGCGCATTTTACAACTCTGATTTTGTTATATTCGAAACCAGCGCAAAAAACTAGCCTAGAAAGACTAAAAAAATCGAAAACCAAAGTGGCCCCCCCCAACTTGATAAGTACCGAAGAATATATAGCCAAAACGCCAAGATACCTAAAAATGTTTCTTACACGTTTAGGTTTCTTGTTTGGGCCCCAGGTAGCCATCCTCCTGAACGTCCCCTTCGTGCCGATCCGCAAGAAAGGAAAACTGCCCGGAGAAGTCTGGCGGGCCGCCTATATCAAGGAGTACGGAGAGGCAGGTGAATAGCAGGAATCGAGAAATCTTCCCAGGACATTGTCGAGGTTCAAAAAGGCGTTGTGAGGGAAGGGCAGCGCGTTGCCATCGTTGATGATCTGCTGGCCACCGGTGGAACGATGAAGGTAATTTCAACGACAAAGTCAAGTCGTCAGAAACTCCTACAGAACAATAGCCATATTCTTATAGGCAGCCATCGAATTGATGCGATCGACCGGGGCAACTGTCGTCGAAGCGTTTGTCCTCATCGAGTTAACGCCGTTGAACGGACGTGCCGTCATTTCCGACGTTCCCGTCAACGCGCTTCTCTCATACAATGAAGCATAGCCTGCGATTTCGCGATATGAACCGGGTCAAAATTGCTAGGTATTGCTGCTGATGCTAGAGATCATAAATAAATACATTCCATTCAGATTCTTATTCATTTATGAAAGTAACAACAACGACAATGGGGAAGCGACAACATTCAACAATAACAACTTTTTCGAATTGGGGGAAGAAATCAACAAAACGAACGAATAAGAGGCTAAAACGTGTGAGGAAGGGATGTTAGAGGGCATGGGGTGGCTGGCGTCTCTGGGTTCAGTTCTCCTTGGTGTTGGGCACGAGCAGGTTGCACGCTTCGAACAGTTCGTCGTAGAGTTCCTGAAAATCAAGGTTAAAAAAATAAGAATCCATTGATAAATAATACGACTAGTATAAAAAGTATAAATACTGCACACCGAATTGCATAGAAAGTCGAACCAAAGTAAACTCGCCTGATACGCCGCGTTGGGTCGAATCAAAAGAATAATGATGGATCTGCGGAATCCGGCGGCCAATCCGAGACTTTCTCTCGACGGTGTGTAGACGTACGGGACTCCCTTCTCCTCACAAAACGCCGGAACGTGAGAGTAGATGTCGATCGGGGTTACATTCCCTAAAACGTACGTGAAAGGAAGGAAAACGTCAAATACCTGCTAGCACGACGATGCCCTTCTCGTTTTTGCGGAGCCCCTTCGAGACATCAGAGATTCCAAAGCTGAAAAAAAAGACTTTACAAAACGAAAAAGGGGTATTTGCTTACCGAACTGCCGTCTTCACAGCTGAAGCCTTCTTGACCAGTTTATAGACCTTCTTGGCTAGCTTGCGGCTGGCCATTGGCGATGCGATTTCGTTCGCCTGCAATAGATGGTTGGGAAAACAGTAAAGGTAACGGACACGCCATAAAATAAAGTCACAAAGGCGGTAAATAAAATATACCAAGGCACACTGCTCCTCGTAGGCGTCCTTGTCCGTCACCGGGGCGCCGGCCTCCTCATTGACCGTCGTATCCATCGTCTCGTCGAGTGCCAGTGACTTTTTGCCCATTTTCCTGGAAAAAAAGTGTTAGAAAAGGTAATTCACCGGGAAAGGAGGCAAATAAACGAAAAAAAGCAGAGGGGACGAATGTTAGAAGTAAGATCCGAGAAGGGGAATGAAATCCCGCAAACGTTCGTGAGCGCGGGCGCAGATTGACCAGCTACGGTATTTGGTCCACCGAATAGTTTGGAAATTGTTTATAGCAAAGTAACGGAATTAGTTATACAAGCGTAAAAAAGAAAAATTTGCGTTGAAAACGTTGTTTGAAAGATTTGTAGAAATGGTGGGTTGATGCGAGCGAAAAACGGGAAAAGTGTTTCGCCAAGAACCGCCGCCGGATAAAACCCAAATAGGATGCTTGACAGGCACTTTTTACTTGTAAGCGTCCACAAACCGACTTGACAGTTCGTAACAAAGAACACGCGACGACGGAGCATTGTTACGCCTTACAAGGGCTTCAGAACAATTAGAAAGTCGGTTTTATAACCATAGTAATGCGGTAGGTGTTGGGTAAAAAACCCAAGTCCGAGGCCTGACAGATACGCACTTCTTTATTAGCGTTTATTTGTTACACAGCAGGGCACAAGAGAACGAGATATAAAATGGCGATGGGGTTGTGGGTGGGTGGTGGAGACGCGACGACGGGGGGCACTGGCAGCAAATCGACGGTGGTGAGGGCTGGAGGGACAGGGAGACGAGAGGATGTAGCTTTTCGATGTCTTCATGATGATGGTGGTCGGGGGTCCTCAGTCGAATTTGCAGCCTGGTTTGCACTTGCGGCACAGCACGATCGTCTGGTGGACGGCGGGGCCCTGGAGGAGCTGTTCCTTGCCGCCCTGGCCGTACGAGGCGCGCTCGTTCTTGATGTCAACCTGAGAGGGAATGGCGGTTAAATGGTTATACACAGAAAGCTCACCTTTCCAAGGATCTGCTTGCCGCCGACGGTGATGACACCGGGGGAGATGTCGCCCTTGTAGTGGTTCACATGCACCGGATGCCATTCCTTGTCGCCGAACTTGGCGGCCTCTGGGTACGGGATCCAGCCATAGTCAAAACCGCGCACGTGCTCCGACAGCTCGAAGAGGATCTAGAAAAAGGATGGTTAGAAAGATACCACAAGAATCGATTTGGTACTGGTTCGTTAGCGGAAGGAAAGGGAAAGAAAGGAAAAAAGGAAAACGAAAAGAAAAAACACCAGATTTTTTTGACTAAAACATCAAAAATTACCCTCCCCCCCCCGCCCGCTAACGCACCAGAACCCCCCATTACCTGCAGCGATCCAATGTTGGTCTTGTACTCGTTGCCGCCCCAGGAGAAGTTGGCGGCAATCTTTCCGCCCTCGTTCCAGACGCGTCCCATCACCGGCTCTCCCTGTTGATACCAGAGGGCCACGTACTGGTCGGCATTCTCTCCCGGCAGCGTGTCCAGCGACTTTCCGAGTGCCTTCACCGGGCACTTGGTCGGCCACGGGTCTCCGGCGCGCAGGTCGGCCCACTCGTTGAGCATGACGCGGATCACGGGCTTCTTGCCGCATCCGGCACACTCACATCCGGGCGGGCCGCCCTTCAGCTCGCGGAAGATGACGAGCATGTCGTTGAGCTCGCCGCCGACCTTCTTGATGACCTTCTTGTTGTTGGAGAACCATCCAATCTCGGTCTTGTTATCGATGTAGCCGAGGAGGCCGCCTTCGGGGGAATTTGGCCAGTAGATGGGGATCGAGTCGCCGCACTTCAGCAGCTCGGCGTCGGTCTTGTCGAAGCGAGTGCTGTACTTCACCCAGCTGTACCAGTAGCCGAGGGTGTTGTGGTCTCCCTTGTATTGCAGCACCTGGAAAAGTAAATTGAGAATGACAGAAACTGTTCTTTAGTATTCCGCGTAAAAACTCTTATCAAATCAATTTTTCGACGCAAAGTGGCCAGTTTTCGATAAGAATGTCGATATTTTCAAATTTGGAAGGGTTTTAGTTTTTTAATTTTAACCACTTTTAACCATGCGTGACGGGTTTTCAGACCCGATTTTCGAAAAAAAAAGAGAAAAAAAGCGATGTTTTGGACGGAAATTTCGAGTTTTTGGCTGGAAATCCGGTTAAAATTTGTAGAAATAATGATTAGGACCTTACTAGATTCTGGAAAAATCTAAAAAGAAAAGAGAAGCTATGCAAACTGGTACCTGAATCTGCCCTCCGAGATCCTTGGCTCCGGTCAGCTCGGCGTCCTTGTAGGCGAACGAGCACTCGACGACACCTCCATTGTTCCACGAGCGGCCATGGATCGGCTTTCCGTGCTTGTACCACAGCGCCACGTACATGTTCTGCTGCCCGGTCACCTAAACTTTGAGCATCAGCAGTGTCAGGATACGGAACGTACCTTGACGGGGTTGTCGGGGAATGGCGAGCCGATGGGCTGGAAGGCCCAGGTGTCTTCTTTCGCGGCGGGCATCTCGGGTGGATGGGCGGAGAGAGAGGTTGAAGCAGTCACCGAAGTGACTTGGGTAACCCGCGAGCCCGGCTGCTTCTTTTTGTAGCTGGATCCCCATGCAGATTGGGGGCAATTTCCGGGTGGATAATTACTTCTATGCAAGAGTTGTCATTTCTAGAAAAAAATGCAAATTTAGGAGGTGAGGGGGTACTGAGCTGTTAGCGGGGGGGCTTACTTTTGCCCATATTACTCAAAGGTCCTAATAATCGAATTATCCGTTTTAAAGTTCTTAAACACATAAAAAATTATTACCAAATTTTGATTATTCGCAAAAAACGATAAAATTCTACCAAAAATTTCAAAAATTTGAGGTTTTCTCAGAATCTTTTAGCATCTTTTTTTTGCGGTCAAAACCTACTAAAACGTATTATTCTTCGGAGATAGCTAAGGCCACCCCCCCCGCTAACAGTCCGGTACCATTTTTGTCTGGAACGTGTCAGTGAAAAATTTCAAATTTTTTTCAAATTTTGCAAGTGTTTTCGGATTTCTTTTGTGATCAGATCAAAACCTACTAAAACACTATAAAATGCCAATAATTATAGCTAGGTAAGGCGAAAAGCCCCCCCCGCTAACAGCCCAGTACCGAAACGCTAAATACGTAGATTAGAAAAGGGACGGTTACGTCTATCGAAAAAAGGTTATAGCGCTGATTTAATTGTTCAATTGACTGCTTAAAACCTAAACTTAATTCAGAGTATTCAGAATATGATATAGCGCAGAGCGCCAAGCACTTTATACCCGTACTATGTACACTACAAACCCAAATAAAAACAGTATCACAATGCAAAAAAGTTCCAGGCACAAGAGAAGGAAATGCTAGCAATAAAATAGAGATTTGGTTCCAAGAAGAAGATATCACAGATTTCAGCTTCGTTGCTTCGAGCGGCATGCGGCCAATCGCGTCACATCCACCGCGCCCAGGTGCCGAATTTTGAATGTGGCCAGGGTTTCGTCGAATTCCTGAAATAAAAAGTTGGAATAAGTAAAAGTGGTTATAAAGAAACGTTTTTTTTGTCACATAGGGTTCGTAAACGGGATCAAGCCTAATTTGTGCAGAATGTTGGCTGATACGCTCTATAAAAAAATAACTACGAAACGTCCATATTAACGAAATTTCAGAAGATTCAAAATGCCAGAAAATGCTCATTCGAAAGGGTGCCTTTTCGGTGGAAGAATTGCCAACTAAGTTTTCGCAAAATGTTTGGTACTGAATTTTTAGCGCGGGGGGGGGAATAAAATTTTTCTGCCTATTTATACCTGCCGATAAAATATACTGTATTCCTATAGTTTTTAGCAGTTTTTGATGGCTGCAAAGTTTGGAAAATATTAGAAAATTTTTGAACATTAGAAGACTTTTGACTTTTCTTGGCCATTTTCATATATTTTTAAGCAAATAGACCAAAATTAATACAATTTTTATACGTTTTATGAACTTTTCGTATCGAAAAAGTGTGTAAGATGCAGTAAAGACGGGCCCGAGATTACCGTAAAAATTCTATCACTTCC